TCCATGAGTGTGTTGTGTGCCTTTTCCTTTCTCTCTCTCCAATTTCTCTGTCTAGTTTTGCACTTTCCAGGTCTTTGCTTTCCTCTTACCATCCTCACATATTGCTGGCCATTTTGAACCTAAATGGTAAATAGACCTTTCGGCTTGTTAATGACAACCTGCCATTGGTATTGGTATTGGTAAGTGGGAAACGAGGGAATTCAGGGAACACAGGAAATCAAAGCCAAAACCCCGAAGACTTGGGTTTCTCTGACAAGTTCAGAACCATCCTGTGGTTTTTATTTGTGTGTATTTATTGCTTAGTGAATTAGTTCGAGATTTATATTCAAGACTATGGTTTTGAGTTAATTGCACATCTGAGCAAAACCAGAAAACCCCAAATGAAAAACCACGTGTTTCTGTGCATTCATTTATGACTAGAGAATCTTTAAGAGAATTTTCAAATCAGGAACTGATATTTGGACTTTAATTTGTTGGTCTATCGCTTTCCCATTCGAAAAGAACTTGAGCTTGAATGAGCTCTCCTGCTTGAATTCCCTCACTTTGTTTTTAAATTGAACAGCAGCCCTTCCCCCCTTCTAATTGCTTGTTTACGTCGTTCTCCAGCGCAGAGCCGAATTTGTAGCTGTTTTGCTTGTCTCAGAAGGGAAAAAAGTGGGGGAAAACAGAGTGGAAATTTGCATGAAACAGCAGCAGCAACCCCGATTTAAGTCCTGCAACGTGCGTTGCGATAAATCAAAAATCTGCTGCCAAGGCAGAAGCGAGTTACCCTAACCACGGTGGCTTTATACGTTCAGATGCGAACAAGGGAAATGCATTGGCCATGCAAACACTGCTGATTGTGTAAACAGCTTTGAGGAGCAGACAGAAGACAGAATGGCAAAGGGGAGAAGGGAGGGGGAAAGGGGAAAAGGGGGTGTTACTTTCTGCACAACAATGAAATTGAATTTCAATGCCATCTTCCTTATTGTTGTCAGCCTCGGCAATAATTGTTCGAGCTCTCAGCACGTCTCCATGTGCGGTGCATATACTTGAGGCAGCCTGCCTGCCACACAGTGGTCCTCACTGTATTCCACGCTATTTGCCATCGATTGCATCTTTTTACCAGACCCCCAACAAACAACACGAAGAACAGTGGCATCCTGCAAACCATTATCGCCGAAAGCACAGGACTGCTGTTCCCAATTCCCATTTGCAGTTGCCGTTGCCGTTGCCATTGCCGTTGCATTTGGCATACGTGTAAATCGTAAATTTCCGTCCGCAAAACGAATGGTAACCGGACAGCGGTGGCGATGGAGCAACCTAAAAGAGGAGTCCGAGTCCGGAAAGGAGCCACGTACCCAGCTTCTGTCCCGGGCAGAGGGCAATAGCTCATTTTGGACAGCGACGGCGGCAGCAGAAAACAAAAGTCACTTCCTCGGTAATGGAATAAATATCCGTGAGGACCATCTTTCGGTGCCCGCGCGCACATATAGCGACTGTCCAACATTTTGCGGCTATTTATGGAACGGACTTTACGGTTGGCAATTGAATCCGTAGGTGCGGAGACGGAATGCTTTGTTGGGAGATTTATTTTCGTCGGAGATAAAATTTTCATTTCAGTGGCGTTTTTGTGGTAAATTCTCTTGAATTTTAATAATAATTTAAGGAAAGTATTCTGAGAAAAATTATAAAATTATATTTAAACCCATTTACATAATAAATACAAATAAATCAATTTTGGATACATATTTAAAATTTATTTAAGGACAAAAACTAGCAACTAGCTTGCAAATCTTTTTATAAAAACTTTACTTGTTCTCTTGAATTGTAATAATAACTTAAGAAAAGTGTTTTGGGAGAAATTCAAATAATATTAAAAGTCATTTGCATATTAAATATAAATTAAATCTATTTAGGATACATATTTGAAAACTATTAAAGGACAAAAACTAGCAACTAGCTTGCAAATCGTTTTATAAAAACTTTACTTGTTTGTCAATTTTACCGATGAGCGACAGATGAAGCTTACTTGAGAGCAGAATTCTAGAGCATATTCCTCAGAACCTTGCTTGATTTCTTTCGTAGATACTTGGCTAAATGGAAATTGAAGTTGAATGGTTCGAATTTCGCTTACTGATTTCCCAGAAATTGTTATTCAAAAATCCAATTTTGCTGCATCAATGCTCAAGCAATTCCCAGCTCATCGCCGTCGTTTTTGTATATTTTGCATATTTGTCACATTGAAGATGACCAGCTGTGGGTCGGTGAAATTCGCAGCTCCACCTGCTTACCTGTGCTCACTTTTCACTCCGGTTCGATTGGGCCAAGAAGGAAATGCGAGACATGAAAGCTTTTGTGACACTGCACCCAGTGATGCGGATGCTGGAGTGGATGTCGCCCGTCTTTTATTGTCGTCGGTGTATAATTTTCACACTCCTGGCGCGGATGCGAATGCGGATGCGAATATCAAGAATAACAAGGATGGCTGTTTGTGCTACTGTTTAGACCTCCGGCGGTTTTGCCACCCCATCACGGCTGAATTGATTGCACTGAGCTTTGGCTCCCCATTTTTTTGTCATCCCTGCATTTTGCCTTCGCTCCTCTCAGCATTTTGATTATGTTGCAGCACTTTTGCATCATAATACTCATAAATATTTATGAGGCAAGTTGTCTAAACATGAAACCGGACGTAAAATATCGCTTGCACAATCTCTCCTTTTTCATGCATTTAAAGCAAAGCCAATATCAAATACAATCAGGCAAAATGTCTGGGCCGAAGCTTAGGCAAATGAAGGCGGATGATATGTGGTCGGAATTGAAATGAGAAATGAAAATATAAAATCACTTTGGCCGCAAAGAGCTATCGATTGCCGGTAAAATACTAACTGTTTTAATATGCGGAAAGTCAGTTTGTTCACCAAAAAACTGTCGAAATAAATTGAAAACATTGGCCAGCAAAATATTCTAACGATATCAATTTGCCTTCAATGTGTGCAAACAAAAAGATATAAAGAGAGGGAAAAAACAGATTATTTGGCACTTTGTTTTAGTTTGAATGCCCCCAAGAAATATTCGATTTTTTGCTGATAAAATATGTTTTGATTTGCAGACATTTAGTTGGCAGTTAGTTTTCCCAATGGTACGAAGTTTTTCAAACCAGTATGACAATTTGATTAGTTCGGAATAAGTTTAATTTTTTTTTCTGTTTTCGGTCGGCCGCAAAACTTTGCGACAGGTTTGATGAAAAATTTTGTGGGAAATTCCATGCAGTTTTAATGACTAGCTTGTGAAAAACTTTACCAATGGTGATTCCTCTGATCGAGTCAATTATTTAGGAAAATGTTTGCCACCCAATGGTTTATTTAAATTAAAAAAAGGGTTAACCAACATAGCTGGCTATTTATTAGATGCATTTATATATTTGGTTATAATTATGATTAAATAGTGTTATTATGCTGAGCAATAATAAGCTTTAAAATTGTGTTACATGGCGTATGCGCATTGCCAGAAAACATTGCATACTTTCAGGAGTGAATAAATCTTTTAAGTCCGCACAATTCACGCATAATGTGAGCTGAGACAAGTGATGCATTTAAACATAACACGCAACAGCATGCTGAAGTCTCAACATTTCTGAGACTTCTCGCCGACTTCTCAGTTTTGTTTAGCTCAACTCTTAGCCGGGTTTCGGGGATTGTCGGAAACTTGTCTTCACTTTTGACTTGTTCTTTGTGCGATGGCTGCAGTGACGGCAACTACAACAAATGACTCATTTTCCATGCACTTCATTCTACTGTTGCCGGCTTTTCTAGCGAAAGTTTCCGGCAGTCGTCCCAAAACCAAAAAACTCCGCCGAGGGGGAGGATAAGCAATCAAACTCGTTTCCCCTTCTGAGTTTCTGATATATACACCCGTTGTTTTGCATTTCATATAGCCTTGATATTTATCATAAATTTCACTGCGCAATGGTATTGCTTTGATGCGGCTTCCGCTGGCTTCCTCCCTTTCTTATATCTCCGGCAATCGCCTTGATTCATAAATTATTTCATATTTCATTTCCTCTGCGTAATGCAACAAAAAAGCAATGCTTAAAAAAATAAGTGCACTGGTTGGGGAGCACTGGGAAATAGTGGCAGTGTACACGCAAATACACACAGAAACACTGTTCGCTCTCACAGAACGACTGTATTTCAGTCTGTGCCCCACGGCGGTGCAATAAAATGTCTGCTTTTGCTGATTTTGTCTGCTCTTGTCCAAGCACTGGCCAAAGTAAACGTAATATTAATAACTCCAACTGCAACTCAAATTTCCCTCTTCAGTCAGCCCTTACATGTTTGCATGGCAAAAATGAAAGTAATCAACCAACGGCATGTTGCGAAAAATTATATTAAAAATTACAAAACGGAATCACATCATCTAAATACCTTAAATGGTATAAACTCACGTTTAATTTGATGAATTATACAATTTTTTTCTTCTGATTTTTAGATACACAAAAAAAATAAGTTGACAAACCGTTCATTTACGATTATATGCATGTTATTTATCAAGTTGTTAATCGCATTGTTTTGTAATTTTGTGAGCGGGTTTTTAATGAAAGGTTAATTGATAGTTACCTTTGCTTTCTCTGCTATTATTTACTAACCGTATGAATAAACGAAATTGCTTCCTTGTCATGCTACTTGGTTTATTTATTTTTCGTTGGCTTTAAATTTTTAGTGTTCATGTTTTGAATTGAATGAAAATCCATTTTTAAAATCACTAAAAAAGATTTGCATAAGTAAAAAGTCAAAATATTCAAAAGCAACGATACACCTCAAAGTATGAACTTATTATTTAAAATTCAGATAACACCTTATTAAATGCAGTTGTATTACACGTTCGCAAAGTGGCATTTTAATAAAATAATAGCAAGTTTTATATTGTCAGCAGGGTTATCGATTGTGGGAAAAAACTTTTGAAATACAGTAAATTAATTAGTTCAGGTTACAATTCAATTCAATTAATCGGTGTTGGTATTTACTGCTAATATTTATTGTGATTTTATTCTCTTGTATCAATTTACTCTTTTATTTTAACACCAGATTTGCAGTAGAACCAGAAATCAGAGTAGCAAACTCCTCCTTTTGTCCTGGCAAACCAATAGGCATTCTGTACATTTTGGGAAACATATTTAGGCCTGCCAGTTGGCATGAAAAACCATATTTCATAGGTGGGATTGTAGGAGAGCACCAAAACATCAGAGCTAATAGGAACGTGACAATAATATTAAGATAATCGCATTCGGAATATGGTGAAAGCTTACCTTTGCTGGCTGGCTGGCAGCAGCAGGATAATTGCAATTACTATTGTGGCCCACTTCATGTCGTAGATGTCGGACTGACTGATTGCGAATGTGAGTTATTTGTGTTTCCACCTGCTATTATTTACGAGCCACTCGAGGTTATCGCCGCACTGTTGAATGCGATATGGTGGTGTGAAGTCGGAATGGCAGCTACTAAAAACAAAAAACGAAAGTTGCATGCAATGCCAAGCCAAAACGGAATAGAAATGAATTAAAGCACACCTCCGGGTTGCCAGCATGTTTTGGCCTAAAGTGAAGGATACCCCCAGCAAAAAACTAAGTGTGATTTTAAACTTTTTTTTGTTGGCTTTTTGTATTTGCTTGTAGGGTGTGTTGCAGTCGTGTAAGCCAAGGGCGGCTATCTAGTCACCTGTTTTACAGTTTGTTTTTTATCTGGCCCTTTTGTTGGACAAGAGGCCAAATTGATTATACACTACGAATAAACACATTATGAGCGTAGTACAGCAACAAAAGTCCGGAATTGGGTAAATAAACAAACAAAAAAAAAAACGGGAGCAAGTCAAATAATGGCCAGGAGAAAAACCACGTGCTATATATAGTGTGTATTTCTGTGTGCTGTATATGAATGGGCAAACAATTGAGCCAAAACCAACAAGAAACCAAACAATAACATCTACTGCAATCGTAGACAAAAGCAGGCACGTTTTGCAAATTTTTGTACAGGCAAATATGTGAATATTTATCTGTCCGACAGTCACACCCACAAAGGTATCTCCGCCCATAAAGAAAGTCAAGTGAGATAGTTCTTTGTCCGGTTTATTATTTGCAACGAAGTTTTCCTTCCCTTTCAAGGTATTTTGCTAGTCAGTCCGTGCAGTCGCATTCGTTTTAGTTTTAAAGCTGCCAGAAGATGGTTTACTTTCTAGGACAATGAGCTGTCATTCGTAATGATTTGGTGCGGCCTTGCATGCAATGGCATAATAAGCCAAGCGAACAGCTCAGCTCCACTCCGCCCCACTTTGTGCATTTCGTGCGGCAGTCAACACTCATACGCCTCGTTGCACGGGTTGCTGCACGACTCGCTTCATTGTTGTGGCATATTGTTTCACATTTTGTAGCCGCCTATCCACAGGCAACAGGCAACTGTGCAGGCAAAATAAAAATATCACAAAATTGGTGTAGAATAAAGTTAAACCTATAAACTACAAATAATTTCTTCCTCCAGACTTAGTTTTTACCTGTTGTCTACAGTGTGCAATTAAGATATAAATTTAGTACAGTCTCTCTCTATGGAGTCTATATAAGCTTGTTTGTTTATTTGCAAAATCTATAAACAAAGCTGAAGAGAATAATAGTAATAATGATTTAATAGAAATCATTTAGAAATATAATTTTGGTTTTGCGAATTTTAAGACAGCCTTTGTATTTATTTCCTTACTAGAAATAATTTACATTATTTGCTTCACAAAGAACAAAGATATAAAATATTTTTACAAATATTAGAATTTAATTAAAGAAACAAAACATTTAAACTCTTACAAATTCCGAGATATGCCCTTAAATCCTTTTCGTAACTACTGATTTGTATTCACCAAAGTCAAAGTATTCTCTGAGTGCAACTACAACGGAGATCTAGAATATCGCAGCCAGTGCACATATGGTAAAACGTACAAACGTGGCCGGAATGTGCCCGGTCCGACCACTGACACGACTCCGGCGTGGAGTTTTGAGATGCCAGACGGAGTGGAATGTGTTGGGCCAGCAACTGCCGAAAATAGTTGCATATAAAGTGCTTCGAATTTAATTAAATTATAATTGGACACTGTGTGCAGCTGATGGCCAGACAATGTGTAGTTTAGTTTTCAGTTTCAATTACAAACAAAATCCCAATTAAGTTACGTTGTGGTGTCCGGTTATGACAGTCCGGCAGACTCTTCGGAGTCGGTTTCCGGAAACGCTATACTGGCATTTGGATAATACGTTAAGTGCTTCGCCCGACTTCACGACAATAATAACAACAAAAGGAGGAAAAACAGATTCCCAAGGGGCACAAAACGCTTAGCAGATTAGCCAGGGCATTCTTTCCCATTTTGATTAAAGTGCGAACGGTTACCAACAAAACAGAGCTGGCCAGGGACAATGGCCGAAAGCCAAATCAAATCAGCTGCAAACACGAAACAAAACGGACCAGAACCGGGAACAAAATAAAAGCATACGAACAAACAGCAAAGGAGAAATAATGTTGATGGAAAAAATAAAAAAGGACAAATCCGATGTTTTTCCTTTTCTTTGGTTTTTTTTTTTTGTTTGACATTTCAATCAGCATTTTTCAGGCGAATCACACATAAACACAAACACATAAAAGAAAACGTTAAGGAAATCGCATTATGGGAAAACATTTGACCATTTTTCATGTCCTGCCAAAACAAATGTCATACGAAAATTGAATTGTGGCAAAAAGATGACAGTGCCAGAATGCGCAGTAAATGTTCAAAGTTGAAATATCCGAATTAAATTCTGTATACCCGGCGTATGAGTAATTTGATTGAGAAAGCAGTTTTTTCACAGCGTGTCTGCGACAGATGAGCAGCGAAAAAATTAAATAATATTGTTAGTCAATAAAAAAGAGAAACAGAGTTTAATTACAGGTTGCGGTCGCGTGAATGTCAAAGCTGTTATACGTGCATTATTCCTTGTGTTCTGTTCATCCATTTTGCCTTAAATTAATTCTTTTCACTTTTCCTGTTCCAATTTAATATTTAAATTTGACTGACGAACCATAGCTTATTTGCCAGTCTCGGATCTTTAATGCTCGGGAATAACCTATGATTAAGGGACTTCCGTTTAAAGCCGTATGAAAATCCATACCTGGCATCTCCGGAAGTAAATGAAAAATGACCAAAGTCCGCGGAAATGCTTAGCCTGCAACCCCCAGCCCGTAAATGTCGGGGAAAAAATGGGCTTTCATTTAAATTTACGCGCCAACTTGAGCACAATAAAAGCAAATGTGAAACAGTTGCCCCGCAACGAACAGCAGCGCCAGCGAGGAAAATGTAAAGTCCAAAAGTCCACTTAACAAGAAAATTGTTTCCATGAGCGCTTTTTTTTCTCTCTGCCCTATGCATTAAAACCATTTTCATGCCCTCGCTTATTATTAGCTTTGGCAGCGTGTGGGTGAAGGTAACGCCATACAAAATACTTTGCACATTTTTATGACCGTGACAGTGCGACCAAGGAGCCCACAGAAAACTGCTGGCTCCTCCTGGTTCTCGTCGGCGTTCTCCTTCAGTTTTTCCCATTTCCCGAATGCCCGCCACCTCCATTATGTCACACTCCTCACCCACACCGGGGAAACCCAAACAATTTCCCCCAGAGTTTATGAGCGTGAAAAAATGTTTACTGGTTAGAGCTTCATGTTTTTTGTTCCGCTTTTTTTTTACGAAATAAAGTCACTGTTTTATGTTGCAGGAAAAAAGGTAATTAAAATGTTTTTTTGTTTTGTTTTTTGTAGACCAAAACGAAGCATGTCACGAGAAGATAAAGTTCTTTATTTTTTAGTTGCAAAGTTTGCAGTTCTTCTAGGCAACATAAAATTACGGATCAGGGTACTGCGAAATGTTAAGTTAGGAGGTACTTTTCATCTCTCCCTTGAATTCAAAAAATGTTTGTAATGTCACCTTTTGGCCAATGGAAATAACTCAGGAAATGGTCACTGAATGCAGCTATTTCGAATTTCATAACTCAATGCCAAGGTGAAAAGTGTAAAAACAAAAATAGGGGCATTGATTTTGTTCTTATCATTCGTTTCAAGCCATTTCACTTCGTTTACTCCGGTCGAAGCCGTCAACGAAAATGAAGCCGGAGTCCAAGACTGATTTCGTTTGCGGTCTGTGTTTCAATTTCGGGATGGGATGGGATTGGGTTCGGTTGGGATTTGGGTCTTTCCTTTCGCATTAGACATCATCAAGGTCCCCCGTTCGAATGCCGCCCGTTCACCGCATCCTCATCAGTTGCGCTTCATTGTGTTTTATTCGTTGCCGCTGTTATCGCATGTTAACACTTCATGGCAAATCCCAGGCAGCCCGCCAGTTCGTCCGTCCGTCGGTCCGTCCGATGTCCTTTCCCATCATCATTGGAATGACCTTTCGTTTTGGGGCGTGTATAGCATGTAGGACTGTGTGAATGCGGCACACGCTTAGTTAGTTTCTGCCAGACGCTTTGCGTGCAAAATGTCAAAATACATTTTACTCGGATTTATGGTCACTGGTCGTCGCCACCAACTTCTTCCTCTCCGCATCCCCACTCGTATATGCTTGTGGGATTTGAGCTTGTCTTTGGCTATTTTTGGGGATTTACACGCTTATCACACACACACACATGCTCCGGTCGAAATGAAAATATTATGCTACATTTCATTAAAGGAGCACTCACACACTCGCCAGCTCTTAGAACACATCCCTATATCCTGCATCCTTGAATGCTTTACAGCCACTTAAAATAGATTAGCTTTCAACGTTTCGGGCCCTTAGGCAAACAAAACGACTGAAAAAAGGCGAAACGAATGGAGGAAATAATAAATAGCACCGCCATAATTCATTTTAGTTTCTTGTGGCCATCGTCCGCAGATGTAATAGAAAAGCCATTGAAAACATAAGCAACTGTCAATGATTTAACGCCCGAAATCTGAAATCAGAAATAGTTATACGTGACGGGTCTCGGAGATGGCAAGTTCGGAGACCCTGACAAAACGACACTTTGACAAATGGGATGGCAAGCATTTGAAAGCCAACAACTTCTCAATCATGTTGGGCAGAATCCAAAAAAGGTGCGTCATAACAGGCATCCTAAGAGGATACTTGATTTTCGAAGGGAATCAATTTATTTCCCTTTTCAAGCTGGGAATCCTTCAGTCTTAGCGATTATGGCCCCAAGCTCTTGGCCAAAGTGAGTCCTACTAAAAGGGATCTGCTCACTTGATAGCCAATCCAAACGCGTTCATATTTCATTTCATTTGCCATGGCTTCCTCAGAGTTATAGCATCATTTGCCCTTCCGAGGCCTTCGTCATCTCGCATCATCGTCTGCGAAAGGCCAAACTAAAAATGCGCCTTCGCTCCATGTGGCCCCATCATCGCAATCTGTGTCCTGCTGTTGCCGCAGCTTCCACAGCTATTATTGTGCCACCAACTTTTCTGTTGCTGAGCGCCAGGGCGGCCCACAAAAAAAGGGCAAAAATATTAGCCTCTGCCTCTCAATCGCTCGGCTAAGGAAAAACCTTAGAAAAATAAAAACCAAGAAAAGGGGTCAGTGGTGGGTCGGCAAAAAAAAAAAAAGAAAATATAAAATGGTTTATTTATGCAAATTGTCAATGGTTTTTGCTCTTCACAAGATAGACGAGCCGAGAGGCCCGACCGCTTTTAGCCGAATTGCCTGCCAACTGAGTGGCGACGCCGTTGACAGACCGTTTTCATAGCTCCAGCATTCCCAGGATTCCCCTCAGCTAAACCTTTAATTGAAATGTATTTCAATGAGCTGAAGTTGCTGGGGTTATTGTCCACAGGACCAAGTCAAACAAGTGGCCTCGACAAGAGCAAATGAGCAGCGCACAAAAGCAGGCCTTAAAATATTTACATTGCCCGCTAATAGCGTGACTTGGCCTAAACCCACACACACACCCACACTCGCACAAACAATGAGAAGGGGCTTTGGCATGCCAAAACTTCATAAACCATGCGATGCGAGCCATTGTAATGCCCGCAATCTACACAATTTTCATTGTAAATTTCACCAGCCACCGCAATTTCAGCTGAATATTTGTTTAAATGATAATCAAATGCAGAACCCTACCCTCATTTATCACCTACGCGTCTGTGCGATTCTGGCTAGCCAGTTTGGGTAATATTTTTTACCATTTACCATTTTCCGTTTTTCAAACCCCAGACAGCGGTGGTCAGAGGTCAGAGTACAGCTTTATCTACACCGTAAAAGGGCTTTGGATTTTCTGTTTACCTCCGCTGGCCCAAATGACAGTTTCAATAGCCCTTTGGCGGGACACTTTCTATATCTGTCGGCGGATATGTGCATGTCCGAGTGCCTGTTGACCACTGGAACGGCCGGCCATCGTCGGAGCGGATGCCCCTTAACATTTATATCTAACCAATGACAGTCTGAACTATTAAAAGCAGCAAAATGCGGTTTTTGAGAGGAATCAGGAAAAAGTTGTTGAAAATACTTGGAGACTATTTCTGGTTGTGTAACTATTATTTAAATTTGAAAACTTCAAAGAATAAAATTAAAAAGCAAAGCAAGTTGGTTGAATATCATTTATTGATTTGTTTATACAAATTGTTTTCAAAACTCCAGAAACCGCCCTCTTAAACCATTGCTAATCGTTTTAGCCAAACAATTCGTTTTGCTAATGACTCTGAATGCTTTTGTTTTCAAAACGCGGCTTGCGTTTCACACATTGTCCATGTTTGATCGCCAAACAACTTTGTTGCTTTTGCAGCTATTTCTGCTGCTCAATGGTTGCGCTTCTGACCCGCAAAGTGAACGTGGGTAAGCGGAAAAATGGTGGCCAAAACAAGTTAAGAATCGCCGCTCCTTTTATACTCGCTTTGTCAGCTTGCGGGGAGAATGAGGAGCGAGCCTGTTTGCCGTGCACCGAGCCTAGATGTTCATATCCGTACATCAATGAACCGCTCTGCGTTTTCCTCAAGAGATGCAAACTGGGATGTGGCTGCAAGTTCGGATACATCCGGCACGATATCGACAACCGATGTGTGCCTGCCATAGGGTGTAAACGGTTAAGGCCAATTCCGCAACTGCCAATTCCATTTCAGCAAAGTGTCGTTCTCAGGAATTTTAATATAAGTAAAAGTAATACAACAAATTAAGGTAAAATAGTATTGCAGCCTGTGTTTTGCTTCATCAGAGAGTGGCATGTTATAATTTGCTAACTTAATAATTATTTGTCGAGTGTAATATTCTTATTAACGCCCTATGAATATCTGCAAGGAATAAGCGATGGATTGTAAATAACTTGAGTAAAAATGATTCCAAGTTTCCATGGGACTTAAATTTATTAAAGACGCGTTTACACTAAATAAAAGATAAAATAAATTGTAGAATATTTCGGTTTATATCCGCTGACCTGCTTCTTCCGCATTTTTGTCTTCGTCAATTTCCATGCGACAGGATTTTTACGGCCCTGTTTGTGCTTCGTTTCCATTGCCGATTCAACCACTTGGTTGCAGCTCTCTTTCTTTTTATGACAACAACGCGATATTGTGTCTTGGGAATTCTATGTTTTTAGCAGCGAAAGTTTTATTGTTGATTTTTGCGGTGCTCGAGATTTACGACGCTGTCGGTGTCCTGACCCCATTTCAGGGGGAACTTCGCTCTTGTTTGGTTTTTGTGGCCGCCGCCAGTTCATAAAGCATACAATCTTAAATCTCTGCTCTCAGATTTTTCTTCTTCTAGCACATAAATATTAATTTAGCCGCAGTTACTTTCGCTCTTTTTACGTTCTTTTCACTTGCTTTCTGGTTTCTGGCTTTTGATATGTGACATTTGTTTGCTTGCACTTTACTTTATGAATGGAAATTATTGCTCGACATTTTTATTTTTCAGCTTGGTTTTATTGCCGCCTGTCGTTAACTTTTATGAATGTAATCAGCAGCAAAGTGATTGCCAACTTTCATAAATAGAACAAAAGCTATTGACATTTTATGAAGTCAACCTTTACGGTTGCCTGAATTTCTCATATGTATAAGTGATGGTAAATAATTTAACCGGGGAAGTCCCCAAAGAGTGAAAAATACAATGTATTTATTGGATCACTAGCAAATCAATTGCGTAAGTGTAATCACATTTTAAATACGCACTCAAACTAAATATTGTAATCTTTTAACTAGGGAATTACACTGCCATTTGTGTTCTATTTCAATTTACGCTCTTTTGGATAACTATGAAAATGGACTTCCGATGAATGTTTGTTCATGTCATGCCAATCAATTATTTAGCATATTTTATAAATTTCTATTGGCTCACAATTTGATCCCAAAAGAGCACGGAAAACGTTTTGCATTTCCGCTAAGCTGAATTAAACGTTAATACTTCCGCTATGTGTGCGCTGTGTCCAAATGCGCATAAATTTCTAACAAATTTAGCACAAAATGGTTATTATTATATTATTTCGGAAGACTGGCGATGGGCTTTCGAGCGGATTTTAATGGGAAGGCATAAAAGCAATTAAACCCCAGGCAAAGTGCTCACACGATGGCAGACACAAAACTGTTATTATTATTATTTTTTTGTGGCGGCTGTGGGCCTTTTGGACGGCTTCCATTTAAGTTTCGTTGGCGCAGCACCGAAATAAAATTAAATTACCCATTAGTGGTAGATTTTTGTCTCATTTTTTTGCGGCACAAAATTGTATTTAATGCGTTTTAACGTGGTGCTCCATATAAATTTATTATGTTTTAATTTATTGCCTGTTATTAAGCTCCCATTGTCGCTCTTTTCCATATTGCCTCACTCTGGTTTTGTTGTTAAAATATTGTGATTCGCTGGACAAAGAAAGAGGAGTAAGTCCTGTTTTTTAAGAGCTCATTTGAAGTGCTGGTAACTATCTTAAGCCACTAAACAACTTGACAACAATATATATCAGAAACAAATAAATCGAACTCGAGCCACAAAGGGGATTACGGTAAAGAGCCCTTGGACAAGACTCCGGCTAAAGCGCCGGGTCCGCTTTCCTTGTCCCTTTTCCCTCTATAATCGACTTGGTCCGCTGTGGTGCCCACAATAAATTCAAAACTTTTCACCCCCAGGGCAGCACACCTCTTTGGTTGAGCGTTTTTTCTTCTCATCTCTCGCTTTTCTGGCCATTTAAATGGTGAACTTTTATGGAAACAAGCTTACACGCATTCTTGCTTCCACAAATACACACATACACAGAAACACAATTTGGTGGGGCAAGGACTGGAAGATAAGGAGGCAAGGACCAAGGACCATGGAAACCCACGGAGCTCTTAATTCCTTATGGCCAACAACAATTCCGCCCGCCTGCCAATTGTTTAATGAGCTGAGTTTTCCTCGGTTGTTTTCTCCATTTTTCTTGTTGCGTGTTCTGCTCATTTCGGTTTCACTAAGCAGCGGAAATTGTCAGATAAGAGAATTTCACAAAAGTTGCTCATTTTAATCGAGAAACTTTTGTCTAGTTTGATTGCCAAGAACTATGTATCCAGGCCGTTCGCTTGTCAATGTGTAGGAGTTTCGACTTGTGGACAGCTGGGCTCTGCTTTTATCTTTTGTTGAGGCCTGGCTGTCGGGAAAATTGACAAATAATGATAACAACAAGGAGGAGCTGCTGGGGCCAAACTTGTTCTAATTATAAACTTCTAAATGCAAATAGTTGGCTGTCTAAAACGGTTCAAATATTTCTGCAGATATAAATTTTATAGCAGCTGTGGGTGACAAAAGCAGAAAAAAGTTTACTTTGTCTGACTTATGAATCTATTTTGAATGTATACAACCGAAAATTTTATTCATTTCTTTTCTAAAAAACAAAAATAGATGTGATTTTAAGCTTCAAGGGTTTGTTAGTTGGTTGTAAAGTTATTCTACCTTAAATAAAATTATTTATTTTATAAATTATGAAATAAATAAATTTTTAATAAAACAATCAAAGAACTTGAAAGTACTGAGTATGTAATATTCATAATAATAATTAGAAGTGCAAGTATATATGCACTATTCACCTTTTAAAAAACATCTACAGTCGACAGTTTAATAAAAATATTGTACTGTATTTTACTATAAACCTTATAAGAATAGATATCCAACCATAAACCAATACATTCAAAAACCCATAAGGTTTTCCCACCTCGAAATCCTCCCTTTACTTTGATCCTTTCGCATTTCGAACAGCCTTAAAATATGCCACAAAATATTCACTGGCCTTCAAGTTATGTGTGTTTCCATGCCACCTCCATCAATACTATGCCAGGCGAATATAAAATTCCTTCAAACAGCTCATATTCAATTTAATTGTTGTGAGTGCAATGAAAAGGGGATTATCCGTTGTTCGATATTAATAAGCCTTGAGTGCGTGCCATAAATAAAAGTGCACATTCTGCCAAGCAAAAAGAGTGATATCGACAAAGAAAAAACGGCGGAGTGAATGGAAAAATTTCACAAGCCTTCACTCTGCGTTAAATGAAGTTGTGAGTTGATGGAGGACCCACCTGCGTGGAACCAAAAATATGCATTTAATCCTGATGTGCATTTAATTAATGCGTAAAATAAACACTCCCGCACATGCACATTTTTCAGCCAATAAATTTACTTGAAGGCCTTGGGCGGTAGTAAAAATTAAAGGTGAAACTGTGTAAAACATTTTTGAACTCTGTTCTGTGCAGAGTGCATCGCTTAAAATGGACTTACTTCGTGTATATTGAAGTCGACGTGGAGGGCTTAACTTAATGTGCGTTGCACCATCGATATTGGTTCGCTTTCAGCTCCATGTAATATTAAATGTTTTCTCTCCTCTTTAACCGCAGGTATGCGCCCTATCCAAACGCGCCGTGATATTGCAGTCTTCGGATATCCTCGCCTATAATGAGCTCCCACTCCACCAGGCCAATAGCATTAATGGTAATGCGAACGGCAATGGCAACGGCAACAATGTGGGCGGCATTACGGCCATGGCCTCGAAATCCTCCGCCCCGCAGAACATCATCGCCAATGCAGGGCTGAGCTATGAGGATGTGCTCAACGACGACTTCCAGTTCGACATGGATGGCCATGACGTGATGGTCTTCCTGCACATCCAGAAGACGGGCGGCACCTCCTTCGGTCGCCATCTGGTCAGGGATCTCGATCTGAAGGTGAGCCAGCTACCTCATAAAATAATTCTTATTTTATAAATCCTTATATATTTCATAAATTTATCTAAGTTTTTATTCTTACTTTTAAAAATAAACTTTGAAACTGGGATACAGCGATCAGAATATTTTTTACTCCAAATAACATAAATTAACAACAATTTATAAGAAACCTTTGCTTTGACAAATCAAAATATCAATGAAAAATTGCAAAATTTATTAGAAAAAGTACTGTTGTCAGAGTTTGTTAAAATATTGTTAAAGAGATAAAAAGACATTTGTAATCTAATAAAATGTAAAATTGTATTTTTTGGTAACGCCTTTGAACATTTCACAAGCTTAATTTAAATTCTATCTATTTGAAATCTAAAAAAATGGGTTTTTTATGAGAATAGGTGCAATGTAGAGCATCAAGTATAGTTTAGGAAATGACGCTGTTTTGAGTTATTTTCATATATCTCTTCGAATTGAACTCTTCATCTAATTTGATTAAAATGTATTGTAAGGGAATTCAAATTTCAGCAAAAACAAATAAAATATAGTTTCCTTTGAAGAATGGAAGTTTGCTTCCGTTCTCTTTATATTATATTAAAATTTCATTGAAATATTTGATATGCATTGTAACCTATATCTTGATGAACCACTTCCAGCGGCCCTGCGAGTGCCAGCGGCAGAGGAAGCGCTGCTACTGCTTCCGACCGCACCGCAACGAGAACTGGCTCTTCTCCCGCTACTCGACGGGCTGGAAGTGCGGCCTGCACGCCGACTGGACCGAGCTGACCAGCTGCGTGGACGTGGAGCTGGACAAGAACGAGGGGGAGACGGCCAAGCGGCGGTACTTCTACATCTCGCTGCTGCGGCAACCGATTGCGCGCTACATGTCCGAATATCGGCACGTGAGGAGAGGCGCCACCTGGAAGGGTTCGCGCCACTGGTGCCTGGGTCGCCAGGCCACCGCCGCCGAGCTGCCCGCCTGCTACAAGGGCAAGGACTGGCTGGACGTGGACCTGGACCAGTTCGCCGGCTGCGAGTCCAATCTGGCGGCCAACCGGCAGACCCGCATGCTGGCGGACCTCGCCCTCGTCGGCTGCTACAACAAGTCATCGATGCCCGCCCACGAGCGGGATCGCGTGATGCTGGCCAGCGCAAAGCGCAACTTGGCCGCCATGGCCTACTTTGGACTGACTGAATATCAAAAGGTATTTCCCCTAATAAATATCTCCTCAGAGTGTTTAACTAATGTTCTGTTTTCCAATTCTGTTAGATGTCCCAGTACATATTTGAGGAGACCTTCAACCTGCGCTTCGCCATTCCCTTCGAGCAGCATAACACCACAATCTCGGCGACTGCCGTCCAGAACCTTCGACCCGACCAAAAGCGTCGCATCGAGAAGCTCAATGGCCTGGACATCGAGTTGTATGCCTTCGCCAAGACTTTGCTCTTTCAGCGGTAAGTACACTTACCCCTTCGATCAGGATCGCAACCTATGTACAGATATTTATAACACCCAACCTAATTGGCTTATCTGCCGATAGAAACCAGGCTTTACTTGTGTTTTATGTACACTCCTTGTTAGTTACAATCTCAGCAAGTTTGCCTGGTCTGGAAAACCCGAACCAGAGTCGTAGATCCAGTTCTCTAGATCCTCTTTTTCTTAACATCATCGGGACGTCTGGTCGAAGGTCGATGACTCAGGTCCGCGTCCTTTGTAGCGCTTTGTATCCCATGAGGGTGCGATACCCCTTTGATCACCAGGGACCAAGCCAGTCGACGAGTCCTTTGTTGCCCTCTTACTCTTTCTTGTGTTGACACTCGCTCCTGCAAAGCGCATTGTTTGGAAGGGAGGGAGAATGGATCCCATGGAAGCACCATTAGATCGCGTTACTGTTTAGCGCGTTCATTGAGCGGTGGTTATGCATGGACAGGCATGGGAAAATTACGTCGGAGGTGTCTCGGGGCAGAGAATTTGTCATTAACATCATTTATATTGCTTTGCGTTGACTTCATCAAAGGATCTGCTAATTATGGAAACCTTTTTCAATTTAATTTTCATTTCCATTTGAAAAAGGTCACGCCGGACCTACAAAGGTAAAATCCTTTATGGTTAAAAATCTAAATATTTTTGAAAAGATTTTATCCTGGTATTCAATTCTCTGTACTCTTTCTTATGGATTGCAATTTATTTGAATACATTTGAATGTAGTTTATTGATTTACGTTTATCATAACATATTATTTTCTTATCTTTAATCAATTTTACAACAAAAACATTTCTGTTCTGGTTGATTTTACATCCTTTTTCTTTGCTTCAAAATGAATTATTCTTCGCTAATTTTCTCTGGCACAGCTGTGTGTGGATGACCCACCCAGAATTTCATGCCTGCCTGCTTTAACCTAGAATTATCACCTCCCAGTTGCCGCTCATTGTTCGTTGTCTAAGAAACAACCAGCTGAGCAGTTGGCCGTTGTGACAATCTCCCTGAATTTTAAGAGGGAGAAAATAGCAGGCGACACAGGAAGCTACCACAGGATCAGCAGGACCTCATGAGGGTCTCTGCAGATTAGCGATGGCCGATTGCCCAACTATCTGCCGTGATCACAGAGGAAATCTCTGACGCATTTCCATTTTCCTCGCAATTCAATTCGTTATAATTCAATTCAACTCACCGCGCAGGCGCGACTCGCCCATTTCCCTCGCATTTCCGACGCATTTTCCATTCAATTATGCGGGCATCGGATTTCGTATCAAATTAACAACTTATGCTGGTTGCCAGCTGGGTTGGGTTATCCAACGGATAATGCAGCCCATTCAGCCATCAAGCAATATCCTTGTACTCGTAGTCGCAATCCTCTCGAGCAATCGCATTCGTATCCTTAAAGGGGAAGGAGAAACTGAGACAGATGTGAGTGTGTCTCTGCTCGTCCGACACGGCACATTTCCCATATATATATCTGAGTCAGGGAATGCGGAACTCCGGCGTCCTGTCTTCTGTCTTCTATCTCCACCCCTACCCTTCTCGCTACCCCCACTCCTCCTCGATTTTGAACCCTCCTCGTGCTGTCTTGAAGTACAATTGCAACATTTGCGCGCGCTAAAATGAAAACATTTTCTTTACGAGTGTACATACATATAGGGCCGACGTCTTGACAAATACACAGATAAGAATCCTGTGGGTAAAAACTGTGGCACGAACCACCACCAAAACAAGCTAAAAGAAATATCTAGAATTTCAGTTGATTAGAAATATAGATACCCTTTAAAATATATATCGTCAAAAGAAGTTTAAAAATTTGAAAATAGTTATTTAGTGATTAAAAACTTAGTTTTGCAACCACCTGAATTAATTTCTTTTAATTGCCTGAGTGCTTCCTCCTTTCGAGTATTTTAGTAACATTCCTAAATAGTAAAAGTGCAATATTTATTAGATATCATAGTCACCAAGTGTCTTGATGAAAATCTTTATTGAGAAAATTAAGAGTTTTTATTAAAACAATTATGCATCAGCTTCACAAAGTACATTTTGTTAGTACCTTATTTATTTACATTAAGATTAAGTACATATTCTTAACTATGCTTCTAATAGTTTTTGGAACCTTAAAAAACCTTAACAAGACATCGAATCGGAAATTCCCTACCTTATATAGGGTATAAACCCCGAAAAGGTGAGACAACGAGGATCGCTTGAAGCGAGCCCTGCTAGAGGGTTGTTTTCCTCGTTGCCCCTCGCTCTATCTCATTCCCGCTTTCTATCTCCCTCTCGCTCCGCCAGCTGAACGCGATGTCTGCCTCTGCGATCCTGGACAGAAGTGGAACTCAGTTAGGTTTTGACAGCGGAACGCGTAGGTACAGTGAAACGGGTAGCAACGGGAAAGCGGGTTTAGTGTAGAACAGAACAGACTACGAAGTACAGAAAAAAAATTTTAAACGAACCACAGACGATTTGTTAAACAGTTGCAAATACCAAACCAAAAGTTAAAGTTGTGTTTATATTTGATCGTTGAGTTATTGTTATTTAAAAGTTAAACGAGCGTTATTTATGAGAATCTAAGACAAAATCCAAAGAATCGAAACAAAGTTAAACGAAAAGTCGCCCCTCCAAAAAACAAAAAAGAAAAACATAAGTTCGAAGATGTCTTTCTCGAAGGCCAAATTGAAGCGTTTCAACGACGTGGATGTGGCCATCTGCGGCTCGCCAGCTGCCTCAAACAGCTCGGCGGGATCGGCGGGCAGTGCCACGCCCACCGCCTCAACGGCGTCAGCTGCTCCGCCCACCGTTCAGCCGGAACGTAAGGAGCAGATCGAGAAGTTCTTCAAGGATGCCGTTCGCTTTGCGTCCAGTTCGAAGGAGGCCAAGGAGTTCGCCATTCCCAAGGAGGACAAGAAGTCCAAGGGATTGCGTCTCTTCCGCACTCCCTCGTTGCCGCAGCGTCTTCGCTTCCGTCCGACGCCGAGTCACACGGATGTGGCCAGTGGCACCGGAAGTGGGGCCTCCACAGCAGCTTCGACTCCTCTGCACTCGGCGGCCACGACGCCCGTGAAGGAGGCCAAGTCCGCCAGCCGGTTGAAGGGCAAGGAGGCTCTGCAGTACGAGATCCGCACCAAGAACGAGCTCATCGAGAGCCAGTTGAGCCAGCTGGACGTACTGCGTCGCCACGTGGAGCAGCTGAAGGAGGCCGAGGCCAAGTTGCGCGAGGAGCACGAACTGGCCACCGCCAAAACAGACCAGCTCATCGAAGCGCTGACTGGCGAGAACCTCTCGCACAAGGCACTCAACCAGCAGCTGAGCCAGGAGCACGCTGATCTCCTCGAGCGCCTGGCCGCCATGGAGCAGCAGTTGCAGCAGCAGCGCGCAGAGCACGAGAGCCAGGTGGAGAACCTGATCGCAGAGAGCGAGGCCCTGCGTCTGGCCAACGAGCTGCTGCAGAAGGCCAACGAGGAGCGGGACGTGGTGGAGGAGCAGCTCCAGGCGCAACTCTCTGCTTTGCAGAAGGATGTAACCCAGGCCAGGGAGCACTGCAGCTTGGAGCAGGCCAAGACAGCCGAGAACATTGAGCTGGTGGAAAACCTGCAGAAGAGCAACGCCTCCCTGCTGAACGACGTGATGCAGCTGAAGCAGCAGATCGAGCAGGATGCTTTGGCCTACGGCCAGGAGGCGAAGAGCTGCCAGGCGGAGCTGGAGTGCCTGAAGGTGGAGCGAAACACTCTGAAGAACGACCTGGCCAACAAGTGCACGCTGATCCGTTCACTGCAGGACGAGCTGCTGGACAAGAACTGCGAGATCGACGCCCATTGCGATACCATCAGGCAGTTGTGCAGGGAGCAGGCTCGCCACGCGGAGCAGCAGCAGGCGGTGGCCAAGGTGCAGCAGCAGGTGGAGAACGATCTGGAGAGCGCCGTGGAGCGCGAGAAGAGCTACTGGCGCGCCGAGCTGGACAAGCGCCAGAAGCTGGCCGAGAACGAGCTGATCAAGATCGAGCTGGAGAAGCAGGACGTGATGGTCCTGCTCGAAACCACCAACGACATGCTGCGCCTGCGCGACGAGAAGCTGCAGAAGTGCGAGGAGCAGCTGCGCAACGGCATCGACTACTACATCCAGCTGAGCGACGCACTGCAGCAGCAGCTGGTGCAGCTCAAGCAGGACATGGCCAAGACAATCACCGAGAAGTACAACTATCAGCTGACTTTGACCAACACTCGAGCCACCGTCAACATTCTGATGGAGCGACTGAAGAAGTCCGATGCGGATGTGGAGCAGTTCAAGGCGGAGCTGGAATCGGTGCAGCTGGCCAAGGGAGCGCTGGAGCAGAGCTACCTCACACTGCAGGCCGATGCGGAGCAGCTGCGCCAGCAGGTGAACGAGAGCCAGGAGGCGCTGGCCGCATTGCGATCCTCGTCGCAGACGCTGCAGAGCGAGGTATCGTTGAAGGAGTCCCTGCTCCACGAACTGCTCGCCGGCGAGGCGGAGACGTTGGCCAAATTCAATCAGATTGCTAACTCGTTCCAGGAGCGCATCGACGGCGACGCCCAGCTGGCCCACTACCACGAGCTGCGGCGCAAGGACGAGACGCGCGAGGCCTACATGGCGGACATGAAGAAGGCCCTCGACGAGTTCGCCACCGTGCTGCAGTTCGCCCAGCTGGAGCTGGACAACAAGGAGCAGCTGCTGGTGAAGGTGCGCGAGGAGTGCGAACAGCTCAAGCTGGAGAACATTGCCCTCAAGTCCAAGCAGCCGGCTTCCGCCTCGCTTTTGGGCACTCCCGGCAAGGCCAACCGGTCGAACACCACCGACCTGGAGAAGATCGAGGACCTGCTCTGCGACACGGAGCTGCGTTCCGACTGCGAGAAGATCACCTCGTGGCTGCTCAGCTCCGCGGAAAAGTGCGTCCGCCAGGACAGCAGCAACGAGATCAGCGAGCTCCTGCTCGCCGGCAAATCCTCGCCGCGTCCCGCTCCCCGCACCCCCAAGGCGGCCGCATCGCACACCCCGCGCAGTCCGCGCACCCCCCACACGCCCCGCACCCCGCGTTCCGCGGCGAGCACCCCCAAAAAGACGGTGCTCTTCGCCGGCAAGGAGAACGTGCCCAGTCCGCCCCAGAAGCAGGTGCTCAAGGCTCGGAACATCTAGGCCACCACTTTGTACCAACTACTCTACTCTACTATTATAAATTATATACCCTAGCTAAGATCTGATTTGAAATATACGCACTCACTTTGTAGACAAAACACCTACAACCTCTGATTAAATATTAATTCGTTTGTTTATTTGGAAACTTGATATATCTTTGTCGAAATATTCCTTCAGTGAACACGGCTAATTTTTGTTCCTTTCATTTTTACAATATTCCTTCCATTCTTACAATATATAACAAAATGTTTTGCATTTGATTATATGATACAGTAATACTGTTTTCACAGAAGAAAAATATTTTATATTTACGCCTTAAGCGTACAGTTTCTTTGATAAACAATAAAACTAAACTGCATTCTTAAAAGCAGATATTTCTTGATTGTAAATACAATGACTGTACCTGAACAATGAGGAAATTATTTACATTTTTCCGGACAACCCTGAGGAACCCGTTTTGATTTCGCTTCCCTCGACTGTGATGGAATTTTCTCAGGCTGAACCGCCTTCGGGAAGGGTGAAGCCAGCAAGCCATGCAATCCGATGGAATCTTGCGACGCTGATTACGCACACGTGGCCCTCGGAACCGCCCCTTCTCCCCATGGTTACTCGATGGGAACGATTGGAACCCCTTCCCGGTGCCTCAGTTCCTCAGTTCCTTGGCTCTGTAGTTTTATTAGTTCCTCGAGCGAAACGGAACAGCTGCGCCTGCGCTTCCTCCTCAAGGGTGGTTAAGCCATACCTTCTTGGGTTAAGGTAAAAGTAAGGGAAATACCTATGCACCACCACCACCACCACCAACAACAACAAGAACAACAACCACTGGTAGTTGGAAGCTCGGTTCATTAATTGTGACTTAAGCCTGTTGACGGGGTTTTCCCTTCGCCTTTTTGTTTTTCCGCTCCTTTTCCCTTCGTTTTCCCTTAGAAATCTCTGACGACTGCCTGCATGGCAAGCGGCCCTTTGTCTTGGGCCGCATAATGGCCGCTTATGACCTTTGACATTTTCTGCAATGCTCACAATGCCCCGGGCAAGGTACACACACATACCGTAAGTGAAGGAAGACTTGCCCAAGACGGGGATTTATCCATTATCCATTGTGCATACAGCTGTACCTCGGGCAGCTGCATCAGAAATTGAGGGTTCCGTTTTAGTGGCGGGGTGCACATAAGAAAACATTCTATTGCGCAGAAGTAAATTGAGCAGCTTTTGTTGCAAGACCCACAATGCAGTAGAGGGTCGAATGGGGTGGTAAAATAGCTAAGAATAACGGGAAGGAAATGCCAACACAAGTTGCAACGTAAATCCCCGAAGAAAGTAGATTACGCATTCAGACAAACGGTGATTAAGATATTCGCCTACCTGCGCTAATACGCAGAAGAACTATGCTGTTTATTGAGGTACTTCTATGAAAAGTCAGCATATCTACGATTTCCTTCAGTTCGAGATGTAAAATATATGTTAACAACTTTAGAATACGATGCATGCATATTACAAAGTCGTGTTTCATTTAAAAACATTTCAAGAAAAAATAACTGATCTTCATTATACCCTTGCAGAGAGTATTATAATTTCAGGCAGACACCTCAGCAACAAAATTATAGCGTCGTTGTTTTATAAGAATAAGAATGATTTTTGGAATTTAGAGTTTTCTAACGACTCTTAAATTTCGAATTCAATTTTTTTAAAAATGGCACACTTTATCACCAATCGTCAAAAATATGAAAAATTAATTAATTAACAACCTGCGTCATTAGTTTTTTTTGTTTGCCGACTTTTTTTTAATAATAGAATTATAATTTTGATCAGATTTTGAAGTGACAGACCAAGAAAATTTCTAGGTTTTTTTATAAAGTTCTTTGAACACGTCCAGAATTTCTTGTTTGCAATCTTTTTTATGAAAACTTCGCACAATTAAAAATCCCATCTACTAAATTCTGTTGGCCTGGTATTTGAAATCTAAGAGTTCCATTAGTCTAGGCAAAATCGGTCAGCAAAGACCACAATTTTTGGGCCAAACGCATTCTAAAGTACCAGGCGAATATGAAGCTGTAGTAGGGTGATACTCTTGGAATTTCTTACTTAATCTAATTTTAACCCGATTTTGAGGTATGCCTCCCTGTAAAAGTTTCGAAAATTCCAAAAAATGGGTTTGCTGAAAATTAACAAAAATTCACAAACTCTAATTCGATATGTTTTCTTATTTTAATCTTTACTAATTATTATTGTTTTTTGTTAACAAACACAGTATTTTAAATCTTACCGCCAAAGGTAGTGTTGCCACTCAACGGCACTGCCAGAGATTAATCATGGATAAGTGTTAACCAGCCTATCCAAGGCTCCAACCAATTAGATAAGGTCTTTTTAAAAACTCAAGTATAACAAGATATAATAAATTTAAGACACTAAACAAAATTTGGCACGGGAGTTGAAGGCTATCCCGGAAAACGCTTATAAAAAATGTTTCGAAGACTGGAAGAATCGCTGGCATATGTGTATTGCCTCTAATGGGGACTACTTTGAAGGCGACAAAATAAATTTGGATGAATAAATAGAAAATGTGAGTGTTATTAACCCAGTCCCGGTACTTTTTTGACAGAAGGTATAACAAGATATATGTAAAAAATTTAAGGAATATTCAAAGAACTTAAATAAATATTTAGGTTGCCAATTAATACGCAAATATCTATTTATAATATTAAAACCATACTTTGAATTGATATTTATTGCAATAATCATGACATGCAATTCCTTCTTGCAGTTTCGAACATCTGAAGGCAAAGGACACGAACTTTGAGCAGCGCTACGCCAATCTGGGCAACATCTACTTCAAGCAAGGCGTCACAGAGTTCAACTGGGACAGCAACGTGGAAGATGGGCTCAGCACGGATCATTGAACTCCAAACCAAATATTACCGATTAGATACTAGATGTAGAAAAAACCAACTCATAATTACGTAGCTGGGCAGGGCAGAATAAAAGGGGTGGTCATCAAGGTTACCGCAACGCAGAAGCAACAGCATAAAAATCAACCGAAGGACTTTAAACTAGCGTCTAAGCATAATGTTAATTAAGCAGATAAAGAACAACTAGCAGACTTGGCTTGTTTCATTTATAAGTAATGCACTTAACGGCAAATGGGCGATATCTCAGAGCGCGAATTATCTCTAAACCTAATCCTAAGCACAACTATTAAACCTATGAACGTAACTATACTCCTTTCTGTTAAGTCGCACCCCGCAAAACGAGGAAATTGTAAATACTTTGCATAACATGTGGTTTTATAAGCGCAAATTTCTCTTCGAACCATTTTGAGGTGCCAATTCACTCGAATTCAATTTTCACTTTCACAGCGCCCACACGACAAACCGCCATAATTTAGAATAGTATATTAATTTGTAATATGTAGCTTTTTGATTATTGTTACGCCAAGTCTCTGCAAAGCCAAATCCACAATTAGTCTAAGTGCATAGTGCTTGGAAAATGTTTTCGATCCAACAACGCATTTATTTTATTTTACTTCTTAGACATCACTGTAAATACAGCAGAATAAAACAAAAAAGTTAAATAAGAGCAAGATAAATCACTGAAATTCGTCTATTTTATCTTATTTTTGCCAGTCGAAGTACACACATTGTAGAATTGTTAGCAGACGTCATTTTTTTCAGACAATAAAGAATTGGAGAAGGTTACCAAGCAAAAACAAACAATTTGATCAAATAAATCCAACGAAATACACATAAAACCTAATCATTAAAAAGCATAAAAACTACACAAAATGTAATGTAAAATATTTAAAAACTTATTAGTTGCTGAATAATTAATCAGGCATATGCATGTGCCATTTTAAATTGCAGACATTACAAAGTTACATGTTAAAAAACAGTTTAATTTCACATTTGATGGTTTTGAGAAAATAAAAACAATTTTGTAGCAAACGAACACACATTGAGAAAACAAAGAAAAAAAGCAAACACAAAAAGCAGTTAATTTGAATAAAACAAATGAATTATTGAATACAACCGCAGAATACTTTATTTATTGTTCTCCCAAAAAGGGGAAATAAGGGGTTGGTAATATTGCCAAAAGTTGAAACATCGATTTATTTTATTATTAAAATATATTTTTCATTAAACATTTTTTAAGTTACCTTTTTTCAAATATGGCAATTATAATCAAATAAATACATTGCTTTTTATGGAATTGTGGTGCTCAAAACAATTTCGTTGCATTGTTTCAGGAGCTCTTTGAATCAACGAATTCAGTAGCGAGCTTTTACGACTACGAAAATTTTATTTATGTCATATCTTTTTGTTGTTATTATTTGTATTCTTCTTTGCTAAAAAAACGTATATATTCCCGGAACATTTCTCTTGCAACGCTTCACAAAATGGATTTAATAAATTCAGGAAATCTTTGTTTTCAGCACAAAACCAACATAACAATGTTGTGGAAAAGTCATTGATTAATTAGGTCCATTTTAACGCCAACGCGTAATAATGGAAAATTTATTTGTCCATTTTAAAGACAATAAATATTTATAAAGCACTAAATAGATCTGGCTTATTTCTCAACACCCCTACGTCATAGATGCTGTAAAGGCGAATAAAAAACAAACCTAATAATAAGACATCACCCAGACGAATCGCAAAATCTCCGACTAATTTGCACCAATTTGAGGAAACAACTAAACGGAAGAGCAAACATCGTTTTCCCTCCCGTCGATCCGAGCACATGGGCTATATCGATGAAAAATTAGCGAACTTAGTACGCGTACGTACGCCAAGGTGTAAGCTCGATCGCTGATCTCGGAAATGTCGGAACCGCAGACGACGGGGAAGTCCTCGCCAGCCTTGGACGTTGTGGAGCTGGTGAACGGGAGCTTTGGCCGCTGGCAGTTGCGCACCATCCTCCTGATATTCCTGTGCAAGATTCCCAGTGCCTGGTTCACGGCGATCATCATTTACACGGCTCCGTATCCCTGGAAGGGGGAGCTTGTCTGCCACCCAGCTGAATGGAATGTCAGCAGGTCGCAAGTGGAACACTCAGACCAGTCGCATCCCCTGTGGCAAGATGCACGCAGCACGGATCGACTGTTCAACGTGGACGTGTGCAATGCCTATTCGAATTCCCTGGCCCGTGGATTTGTGCGCAGTCATGGAAGAGAGTGGAACGCCTCGGAGTCCAAGGATCCGAATGCCCAATCCTCGCTGCCCTGCGAGCATGTGGAGCACAGGACGGACTATAAGTCCCTGATCGTTCAGTTCGATTTGATCTGCTCTCGGCGCGTTCTGGTGGCGATGACGCAATCTTTTCATGCACTTGGCGCCCTGATTGGCGGGCTTATGGCCTACTCCTCTCTCAAGATGTTTGTATTTGCCTAAAATATTGATTCTATCTTTATGTGTTAATTATGGGTTCTATTTTGCAGTATCAGTCCGCGTCGCCTAATGTTGTTGGGCATGATTGGGCAGATATTCTGTGGGAATCTCACGGGATTGGTTGACACCTACCAGTTGCACGTCTACTTCCGCTGCCTCACTTCCATATTTTGTGCTCTAATGTACACTTCCGGACAGTTTATATGTGAGTACAGGTGTATGTTCTTGTTCCAAAGAGGAAATTTAATTTTGAAATTAAGTTTCCAACGGAAACTATTCATACGTTAAATGCCTTTTATATTTTACTTTTTTAAACAAAAATTATTTTGAAATACTTGTTTTACTTTACTTGTTAATCAAAAGATCCAAGGCACAAACTTATAACAGCTTTTATTTTTAGTAAACGACATCACATCAGGAAAGGCCCGCATCATTGTAGTCACTTTATCGGAGCTGTTTTGGTCCATGGGCCTCGTTCTCCTGCCCGCCATTTCCATCTACTTTGATAACTGGAGTTACCTGTACGTGGCCATCTCTTCCTCCCTGATTGTGCTGGTTTGGCTGCATCGCTGGATAGCGGATGCTCCTCGTTGGTTGTTGCAACACCAGCGCGTGGAATCGGCACTCCGCCAGTTGTTGGAATCAGCAACTTACAACAACCGTAAGGTTCCCCTCACTTTGGACGTTCAACTAACAGTTTATGCCAATGAGCTGGAGCAGAAGGCCAGGCAGAAACAGAGTTACTGCCAAATCTGGGATGGGGAGACGAAGCGCAGCCAACTGGTGTACATGCACTGGATCTGGGGTGCAGCCATGGTTCTGTACAACATCACTCTGCTGATGATTCGCAACCTGGGCACTCAACAGGTGCACGTGAACACGGCGGCCTTGGGATTTGCTGAGATGGTGGGCGTGTTTGTGGGACTCTATCTGATCCTCTACACCAGACGTCATTGGCGCTGGGCGGGAAATCTGATGATTATAGCCGGGCTTACGACCTATCTTGTCTGGCTGCTCCCAGAAACTGGTAAGTAATCTGGTCGTTAAATATTGAATGTATCTAAAGGATATTTCTTCAACAGAACGCAACACACGACGCGTGGGACTTGAACTTGTCTTCTGGCTCATTTTAAAAGTGGCAAACTCTGCCTCAATCGCAGTACTTTCCACCTGCACCAGTGAAATTGTTTCCAAGGAGAAGCGAGTGTTTCTGATGCTGTCCGTGATCTCGTTCAGTCGAGTGTGTTTGGTATTTTGCCCGCTGCTCAGCTGCCTGACGGTCATCCATCACCTGGTTCCCATCACGATTTTGGCCACTGTTGGGTGGATTTACGGACTGGCTCTGCGACGCCTGAACCGCTACTATTGGAACACCGAGCAGCCCCATATGAGCCAAGTGCCTACCCCGAACACCTACCGTCGCCAGTCGGCCATCATAATGCGCAGGTGCAGCACCGCCAGTTCGGATTGCAGTGCTTATAGCAACGAACTCCTTAGCAACTTTGAGCGCAAAATGGCGGTCAGTATAGCTGACATTTGGCACATCAATTTCCATCCCTCCAGCGAGATCGAATTGGAATTGGAGCAGCATCGACCGGAGGCATTCAGAGCACACAGCTCTGAAACCATTTGAGGAGCTTTTGAGCAGCCTGAAAGCAGGCTTTGGAGTATTAACAAAAATTAAGTGATCTACTTTAGAGTGTGATTCAAAATCAATTGTGTTATATTGTAACCTAAGAAGAGAACTTTGCGAAAGGTTCTTACGTTTTTATGAAAATAAAGAGAACCCTGTTCTTTTCTTAATTCACTACCGATGAATTGAATTTGTTTTTGGGCTTACAAATTAAATAAAATAAAAATAAAAACACTCCCACTTTGATTAGTATTTACCTTTAATTTCACCAGACTAATATATTTCGCCACAAATTCGAAGGCTTGCCTAAGGCTAAATTAAACCGGTTCAAAATCGAATCAAAGAGTTCGACGTCATAAATTGCTAATTAAATTAAATGTTTCTTTTGTTTAACGTCTGCATTATGGTTTCAATTAGCAAACAGCACGTAACCAATTATACCTAATTAAACAAAATAAATAAAAGATAAATTAATGATAACCAAACAGTAATGAAGAATATCCTGGAGAGCATTTGATTGGAACATTCGGAACAAATTAGGGTTTTTCTTTGGCAATCAGAGGCACAAAACAAATGTAGGTCAATGCATCGAATGAAGAGCACAACAGTCGATGTGTCATTAGGAGCGCTAAATAAAGTGACTGAGACAATAAAGATTAAAATAGAAATCCGCAAGGAAGGCGAAGAACAATTTGTTCAAGCCCAATTGCAAAAGCTGATAACGTAAACTAATAACATTATGGCTTCCAAGCTATAAACTCTATTGGAAACAGCCAACTTTACCAAGCGCCACAGAAAATGCACACTCGATACGGCTAACTCAAACGAAAACTAATAACATAAAGAGCATTCAATGGCACCTATTGATCCATCAGCTGTTCGATAACATTTAATATTTAATGGCAAACAAACGGATAATGACTCAATTCGTTAAATATATGATTTACTTTATTTCATTTACAGTAAATAAGTAATGGACTTTAAAGAGGCTGAAGCTAGGGGAAAAATGCTCTAGAAACCAACTCGTTGAATAACTTTTTATTATTTGAGCAAATTCATTAAGAAAATTAACGCTTTCTAGTCTCCAAGTGGACAGGCAGTCGGCTCACTCCCTGGTTGACTATAGACCCTGTGCGACATTGGCGTCAGTTGCCATTTGATTCTCGGCCGATTGAGACGCGTGTGCTCCAAGAAGAAAATCGGGCTGGGACGTGCCAATTGGATAGCTGCCTTTTGTGAACGGATCCGTTGAAACCCGAACGGCGGGCATAACTTTTATTGTCGCTTAATTAATTTATATTAATTTGTATGCAATCAAATGAACAAACAGCAAAGAGACATCGCGAGTTAAAAATTGTATCGTGAGTGAAGACATAATTAACGGAAATATTTGGCTTTTTGTGATAGTGAATAAAGTAAATAAGCAGTTTGCGCTGGATAAAGATCGGTTAATCTTTGAATAAAAAAGTTATTATCTAACATATACCAAAATAACCATTTTTATCCAACAGTTATTAAACGACTTATGAATTTAAAATAAGCAATACACTTAATCATACACTTGTCAAAAACTCGAGTAATCCATTAAGTTGATGCGGGATACTCCCAGGTGCAAGTTGTTCTGCTCTATTAGCAATTATTAATTTGCATTTGGCTCCGAAACATGTCGTTCAACTATAAGCTCGACCTACCGCCACTGTCATTGCCTAGATGTGTCTCAAGTATCGAATAGGAAATTGAAATATTTGCCGGCAAGACCAGTTTTCTACAATTAGCACTGCCTGAAAAATTAGAAATTAAAATATTTGCGATACCAATAGGTGGACAGACGGAATTGTTGGTAGGTGGGACTACTTGTCGGCCAGACAATTGCGAATTATCACCTGTGAAATTAAAGCATAAAGAGTCTATCAATACAGACTATCTGGCAAAGAGCCGATAAGCGAATCTGTAACGAATTACCAACTAAATCTTATGACGGCTAATCTTTCGCCATATTTGCACTCGAAAAATAAGGGCTCACAATCAGATAACGAAGTGCTATTTATTATCTACCCCTAATCAACCTCTTTCTGGCTTATCGATGACAGTCGTGATTTTTGATATGATATCATATCACTGAAGGTATTAAACAAACAAGAGCTTTGTAGTTGAGCAAACTTAGGGATTAGCTAATTAACTTATGAATGAAATTAACACAAATTACAATTCTTGCAATTGTTGCAAATTGAAAGACCACTTGATTTATGGTAAAGAAAAGTTATTACAAGAAATTCTTCAGTTTGTACCCAAATAGAAAGATAAACGTGATTGTTTTTTCCACTTGCTAATTAAGTAGATAAAGTAAAAGAAATTCTGCTAATTAAAAATAGGTTTAAATTTGTTTCATATGATTACTTATGACATTCACATGTCGAAGTTATAGTGAAAGTCAATCAAATCAATAGCAACCGCAGATATTTCAGGAATCTAGAGCGATATTCAATGCCGAGTGATTTCAGCTGTAAATCGCTTTTAATTTATATCAATTGGGAGGGAAGTTATATGAGGCAATAGCGAGGGGTATTGAAATAAGAGAAATAAAAGCAAATAAATAAATGGAAAGTCATCACAAATGTGTTCCACTTGCTCATCGTTTGCAGAATGTTCCACTAGAGAGAAGTCACTGGAGAAATGGTCAGTCCTTCGCCCGTCCGAAGTGGAGGATATACCCTACCCCACATAATCCCCAATGAGATGGAGAATGATCTGGACAAGCGGGTGGCTACACCACCACCTCCATCAGCTCCTCCTGCACCTGCGAGTTCCGATGTCATTGCAGATGTGGTGGGCGACTTCGGCATCTGGCAGCTGAGAACCATCCTGATCATCTTTCTGTGCAAGATCCCCGCTGCCTGGTTCATGGCCTGCATCATATTCACTGGACCGGAATTGTATCCCGGCTCGGAGTTCATCTGCGACACTAGCTATCTAACGAGCAGTAGCAACTCCAGCTACAGTGTTTCCGATAACCAGTGCTATGTCCTGGAGGATTCCACTGGCATCCGCAGCGAGTGCGAACAGTTTACTTACTTTTCCAGTTTCGACTCCTTGATCATGCAGTTTAACCTGGTTTGTTTGCGAGATATCTTTGTGGCCTGGACGCAGTACTGGCATCTGTTTGGAGTCCTTGTCGGTGGTGTGGTAGGCACCAAGATGATGCTGGGGATCAGTCCGAGGAGCACTTACTGCGTGGGCGCCGTTGCCCAGATAGTTTGCGGGGTGGTAACTGGCTACGCCAGGGATTTCAGTCTACATTGCGCTTTCCGCTGCCTCTCCGCTGTCTGTTGTGCAATTATGTTTACAGCTGGTCAGGCTATATGTAAGTTAATCCAGGATAAACAGGAATATAAGTACAACAATATCTTATCTTTTAGTTGCCGACATAACGGCGGGAATGCATCGAGTGGGTGCCATTATCCTGTACGACACCTTCTGGTCCATCGGAGTGATCCTGCTGCCCGGTCTTTCCTCCTTCTTCAACAGTTGGTCGCTGATCTATGTGGGGATCACATTCCCCACCGTCATGTTGATAGCGTTGCTCTACTGGACACCGGACTCCCCACGCTGGCTACTCCGACATGCCGTGGATCGCTACTCCATCGACAACGTGGAGGAGATCGTGCGTGAAGGAGCAGCTATCAATGATCGCACCTTCAAGATTCCCCCGGATTTCCGCCAGCAGCTGGAGCAACTCAGTGAGCGGTTGAAGAACCAGCCTGCACCTGCTCCTTGGCGGGATTTGTGGAAGGGAAAGCGGGCCAAGACGCACATGGTGGCCGCCCACTTGGCACTCGCCTTCTTCGTGATCAACTTCATGGGCATGCTGCTCAACATCAGGTCCTTCGGAAGGGACTATCTGGTCCCGAACACCATTGCCATGGGTGAGTTTACCATAAAACCAATTAATCAAGGCGTAAGATAATGAATTTATTTTAAACTACGCAACTTACCTAATACATCGAAAGAATTAGTTTGTTTTAAGAAAACATAGGAAAACGAGCAAAAAACAGACAATAAAATATAACTGAAAAATTTTGAGTTATTATGAGGTTTTGAGAGTTTTATGAATACGGAAAATAAATTTCCATTTATTTTTCAATTATTTTATTGACTCAAATTAAAATATTTTTCAAGCGATTCAACAACAACTTGTAAAGTAATATTTTATTGTAAGAGTTTTGTCTCTGTAGGGTTTGATATACAAATGTTTTCAACTTCTTCCGAAAGATATTAATATTCACATTATTCTAATTCTTTAGGATTTTCGGAGATCATTGGCTGCTTCTTGGCTCTTCACTTTGCACTCAAGCACAACAAGTGGAAATGGCAATGCGCAGGGGTCTTCAACATTTTGGCAGGAATTCTGGGATGCATGGGTTGGATCTTCACCAATGCAGACTCCAGTAAGTTAATCCTTACAACCATACTTACGTGATAACTAATTAATTTGGTTTTTCCCCAGTGGATGCGGATCTGAAAGTCAGCCTGTGGATGATCATCGCCACGATTCCCAAGGCGGCTGTCTCCTGTGCCCAATCGATGATCCTGGCCTGCATGAACGAGCTGATGCCGGCGAACAAGAAGCAGCTCTTCGTCTTCTCCGTAGTCACCTGGGCTCGAGTCTGGCTCCTTTCGGCTCCGTTCTTCAATGTCCTGAAAAAGATCGATACGGCCATGTCCTTGACCTCCTACTGTGTATTCAGCATTCTGGGAGGCATCTGCACCAGCCTTCTTCTCACCCCCAGATTGAGCGTTTCCCCGGTTGTCCCGCAAGTGGAACCAAGTGACAAGAAGGAGCAGTCACCACTGAATGCTCCAGTTTGGACCGTCGAATCCGATGTGAACAATACTCGACTGTAGGCAGAAGGAGTTGCTGAGTTTGCCAATTAATAGTCTTTCTTAAGACCTCTAATTAAAAATTCTTCTGTGATTATCTTAAGTAAAATGTTATTTTAAATGCTTAACGTTTCTCTACAAAATATATTTTTTGACTCTTAAGCAAATGTTTTAAGGGGGCTGTACATTAAGGGTTTCCAAATCCAACTAAATACAATGATCTATTTAACACACCTAGTCAAACTTATGATTCAATTTTTAAAAATTTTGTATATCTAGGTACTTATTGATTAGACCTTTGACTAAAACAATGTATAGACAAGCATCATGTAAAATACTGAGTGCAGGAATATCCAGAACCAGAAGATCCTGTAAGATCAATAAATTGTTTTCGATAAGAACAATTTTAAGTGTCTCATGTTTAAGGCTTTGCTTTAAAAAGTGCTTTTATAAAATTTTTATATCATATTATTATTTTTAATAATATTTTATGACTTACCTGGTCACCAAAAATTTATTTGAGTCAACAGTGAACTTTTCGCGGTGCAGGTACTTGTTTATACCGATCATGTGGCGTCGAACATAGTCATCGTAGTCCAACTCCTCCAGATTCCAATACAGAGTGGGGTAGGTGCCATTATCAATCATTTCCTTGAAATAAAATCGACTTCTGTTCTTAAAGATCCACTCGTTCAGCGAGAAAAAGCTTCCTAAAAACATATCATTATGAATTTAAACTCTATAATGAACTATATTGTAATTACCCGCTAGACATGCCTGTCTAAACTTCTTGGCAATGGGTGTGACCAATCGCTTCTTCTGGGCCAACAAAAGGGTTTGCAGATCCATTAGCAAAGCGGGCACAAAGTGAAGAAGCCACACTGCCAACTCATGTTTAATAGCACTGCATCTGTACTTGAAGTTGGGAAACATAATCATCCGCCGTGTGGGATAAATGCGGGACCACTTCATGGTGAGTTTTCCCAGTCGTTGCCAGGTGATGGGATTGGTCACTCCCGAGGTGGCGTTACAGATGCTTAAACTAAACAAGAGGTTATGCAGATTAAATAAATAATTAGTTCTTATCAACTCACCTTCCTAGCTTCGCCTTACTGACCATCATTATCATTGCGTTAACCACAAAGTCCACTGGGATAATGTCGCAAATCAGATCTTTATCCCCCAGAATGCTGCTGATTCCCCCCTTGCCGATCTCCATCATTATACCGCTGATCGCCTGGATGTTGTCAATCCATCCAGGATAAGGTTCTCTATACGCAGCAGTGACTATCGAAGGTCTCACGATCACAATGGGAATCACATCTCGATAGGCATTGACAATCTGCTCGGCAATGGATTTGGTGAAGGTGTAGGTGTTCACATGCGGACCTTTTATATAGTCGGCCATGCGATTGAGATAGTCATCGGGTATTTTCTGGGTGGCAGCAAGGAACTGACGCCAATCCACCGGAGGCATGGTGGGATACACTTGCTCATCCACATACTTGCGACCAGGATTGCAGTAAGCCGTCGAAACGTACAGAAAACTCTAAAAGATTAAAGGTTAATAAAGTGAGTAGAAAAGAGTTAGCTTTATAAAACATACCCTTAATTGTTTCATTTCTCTGCAAAGCTCTAGAAGATTGTAGGTGGCCTGGGAGTTCACTCGAGCAGACACCTTCAGACACTCATTGAAACGCACCTGAAAACAAAACCTCCCAAATCAGTAAAAAGCTATAAGGCTTCCCTACTCAAACTCACCGTTGCTGCACTGTGAAAAATAATATTCACTTCGGCACATAAAACAGCTCTGTCGCATTCATTTAAACCTGTTGATGGAAAACTCTAGTACAAACATGAGGTTTCACTGGAGTTTCTCTCGAACCTTACCAAAGTTGTCATCCTCAATGTTGCCGGAGAAGTGAAAGATTTTCTTTAGTCTCTCAGGATAATCTGTTCTCAGTCGCTCAAAGATAGGATTCTGAAGGAATCCCCGGAAGCGCTCCTCCACTGTGACCCCTCCTTTGGGTCGAATCAGCATATAGATTCGTTTTATCTGCGGAAAACTCCAGAGAAGCTTTTCCAGCAGCGTTTTGCCCACAAAGCCAGTGGCTCCTACCAATTTTATTGATATTTAATGGGTTTCTTTTTGGATAACTCTTAATGATTACCCGTTATGAACACCACAGCATACTGGTAAATATCCGTCTGGTACTCCACAGTTTTCAGCTTAGCGTTGTCCATGTTGTGGCCACTTTGAAGCCACAATTGCTACTGATCTGGTGTAAACGGTGGGCTACTCACTTTCCACCAGTGAACAACTGGCTTTGCAAAAGAAATGCCTTGGTCCTCCCGAAACAAGTTTTTCATGAAAATGCAAGTGGAAAATGCAATTGACCAACGAAAGTAGCAACTCAGACGTAACATTCGAGCACAAACACATTACATCATACACAAATGGATGTGGATATGGACAAGGCTGGGTCTTTGGTTCATGATCAACATTCGAGTTCGTTCAAGAAATGGCGAACTCATTCTGCAGGTTCACAATGCAGGTTAATAGTTTTAGGATTTTCAAAAAATACATTTTCTTTGGGACTAAAAACAAAGATATCTATTAAACGGAGACACTAATTTGGTGATTAAGTTTATTTCTAATAATAATAATATGCTCTGAAAATACTATTTAACTAAAATAAATGTTAACATTTGATTCAAGTTGATTATAGGATAGTTTACATAATCTAATCACTATTTTATTAATTTTATGAGTACTTGGAAATATAATTTAACATTGAGGCCTACATGCACATAAATTATTAAGTTAAGCCTTTTAACGCCCAAGGAATTTTCCCACCCAAAAATAGAACTTGGATTTGTAGCTTTCCATCAGACAAGCGATAAGAGTTAAATGATAAGGTTATGTTTAAGAGAGATAAAGTTATGTTGTATTACTTTTTTTAAAGCAATATAACAATGAAATAACTTAGTTAATTTACACGAAAAGTGTACTATTCCTTAGAGCTGTTAATTAACAATATTGCTTTAATTGGTTCCACTAACAATAATAAAGTTTTAAAATTGAAAACTAAAGGAACTGTAAGATGAATGTCTGGGTACATATTAAATAATACTTGGCGAGGTCATAAAATTGGCTAAAGGAAATTTCCCACCTTCAGCTACTCTTCAGATTCGCAGCTTTCGAAGAAAGACACATTCCGATGTTGTTTACCCGCTCAATTGATTAGCTTCAATCATGTCAAGTGCCTGCCCCCGAAAATGTATCTCCAATCCGAGCGGATGAACAACAAAAATAGATCGCATCTTCTGGGTTAATGTTTGCACATTCAGTTAGTAACTGTGATCCGCTTATTTGGAGTGATTTGATTAGCGACGACATCGTAGGCAGGCACCGCGGAGCTGAGCCCTCGAGTTTACCTGGCCAGGTGAGGTGCTAAGCGAAGTCGCAGTCATGCTGGTGGCCTGGCACTCCCGAGACGTGCTTACTAAATTTACCCACTAACCAAGGATGAAGGAGGAAGGAATGTTTCAAGGATGGACCCCAAACATCCGCCGGCACTCGCCAATGCCTTTGGACTTGGGCCACCTCACGCACATCTTCACCTGCAGCGATCCGAAGGCCATCGAAGTGCCTCCCTACAATGCATTACCCAAAACAAAAACTATTTCCCACGATAAAGAGGATAAAGAGGAGGATGTGATCACCCGCATCCTGGGCGACTTTGGATCATGGCAGCTGCGCTCGCTGCTCATCCTGTTCCTCTGCAAGATCCCCGCCGCCTGGTTCATGGCCTGCATCCTGTTCACAGCTCCCGATCTTTATCCCGAGGAGGAGTACACCTGCGACACGAGTGCCTTCGGTCCGGCGGACAACTCCACTGTATCGCTGGACCAGTGCTATGTGATGGTCTACTATGGCGACTCTGGTTATGCCATGCGCCAGTGCAGGAAGTTCCTCTACACCACGGGCTTCCACTCCCTGACCATGGAGTTCGATCTGGTCTGCCTGTGCGACTTCTTTGTGGCCTGGTCGCAGTACTGGCACCTCTTCGGATTGCTCATCGGCGGAGTGGCGGCCTCGAAGTTGATGCGTGTTTTGAGTCCGAGGCAGATTTATGGAACAGGCATCTGGTGCCTCTTGATGTGCAGCCTGCTGATGGGTTTGGTCAAGGATTTTAGTCTACACTGCGGACTCCGTTGTTTGGCAGCTGTTTCCTGCTGCTTCATGATCACCTCGGGACACTCTATTTGTAAGTTTATTATTAATAACTATTCGATGATTGTTGTTATATCATTATTTATTTCGCAGTTAGTGACATAACAGCAGGTAAATATCGCTTGGGAGCTCTCTTACTGTACGATTGCTTCTGGGCTCTTGGTCTGATCCTTCTCCCTGGACTGGCTCACGGTGCACCCAGTTGGCAGCACATATACATAGGTGTAACCCTCTCCCTCTTGGTGGTTGTCTTCCTGCTGCCCTGGACTCCTGACTCACCTCGCTGGCAACTGCAGCATACGAAGGATACCCAACTTGCAGTCGAGCGAACAGTGGGAATCCTACTGGAAGCAGCCCGCACCAATGGATCCCTCGATAAGGTGTCCAAGGAGTTGCCCCAACAGTTGGGTGAGCTGAGGGAGAGGCTGCTAGAACAAAAACCAACAGTGAGTTGGATGCACCTGTGGATGGGTCAGCGGAGGAGCAGCTTCCACTTGGTGGCCGTGCACATGGCACTGGCCACTTTTATGGTGGTGAACACTGGGTTGCTGCTCCACGTGCGATCCTTCGGCAGAGAGCACCTGGTGTCCAACACCCTGGCTATGGGACTGGCAGAGATGTCGGGATGTTTCCTGGCCCTGCACCTCACCTTCAACCAGAGCGAACGCAAGTGGCAGTGGGCAGGAGGATTTGCCATGGTGGTTGGGTGCATCGGTAGCATCTGCTTGCTCCTCGCCCAGCAGGATGTTCCGGAGGTTTATGGCCTCACGCTGGGTCTTCTGATGGCTTCGTTGCCCCAGGCAGCCGTCGCCTGTGCCCAGTCCATGATCCTGGCCTGCATGGGTGAGCTGGTGCCACCGGAGCAGCGCCACTGCCTCTCCTTCTCGGCCGCCACCTTTGCGAGGGTGTGGCAGCTCTCCGCCTCCTTTCTCACGCTCCTCCGGCAGGTTAACCCCGCCTTCTCGCTGTCCGCCTTCTGTCTGCTGGTCATCCTGGGCGGGATCTGCACAAGTTGCCTCTCCACTCCGAACAAGGAGCAGGAACAGGAACAGAAACAGGAGCTGGAAGGAGCCGCCGGGCACAGGAAGCCACAGCTAATAGCGTATACGTAATTACGTATACGCAGGGACTTAGTTGCTAAGCTAGTTTTAGTGTCCGTCAAGTATTCGCCATCAGTATTCGAATTTAGCTTGTTAGGCATTCGCTCCTCGCGAATCGAGAACTTATATTGGGTTGCATACTTTTGGGAATTATTCAAAAGCAACGCATCTACTGAAATTTGTAAAAATACAACCATTAATACACTTTACTTTACAAATTATGCCTAATGTTATTTCTTGTGCTTAAAAAAGATTAAACCTTAAAAAAAATTGAAGATCTCTGTCAGGTTTTCCAACAAACAATAATGGATGAAATATAGTTTTAGTTAAGAACTAAAAAGTTTTATAAAACTATTATGGTGACGACGATCTTTTTATTCTATTATTTAAAATATTAATCTTTAAATATGTATGTTCAATAACTGTGATCTTTTTAATGTACTGAATACATTTAATACCATTTCTTATTGTGTAATAAACATTTTTTAAGCACGAACGACATGTTTAAATAGCTTTTCACGCTTTCCCGAACCACTTCGCCAAACCCATTATTTATTACAGAAACTGAAACCACTTGGGACCAATGTTCCCCCACTAGACTCTCACCCTCATGGGCACATCCATCCACTAAGTTGACACACATACACGTGTAATACGTATAATAAGCACACATGCTGGGCTAAATATCCAAGCGCATTGCTCTACTAACAACATATTTCTATTTGCTTACCTGTCCCGCCCCCAAATTTTCCACCATTTCCACCCAGCCAAAGCGACAAGCAGAAATCGCAAATCAATAAAATAGAAACCATAAAATGGCCAGAAGCGGTGCCTTTGCAATTGGCCCCAAAATGAGTGTGTCATTCGCGAAGCAGCAGTTGGCGAGGAAGGACCGTCGGAGGAGCAGCCCAAGGACAAGTACCACCTAGGAAAATAGGTGGGACAAGCAACTGCTGGGATCTGGATGAAATGAAACCGAAGAAATCCGCCTTCGCCAATACATCCACTGGATACGGCAGAAACAAGCACAGCGGACACGGCAAAGGACACTCCCACGGCCAAGGACATTCCGGCAAGGATAAAGCCGACGGCAAGGCAAAGACCCGGGAGCCCAAGGACCAGAATGAACAGAAGGTGGAGGACAAGGATCTGAATTCCGGTTTCGGCGACTATCTTCGCACACCGGAGGGTCTGTAATTGGCTTTAAAAATATATTTTTCTATTATATTAAATGTCCTTTTGTTTAATTAGCATTTGAGATGATGAAATTGTTTGTCTTCGCCAATACTATTATGTTAATTGTGACTATGGCATGGCCGCATATCAAGGAGCAATTCTATATGATTAATCAGTGGATAGAAAGTTTCCGCGAAGAGCAGCAGCAGTGAAACCAGACAAAATAACTTTTAAATAATTCAAGTGGAGATCAAAATGGTGGGACCTTTTATGCAGGGCCTCTTTTTAATTGGCATCATCTACTGGTACTCCAAGGGCATGATGTCCATGATCAACGACTACTACAGAAGTGAGTTCCAGCGCAAGTTGGAAGTAGAGCCCTCAAAAGCCAAAGCAGAAGTCCCCATTAATGTGGATAACTTCATGGATTACGTCAGGGAGTTGGACCCCCCAGAAGAGGTTGCCAGGATCCCAACGGAAGGAGTTTCAGCTCCACCCCAAAGGAAACATAGCCAGACACTTTTACGATTTCTGGAAATCACCGGAACGCTACCACCTTTTGATGTTTGTCTCAAAACGAGCGACATAAGCTAGCTTAACTGATAAATATATTATAATGATTATATCAAGAGTATTTTGTACGACTTCGTAGAATAAAAAAATTGCCACAGATAGCTAAAAAAAATTATTTTAATTACCCTAAACTTAAGTTAAGAATAATACATACCAAAGCTCAAAGGGTTTTAACTTTAAATCCTTAATAAACACATCAAAGGTTTTTGGAGTTTCCAACTTTTTTATTTAAACTTTAGCAGAATATATTCATGTGTTTCCAACATCAGCTCACTTACTAACCTATTCACAAAACTGTATAAACATACTAATTTCTAGATGTACCATGGAATATATATGGATTTGGTCTGTCCTATGCATTATTGCACTTTCGTAAGTAAGCTCTCTTCCAATCTTAATCTGGTCATTGCTTGTTTTGTCTTTGAAGCAGCTTGTGAAAATATAGTTATAGGCAGATATGATTGAAACTGTTAGGTAGCTGATTTGGAAGTTATGCCTATATCATAGGTGCTGTCTACAAATCGTGTGTAATCAGGTATACTTTATATGGCACAATTTGTTAAGTTGTGAAGACTTTCCCAAAATCCGAATTTTTTTTTGGTTTCGAGAGGTCAGAGTGTAATAATTGTTTTTTCCAATTTCATAAGAGATCCACAACTTCTAGTAATACTTAACCCACCAACTCACTAACCAATTTAAAAAAATTAACATGCCAAACAATAACGAACAAAGGCAAAACAATTTCTAATAAAATTATATTCATCATTTTTTTAATGTATATTTTATATACACAACAGTTCATCATACATAATTTTATTATAAAATAAAATAATAATAGTTGCATTACAAATTAATAAAGCAAAAATACAAAATATAGTACATCATCCATCAAAATGATAATTCAATTTAAATGTACATGGTGGTTATTTGAATAAATCAAATGAATACATTGGAATTAGTTCTGTACTAGCCCGAATTCAAAATCAAGCAACAGCGTTCATGCTTTAACCGAAATCATAATTTTAATAAAAAGAAATCACAATGTCTTTCGTTGGAAAAGGAAAAATAGGTCGACTCAAGAGCAATGAAAAAATTAAGGAAACACAAAACCTTTCTGATGTATCACAACCTTTCAAACAAGGATCAACAATTGAGGGCTCCACCTGGGCTAACAAATCAAATTTCGACAATTGAGTTATGGTGGCCTACTACAGACTATATATGCATACATATACGTAAATGGATATCGCTTGATATTGTTATATGGCTAAACACGTACAAATAAGATTGCTTATAGAACAAGGCAAAATACAAATGCAGAATACGCAGAGGATCTTTTCTCTATAATGCACAATTTATCCTCACCGCAAGGATCGTTTCAGTTATAAATATATATATATATATATATATTACTGTGCGTTCAAGTCTTAACGAGTAAACAGTAACACCTAATGACTCTGCCTCCGCTTCCGCTTCACGGCTTCACTTCACACTTCAATCTAATCCGCGGGCTTCCAATTTGTGGGAGGAGGTGGCGCTGGCACCGTTGGCCTCTTGGGCGTTTGAAACGAGTTCGGCGAAATGGGCGTGGTGGCCTGGGTTTGCGCCTGATGATTTTGCTGCTGCTGATTTGGATCCACCACCGCCGTCGGCGGCTGATCGTTATTATGGTTGCTCTCCTTTGGGGCTGCCGGCTCCTCCCGCGTTCCGTTCGTTTCCCCATTATCCTGACGCAGCTTCTCAAGAAAATGCTCCGTTTTGAATCGCACACTGCCGTTGCCATTATCGATTATCGCCTGGGTGGGCGTCGCGCCGCCCTCGTCGTCGCTCTTGCCATCTGCCTTGGGAGCTCCCACGCCCAGCACGGTGGGTCGTTTGGGCAGCAGAGGCTTCTGGGGGACATCCGGTTTGAGCTTGAAGCTGCCAATGCTGTCGGTGCTCTTGCGATCCGCCGTGGGCGAGGGCAGGTTGTCCAGCCCGAAGAACTGCGTCCGCGTCATCGGAACTGGCTTGGCTGGCGTTACTGGCGGCGGGGGCAGTGGCTCCAGCTGCGTCTGCGTCGGCTGGCTAGCGGCTGGCGATTGGAACTGCGGCAGGTTCGGCAGCGGCGGCTTGACGGGCTTCTCCTGTTGCGCCGGGGTCTGCTGGGGGAACAGCTCCTTGGCATGTGGTCGGTGTGAAGTCTGTGATGTTGTCATACTTGTGCCGTTTCCATTCGTGGTGGGTGGCGAGGGAGCATTAGCTTTTTGCCTGCGCAAGGTGCCATAGCGGGGGCTCTCCATGACTTCTAAAAAGACAAGTAAAGGGGAATCGTTAATTGATTCAATTCGATTTAAGATTAATTTATTTCGTTATGTTAATTTATACACAACTATATTAATTTTCCCCGTAACAAAAAGCACTTTAATAACAACTATACAACTATAATTTTGCTTCCAAACCGATTTATTGCACAAAATGTAACTAATAATAAGGCAGTAACTTTAAAATAACACAATGCAAAATAAAAAGAAACTCATAATAACATAAGGCACAAGGAAATACTAAAGGGCAATGTTTCGTTGTTAAAAATATAATTTAAGAAGGTCTTCATAAGTCAAATACTGTATAGTGGCCCGTCTCATAGAATTCCGAGTGTGCAGTATGCTTACCACTATCGTTCTTGTCCAGGTTCTCGTTGGAGGAGTTGGATTTACTCTTGCCCTCGACGAAGAGCTTCTGCTTCTGCAGGGTCAAGTAGAACACGACCTCCCCGGTGAAGAAGTAGTCCCACTGGCTGATCAGCAGCTCCACGATGATGTTAGCCGCCGAGGAGCTGTTCACCTGGCCGATGTAGTCGGCCGGGGCGTTGCTGCTCTTGTCGATCCGTGGCCACAGCATGTTCGGCGACATCACGATGGCCAGGTTCTGGGAGCTCATCTTGTTGTGCACCGAGCGCTGCTGCACGAACGACAGGAAGCGGGTGAGGTAGCGCAGGTTGGCGTAGTTCTCCTTGGGCAGCTTGCCTAAAATGGCCTTGATCTCCGTCTTGCGCTCGGCTTCACTGTGCCGCTCGGCGATCCGGATGAAGTCCTTGTACAGCCCGTAGGTGAGCAGCGGCTCGGGCAGCTCGCGCAGGTAGAGCTTGAGTATGGAGCCAATGACATGGGGATCCTGGTAGTCCAGCGGCAGCGGCGTCTTCACGTGCTGCGCCTCCAGGGCGTGCTTCATGCGGCGCAACTTGGTGCTGGCGCAGCCCACTCGCAGCAGGCCCTCCTCCTCCAATCCGTGCTCCAGCAGGCAGCAGCAGCACAGCTCGACGATGTAGGAGATCTCGCGATTGGTGGACGTCAGGTGCTCCTTCAGCGAGGTGCCGAAGCGCGACTTCTCGGTGCCCTGAATGGTGTCTTGGATGCGCGCCAGCGAGGCGTTCACGTGCTGCAGCGCCCGCTCGTGATAGTTTCTTTGGTTGAGTACATAGTCGCGGATGCAGCTAACGATCTCGTCCTCTTTGGCAATCAGTTCCAGCATCTGCGCCGCCCAGGCATCCCGCTCCTTCTCCAGCTTCAGCTCGCACTCCTCCTGCTGCGTCTTGATGTGGTTCACCTTCGCCGCCGGCTCCTCCAGCCGGATTGCCGCCTGCGAGAGCAAAACAGAGCACTGATTAGTGAATGACAGATAAGAGTGAATGCCTAGGAAGTCGTCACATTCCGCAAAGAACAAAGTTCAAGCACGCAAAATATCTTATCAGTGGGGCCACCACTAGAAATAGTTTTCCGAGTGACTAATGGCCGGTGGCTGTTTAGCAGGAAAGTTTTGCGGGTCGTATAAAAATAGATCGACCGCAAAACGCCCAGCTGTTACCGCTCTCATCAAGGTCTTTGTTTTCGGCCGGACAATGGGTTTAATGTGCGACTGACGAGTGACTTGAAATCACACAATACTCCCGAATCACAAAGTAGCTATTGAATAAAAACGACAGATAAGGAAAGTAATTGAACTCAGTAAAATATTTTGCCAATAAGTGAAAGAGAAAGGGGAGATAAACAATTCGCTTTTTAGGGCCTTCTGTATAACTAAAAATAATTGTTGTTTACTTAACAACACAAGTTCATAAATCTAAAGTGATAAGAACTCAAAATGCTAAAACGTGTGAAGTATTAAAGATATGAACAAAAAACTCAAGCTCAACTTGCGAAATTCCTCAAAACCCAAATTTGAAGGAATTCAAGAATTAAATACTGCAGGCACAGATAAACCAACTTTTAGCGTAAACAAAAACAGAATGGGCGCTTTATGATGTAAGTTTTGCTTACAACAGCATTACCCATTGTGTGTAAACAAACTGGTGTTGGCATTCATCACCCTATCCCGTATCATAGCGCTGCTAAAAATAAACAAATCGTGACAAATTGCTGGAAGTGCAGCAGCGGGCGCTATCTGCATCCAGAAGACAATGGCATCCACCTAATTATCAACAACTGCGCCTTCCACTTTTCCACCTTCGCTTCGAATCGAATCGTTTGCATCGCATTGACGGAGTGACGGAGCCACTGAGTCACACCATTTCCATGAGCCGCAACCTCTCTATGACCTACATCCCAGTTGACACCACAAGTTACACATTCCGGGCACCAAAGTTAGCACTTCCAAAGGCGGTCGGTCGTGTGCTTATACGTATTGTTTTCGGATCGGATCTGTGTCAGGCAGTGCAATTAGAACAGCACCAGGTCGGTGAGCGTCTGATTAGCGAATTATGGCAAGCCCGCGGGCGTTTATATGGAACCCAGAGAGACCGTGATAAGATTAAAAGGGAGTGTAAATAACTTCGGTTTCGAGTTCTCTGATACGCCAATGGTCAGCGGCGGTGTGGCGTCCATTTCAATTATGATGTCACTCTGCCGCCAAGTCAATGAACGTCTTCCGACACCTTAAACAGACAACATACATCAACAAATACAGCGGCTAGTCATCCCCGACCGATGTCTCGATATGGCAAACGGCGTCGTGATTTGTGCAAAATAAAGCGGAAAGAAAAAACGAGCGAAAAACAATTTAAGAAAACAGAAAACAGAAAACAATGAAACTCAAAAAGTAACTTTTTGTGTCCAGATAGCCGGCCATAACTGTTCGGTTCCACACTTGAAGACGCCAATGGCCAGAACCAATCGGGTGTCAAGAAATTGGAACACCAAAGAGCCGTTCATCCCAGCCCATTCCGCCATCCGACATCCCACTCCAGATTCTCACCCACTTGGCGATAAGGCAACAGCGCCAAGTATCGGATTCGAATCATAAAAACGTAAACGACAAAAGCGAAACGCACGGCAAACAAACAATAGAAACTGGCGTGAGATAAAGCCAGAATGAAGGAAATACCAACAACAACAACAACAGCAACAATAGTAATAATAATAAATGGAAATTAAAAATTGATTGCTTTCTTTCGGCCGGCGCTTCTTAGGCATCCGGCTCGATACAGTGGTTCTGCATTGATTGAAAAGTGTGGGTTGGTTGGGAGCTTGGTAGTTTTATGACACTTCATTCTGGGAACGGCCCATCGACTGGTTCTATTCTGGGAATTCCCATTGAGACTTTAAGACGACTAGCTTCTCGCTTCTTAAGGGCTGTTTTTGTTTACTTTTAACCGAATCGAAACTTGTTACGAGCAAGCAAGCAACCGAACCACAGTGCCATTTGATTAAGAGGGATATTCTTAACCACCAACTACCGGCACTTGATCGTACTGTTCGTTAATCAGAGACAACCTCGCGATCGGATTTCGCTGGGAAACCGAAAACCGTCCGAATCGTTTGGCCACCTGAGGTAGCTTTTTGCGGCCCATTATTTCCAACGAGCAGATTTCTTAATTAATTTAACAATCTATCGTTGTCATCGTGCGCAGTTTCGTGAAAACGGAAATCCAACATTATTCACTCTCTCTCTGGCTTTTTGCGTATTCGTTTTTTTTTGTTTTTTGGCCTGTTCACCGAACGTACACGTAATGCTCAATGGGAGTTAGATTTATGATCGGCACTCACCTCATGACTGCGCTTCAGCGAGGTGTACTCCTGCAGGGTGCGCGACACGTTGCGCTTGAGCGTCGAGATCTCCTGGATCTCCTTGTCCAAGATGTTCTTCAGCCGCCTCACCACCTTCGTCTCCGTCTCCAGTTCGCTCTCGATAATGCACTCGGCCATCGTCTTCTCCAGCTCGCCTGCAATTGGGGAACAGGCAGAAATGAGTTGCCTACTCTGGAATTTAATGCCCCACACTTATCTCTCCCACACAAAGCACAGAAAAAAAACTATTAAAATGTATGAGAGCAAATTATAGTATTATGTGGAAAGGTTAACCTGCAATATTTCTTTAAAAGTTAGTATTAAAATAATAATGATAACTTTTTTAAAGTGTCTGTTGCTTGTTCAGCCATTGATAGTTTATTTTTATTGAATACATAGGTCCATAAAAGAACTCATAACATCGAACCTGCATTGCAAAACCACATTTTCAAAGACCTTAAACTTATGCAATTGTTACAACACCCATGCCATTATTATACTTTTACGCAATAAACATTAAAATATATCTTAAGATGCATCTTTTTCAGTGTGCATCTGGAAGACGTTGACGATGTTCCGCCCGCAAGTGAGGAAGTCAATGCTTATTTAAGACCTTATCGCCAAGCGGTAGCTGCAAAGATGTTGGCGTGCGGGTTTGCCAGTTGCCGGAGTTGCTCCGCTTTGATGCGGGGCAAGATTGGGGCAATTCGAGGGGGAGGTGACAGGCGAATAGGTTGACGAGCTGAGTAAGCAAAATTGTGATAATTGTGTTGAGTGGCGGGACTCGAGGCCCAGCAATTGAACCCGCAATAAAGGCAATGGCAAAGGCAAAGAGGTCGCACCACAGAAGCGGGAGGGAAGTCCAAAACGAAGACGACGGCGGCACTGGAGTATAACATTCGAGATACGCTCGCTTTTCGCTCCCCATGCTAAAATGGGTTGAATTGAAGCGCATCGTGGCTAACAATAAAAGTTGCAAAGGGCGCACAGTGGGTTAAAGTGAGATGATATCGCACTGTAATTACGGGCATAATAGAGGCGACAAAAAGCTAATTTTAGTGAGGTAATTCTTTGTTTTTGTGTATCTCAAGTTGTTTTTAAACGAGTTACTGAGGTGCTTCCCACCGGCACTCAGCTAGTGGCTAACATTTAAGGCGCCAGAGGCTGCAAAAATTATATATACAGTCGACTCTCGTTAATTCGAAACTCGAGGGACTCTTGAAATATTTCGAATTATCGAGTGTTTGAAATATCAAATGGTTCGAAATTTGTTCTAGGGCTCATAGCTAACACTAACTTTTAATATGCATACCAACGAAAGAGTAACAGTAACTGAATAAGCACACAAACTAATTCGTAAGAAGTGTCTGCGTCAAAAACTACATAATCAAAACAAAAACAAAGGCAAGTTTGAACTTGTCGCAAAATTTTTTTCTCTGCAACTTTGAATTGTCGAGTGTTAGACGCTGATGAGTTCGAATTAACGCGTGGTTTTGTTAAATATCAATGATTTTTTCGTTCGAATTACCAAGTGTATGAAAATGTATTGATTTAGTTCGAAATATAAAGAGATTTCGTAGGGACCTCGTGATAACTTTGAATTATAGAGAGGTTCGAATTATCGCAGGTTTGAATTAACGAGAGTCGACTGTACATTTCACTTGTCAGTCGAAGTTTTTAGAAGTGGAATAAATTTAAAACAAAGTTGTTGGCGTAACTTTGCCTAGACATACAGTTTTATGTTTTAGATCCAAACATTTAACTTTATAATTGCCGTCATAAATTTTAAAATATGAGTAATAGTAAAAGGTGATCCACGGCTTTTATGTTTTCATTTAACTTTTCAGTATAAACCATTACGTCACTTTCCAACAAACAATCGTTTCTTGAGTCGAATTTGGCCTTAGTGAAACGATTCGCAAAAAATTTGCGAATGAACAAAACTTTAAAATGCTTTAACATGTAAATAGCTTTATCGAAAGGAAATGCTTTTGGTTAGGTTTTAACCAATTGGCGATTGACTTCCCCAATCTAACCTAGTTATAATTTCCTGGGCGTTCGAGTGGAGCTCTTACCGAACCCATGGACACACGTTCACTGTGGCACCTATCATCATACATAGCATGTGGAAACGTTCGTGTCTAATCAGAAACGTGGGGAAATGGGCAAAGCAGGGGGCATGGGGATCCCTGGCCGTTACACAACCACTCTGCTCTTGAACCACTGCGAGGTTGCAGCTGCAACTGCAGCAGAAACTGCTATTGCCTCCAAATTGCAATTGACGCACACGCATCTGCGAATATGCGGAATGCAAAGTGCTTGAGAAGGGGAAACAGCGAATGGAAACAATACAAAAAGTATAACACACGGAATGAGTAATACGGCCTAGGGGGAGCGCCCACAAAATAAATGAGCGGAGAGGAGAAGACGCGGCGTCTGATTATGATCATGACGATACGATGATGTATGAATTCGGCTCGAACTTTTACTTTTCCTAGCCAGTCAGCATAATTATCGGCGTTTACTGGGCTTTGTTATTCCATTTCGTGAGCGATGTGTAACAAATTTAAATGAAATGCATGGTAATTTATATATGTAGAAAAAGGGCAATAAAAGCGGGCGCAAGTGGGGGCGTGCTTACTGGTTGGCAAAACAAAAGGTGTATAAATAGATAATGCCGAAACCGCAAATAATAACCAATACTGCGGGCCAACGGCGAATGACTTGGGAAAGAAAGCAGCGAAAAAGTCATAATAAAAATTATAATAATGATTAAAAAAAAGCCGTCGATGTTGATGTTGCTGTTTGCAGTTGAGAAATGTAAATGCCACAAGGCCAAGCGACAAGGCGAGGCCGCCAAATACACACAAACAAACCGAAGCCCGTGACACAGTCATCAGCGAGTATTCTCCGTTCTCCATGCCCCTCCGAAACCTATACATTCGTGTGCCATTGTGCATGTCTGGCGGCGATTATCGGATTTGGAACGAACGACAACCACTGTGCGCGTTATCAGCAGCGCCAGCATGATTCTTGGCAGAGGCGTGGGCGAGGGTGTTTAGACCCTTGGGAGCCCTTTGTTTTCTTTAAATTGCTATTGACGCTTGCTAAAAACTTGTAAATACTTTTTATGCCTGTTTCCTATAACTACAAATTATACAAACATGCATATGTAATGTGAAGTACAGATGATAAAACGAGTCTGTTGGTTAATCAAAAAACTCTTTTCCTTCTCACATATATATGGCTACCAGTTAACAATACCTTTTCAGTTGGTGACTGCTACCATATTCAATAAAAATCCCGGAAAAACCCGACCCCTGTTATGAATTTTCGATTACTGCACTGACCCGCCTACACAACCAATCCCGAGACCCGATTACTAACCGCAATTGGCGAGGACCTTCTGCAGCGGCATGTCCTTGGGCAGCTCCTTGGCGGACTCATCGAGGGCTTGGGCGATCTTGTAGTGGCTGTTCTTTTTGGTCCGCTTGTCCTGCTCCTCAGTAGTCCCGCTGCTGCTTCCACCGCCGCCACTGAGCGCCGGCAACTTGCGGACGATCTTTTCGATTGTGTCCCGATATCTGTCCACCTGCCGCTCGATCGTTTCCAGCTCGGAGTCCTTGCAGTCCGATTTGGTGGATCTGCGGGTGGAGAGGGGGATTGACATGGGTTAACCACGGGTTAGGTCATCGTTCGCCCACTGTTGTTGTTATGGTTTTGCCATCGCTGATGCCGTTGCAGTTGTTGTCACTGGTGTTTGGGTGATGAGGCAACACCTGTCTGTCCGCCTGGAGCGCATTTACACACACCTACACGGCCACACACACGCAGACACCCGTTGGCTGGCCTTTGAACTTACCTTGACAGATTTTCGGCTGCTATTTTGATTTTCGCAAACTGCCTCTTCATCTTGGCTGATTCGCAATTGCCGCTCGCGTCTCCAACGTTAACTGAACTTATGTGTTTTTTATTCGCGGTGTGTAATTAGCTAGGCATTGAGTAAATACTTAAAACTGGCAAATTAGTCATTCTTCAACGATGTTTTACGGAAAAGTGAGGCAAGTGTGCCCGCAGCAGGAGCGCTAAGAAATGCTAAAGGCCTGTGCGTGGATTTTTTTAAATCCATTATTTGGTTACACTACATAAAATTTGTTTTTAAATTTTAAGAAAGATTTCTTGCAAAATATAGTACAGAGTGACTTTAAATATTTTAAAATTAAAATGTAGTCCAGATAAAAACTGATTTTTGACAGACTAAGCTGGACCGGCTTTCCTTTTTAAGAGTGACCACTTTTTTATAGTTTCACCCTCACACCCATGGTCACACTGCACTCCACCGCTTTGCTGCACGTGTGCCGTCCTTAAATAATATTTTTATTATTGTTTTACTAACAAAAATGACCCAGGCGGAGATTGTGAGACGACTTCGGGAAGAGTATGAACTTAGTAACAGTGAGGAGCAAAATCCAAAACAAAACGAGACCCTTCTGTCCCTTGCCAAAGATGTCCAACAGCGTGTTTTAGACTTGTTAACCATCCACAAAGTTCCATACTCAAATAAAGAAGGTAAAACAATCAATTAAAAACCCTATAACTTGTAAGTAATCATGTTTTTGCAGATGAAGAGACATATGAGGAATACCTTCTGTCGGACACCGAGGAATCGGCCAGCAAAAATAACAAAAAACTAAAAAATCTAAGAAAACTAAAAAAGCAGGACTCAGACGACGACGAGGACGTGGACGCCCGCATTGCCTCCATCAAGAATAAGCTGCGCCAGAAGAAGGGTCCCACCACGGAGCGTCAGCAGAAACGACGGGAATCTAAAAAGCTAAAACGCAGCAAAGGCGTCCAAAAACTGCTTCTCTCCTCTGCTAAAAACCTCAAGAACGAAAACATCAAGCACCAGAAGTTGAAGAACGGGGTGATTAAGAAGGAACAGGATGCGGAGGACAGCAAAGAAGACATTAAACCTGTCAAGGAACAGCCTTTTTACAACCAGGAGGCTAAGGTCGTCTACTCAAAGGTGGATTTTGCCGCTAATCCCGGCGGTAAGGCCAAGAAGTCGCACCAGAACCCAAAGGAGATCCTGAAAAAGTTACGCGACACCAAAAAGCACCTAACCGAGCTGCGCGAACAGGGCGAAACGGAAAAGGCAGCCGAGATCCAGACAGACATCGCCTGGCGCAATGCCTTTGATAAGGTCGAGGGCAAGAAAGTGAAGGACGACACCAAGCTCCTTCAGAAGGCCATCAAAAAGCGGCGCGTGGAAAAGAAGAAATCCAAGACCAAGTGGACAGAGCGCAAGCAGAAGGTGGAGCACGACAAACAGAAGCGGCAGAAGAAGCGTCAAGAAAATCTTGATAAGCGCAGCAAGGACAAGAAGAACCGAAAGCTGAAAACGGCCAGCAAGAAGGGTCGCATAATACCTGGTTTTTAAGTATAATCTAGACTTAAATGTAAAATAATTTCCACTATAATTTGTACGCCACGTTGAATTTGTACTCAGAATGCTGCAGAAAAAAAAATAATTTGAAAATTCTCGTTTTAATATTTGTGTGTTCGAAATTCTCCTTTCCGGCCTTAACACTTTTCGAAATTCCCCTGAGAGAACTAAATTTTGAGTCCTATAACCCCCATTATTGGCGCCTCGTTTTTGTCCTCTTTATGTTATTGTCTGTTCCACTGTACGTTGCACGGCCCCACCGAAGAGTAACAAGAAGAAGACAGCGATCAGCTGTGGCCGATAGCAACTATCGGTTGTTATCGAAGTTGCATTGTTAGCTAATTGCGATTTTTCCAGATTTTCCAAATACTTTCTCGAGTCCCAGAGTGCAATTACATCGTTGAGTACCAAAAAAAAAACAGATATACTTTATAGCGACCGCCGATGTAAGAAGAAGCTCAGCGAATTGGCCAGCAAAAGTAACGAGTCACACATACGCATACAGCCACACAAATTACGTGCAGAGCGCAATCTATTCCCCATTTTCCACCGAAAATAAAGCAAGGCAGTCAGAAAAGCAACCAAATTGCGACGCACTTTGCAGAGGAGCAAAAATCAAGCATCGGAAATTGAGAGGAAACTCCTAAGAAAGCTTAACTACACCAAAAGAAGCCACAACAATAACTTCGCATATCAGCAGAGCAAGAAGAAGAAGCGGCGGCCAGCTGAGAAGTGAAGAAGCGAAGCACAAGGGCGCAGGGGAAATTCAGGAGTAGGTGCAGAGGGGACAAGAAAGCGGAGGAACCATAGGCGTAGAGCGGCGGGGTGCAGCCACCATGAGCATGGTGCGGCGGATTATCCTGCTGGGTCCCAAATACAACGTCTGGGCAAAGGGTAAGTGCTTCCCAATTGTTGTTATTGTGCCAACCGCATACGTAACTGCGTCATTAGCCGTGAATCAACAACAAAAACAAACCAATCAGAACTGGCAAAACAGCCTGCAGTTTACCAATCCGACTTCCCCTCCATTTGGCTTATCAGAATTTTCTAGCTGCTGCGCCAGCTGAATTTTGCTCGTCTAGTTTAGACAACCAAAACACTAAGTTGAAGGTCGTCTTCTTTTGATATCAAAAGCTGCTCGCGGTCAACTGGGCATCAGTGGCGGCGACCAAAGGGGTTACCCACTAATTTTACATTCACGAAACACACATCTGATTGGAAGGCCTTCCCACCTCCGTTTCCAATCAGCCTAGCAGGGTCTTGCTTTTTGGACCAACTGAACTTGAATTGTTTTATAAGGCCCGAATGGCCGGCTAGCTTAATTATTGCTATTGCCGCTCTGACGCAATGATTTTTTGTATTATTACATGTCTTTGCTTAACAGAGCAATTGCTTGAAAATTTTTAATGGCCAGCAGTTGGTTATTATATTTGTTGGTCTGCAGGTGAGGAAAGCCAAGAGGCGGAAGTTTACCCAATCAAATGCACTGAAAGAAAGTAGTAGTTATCAGAGAAGATTATTACAACTTTTGTGATATCTATAACACCTGTGGAATCAGATGTTAATCATATCTAGGCCCTGTTTGATTCGCAATATAGTGGAAAAGTTGCCAGTCATCTGCAATATCGGAAGATGCTAATTGCCCTTGGCCTTTATTTGTTAGGTTTTTTTGTGTGCCAATCTAGAGATTCTTCTCCTCGGATCCCCTTTGTTATCAATGAAATATGTGCTTTAGGAAACATTAACCCCGCTACTCGGGGTCGATGCTTCCATTTTTGTTATGCTTTGTGGGCGAGAGTCAATGCAGATATTCACTGAATTTCTGCACAGAAAAAAAATACAAGGAAATTCCTTATATTAAACTACAAAAATATTTACCTTTTTCAGGAAGTGGAGTTGCTCAAACACAGCGTTCGGCAAGATGCGTTATTCTCAGCGCTGGCAATGCGGAGGTCAGCATCTGGGGCGTCCGAAGGTTCCACCTGGCCACTGCAAACTGCGCGATAAACCGACTGGTGAGACTGGAACCCGCAATGGCAATACCGGCGTACATAGACATCACCAACGCCACCTCACGAACGCCAGATGATGCCAGCGACAGCGGCAGTGGAGCTAGTGCATCGGGTGGCAGTGGAGCCAAGAGTCCCGGAGGTGGAGCTGGATCTGGGGCAAGCACCACCAGCGGCGGTGATCCGCCCGGCGGCGGCAGCGACAAGTTCCTCTCGTGCCCGAAATGTGGCAGCGCCTGCACCCAAGTGGAAACGTTCGTCAGCTCGACCCGCTTCGTTAAGTGCGCCAAGTGCAACTATTTCTTCGTGGTACTCTCCGAAGTGGAGACCAAGCAGCGCACCAAGGACGAACCCAAGAACCAGCGCAAGCCGCCACCTCCGCCGCAGAAGATCATGGAGTACCTGGACAAGCATGTGGTGGGCCAGGACTTTGCCAAAAAGGTGCTGGCAGTGGCAGTCTACAACCACTACAAGCGCATCCACCACAACCTGCCGCAGCTCCAACAGCAGGGAGGAGGTGTTGGTGGAGGATCTGCCGGCAATGGTCTTGATGGCATCCCGCGGCCAGACCTGCTCCACATCACCGGAATCGGTCACACGCTGAACAGCTCGCCAGGCAACGAACTGCCGCCGAAGACGCCCGCCCAGATGGGTATGGGTGGCGGAATGGGAGGTCCAGGACTTGGAGGTGGACTCACCGGCGCAGCATCCAGTAATGCGCGGGGTGGTGGCGATCACAGAGCCGGATCCGAAATTCTTGACCGGCAGTCTAATGATGTGAAGCTTGAGAAGAGCAACATCATTATGTTGGGCCCAACGGGATCTGGTAAGACTCTGATCGCCCAAACGATTGCCAAGTGCCTGGACGTTCCCTTCGCCATTTGCGACTGCACCACGCTGACACAGGCGGGTTACGTGGGCGAGGACATCGAGAGCGTCATTTCAAAGCTACTGCAGGATGCCAACTACAACGTAGAGCGCGCCCAGACAGGCATTGTCTTCCTGGACGAGGTGGACAAGATCGGAGCCGTGCCCGGAATCCACCAGCTTCGCGACGTTGGCGGTGAGGGTGTCCAGCAGGGCATGCTAAAAATGCTCGAGGGCACTGTGGTCAACGTCCCCGAACGTAACTCCCCGCGCAAGTTGCGTGGCGAGACGGTCCAAGTGGACACCACAAACATCCTGTTCGTAGCATCTGGTGCATACACAGGACTGGACAGGCTCATCGCACGTCGTCTCAACGAAAAGGTAACTTAATGATTTCCCTTCTGGCATCAAATACTAATTCTGTATTTTATTCCTTAGTATTTGGGTTTCGGCATGCCCTCGACCAGCGGATCTGGCCGTCGTGCAGCTCAATCAGCCGCCAGTCCCATGGATAACGACCAGGAGGAGCGTGATAAATGCCTGACCAAAGTGCAGGCACGTGATCTCGTTGAGTTCGGCATGATACCGGTGAGTACGGGTTTTCACAGACAAACAAGCTTAGATAAAAGCCATTCAACCATTCAATTCTTATCGAAGATTAAATGAAAAGGACGATAGTTATTAATTCAATTATTGATTATAATATAGATTTGTAATCGAAGCTCTCATATAAATCGACATAGGTAAATTATCCTCATTTAAAGTTTTTTTTTGTATTTCGTATCGAGGCTTTAATTATTATTTACATAGTTTACTTATGAAAGGTAATGGTTTAAAATTTCATATTATGGGTGAAATGATTAATATCATATTAAGACCGTAAAAATTAGATAATTTAACACCAAATTTGTTCTGCAGGAATTCGTCGGTCGTTTTCCGGTTATCGTGCCCTTCCACAGTCTAAACGTGAGCATGCTGGTGCGCATCCTCACCGAACCGCGCAATGCACTAGTGCCGCAATATAAGGCTTTGCTTGGACTGGATGAGGTTGATCTTACCTTCACCGAAGATGCGGTTGAGTCGATAGCCCAGTTGGCGATGGAGAGGCATACGGGGGCTCGTGGACTGCGCTCCATAATGGTAAGCATCATGAAAAACACTATGCGCATTTATTAAAAACTCTTTACTTTATAGGAACAACTGCTGTTAGATCCCATGTTCATTGTACCGGGGTCAGACATTCGGGGAGTTCATATAACCGCCGATTATGTTAAGGGCGGCTCAGCGCCCGAGTACAGCCGTGATGCGGACGCCCCGGCATCCGGGACCATTGCCACGGACTCGGCTAACACAACCGATAACGATAAGAACTTTGAGAATAGTGAGAAAGTACGACTAAAACAGTAAATCAGACAGAGATACCCACATCCAAAGCCAACCAAAACAGAAATCGCGACAAAACTTAAAACAAACAAAAATCTTTCAATTCGCAACGCTTTTCGAATTGTTGATTCTTGCTAGTTTAACTTCTATTCTCTATTTAGCTTGATTTCAATTGCTTAATATCGAATTGTTGCCACCGTTAAGCGCTTAGTTTTTCTCACAAAAACCATCTGCCTACACCATCCAATGTTAATACTTGAAGATGCTTTCTTTTTTCGTACTCTAACATGTATATTTTTAGTCTGATTTGAATGATAAATTGGTTGGTTCGTCGTAGCTCCTTCCCTTGAACCCCATCAATGTGTAAAATATGACCCGATAAGGAGTGAACGAATGCCCCCGCATATATTTATAAAGAATATCCTCAATATCCCATATGCATCTGTGATTCATAATCGACGAGCAGCGCAATCTTTTGAGCCCGAAGCAATTGCAAGTGGAATAACAAATCCTAAAGAGAGTGTTAAATGAATAAAGCCACTTTTTTTAAACATAATATTAATTGTAAATCGGAGAACTGCAATGTTGGCAGTGATGTGGTCAAGGTCTGAACCTGCTGGCGCTAGGATCCTCTCTTGCATATACCAATTATAAAACCGTAAACATATATTTAGGCAAATTTTGCATAGTCTAAAGAGTTTCTAAATGAGTTCTGGTAGCGTTGTAATGATGACAAAAGAGGAGAACGTTCTACTTTTAACTAATTTAAGTTGAAAAAAAATATTTGAAATACAAAAAAAAATTAATAAAAAAACTAAAAAATTAACAAAAATTGTGTACCTTTTTTAACGTTAGTTGATTCAGCCAAATAACGACTGAAGAAATTTTAAAGCAGATTATTAAACCAGTTAACTATATCGCAACATTTTAGAGGAAAGTAAAGTAAAGTTTTTTTGCGAGAATAAGTACATATCTAGTTACTGTGTACTTACCATTGGATTTAACTAACTTTTCACTATAAGCTTTACACTTTCTTAGTTTTCATTATTTTTATTTTATTCGTCATTAAAATTCAACTAAATCTGCAGAACTCATAATAAATAATTTGAATTTATTGCACATATGGACTAATTGTAGTTCCTTCTTTTTGTTTGTTTTTCTGTTTCATTTTCATTTCGTAGTGTATAAATTTGTATAAAAATTTGTAAGTTAATAAATATCTTTTGGCGATCTTTAATCGTTCTCCTCGGATATGAGCAGTTCGTATTCCTGCGCTGCAAAGCGATCCCAATCGGAGGTCTTCAAAATAGAAAATGTTATTAGCGGAGTTCCTAAAGTACTGGCTAGAATGACTTACATATTCGTCACGCTGCGAGGCAAATGGATCTCGTTGTTCGTGATCCAGATACTTCTCCAGATTGAAGAAGGTATCGAAGAAGACATGCGTCATTTTGCAGCGCTTCAGATCGCCAAGGGTGATGCAGTCGCGGTTTGCTGGTTTAATCATGTCCAGCATCTGATATAACAACTTATTTAAATTAGAAAAAATCCAGTCTAGGTTAGTTCCAGATTTTTACCTGACACAGGCAGTCCTCGAAAGGCAGGCACTCGATCCCGATTCCCTCCATCCGCTGTTGCTGCTCCTCGTAAAAGTATTCCAGCTCGTACATGGACAGCACTCCATCTCCATCGACGTCCATACATCGGAACCAGTATTCAATGGCCGTAGGTGTTCTCTTATCTTCCTCTGAGAGAATAAACCACACAAAGTCCGTGTAGGACATCTTGGCCTCGTCCTCCGGAGCTTTTTTGTTGTCGCTGCGCGTCACACATCCCGAGAAAATCCTCTCCACGATGCGCGACGACAGGGCATGGTCGCTGTGCTTGGCGAGATCCTCCTGGTTGACCAGCAGATCGTGATCCTTGTCCAGCTCCCAGAACTTGCAGTAGATTACGTAGAAGTGCTCGTAGCTGAAGAAGGCCATTATCTGATTGATGTCCTCCTCCTCCTCCAGCAGACTGATCATCTGTTTGAAAATGGTGTAGTTTGATTATTAGAAAATTCGTGTAAATATTTATAGATCATGGAAGAATGTTTCTCACCTCCAGCAGATCGGACCGCTTCAGCTCGGCTATTGTGATCTTGCCGCTCCAACTGCGGTTCACCGAATAGAAAATGCGCGCGATGACTGTGTGCACGTATCTGGAATGGAACTCGGTGGCTTCCTTGAGGAAGGCCAGTCCGGGGTGTGTGTCCACCACATCCTGCACCATCGGCACAAGATCCTCTGGCACGATGTATGAGCGGAATCTCTGGCCACGCGACAGAATGTACACGAATCTCGAGGCCGCCTCATGGCAATAAACATTCATTCTATAGGTTAAAAATATTTTTTATGAATATATAAAGAGGGAGTGTCCCGACGATGTCTTGATTTATAATGTTTAGGGGACTCATTTTAAAAATTTATTTAAAATTTGTGTAAAGGAATATTAGGAATTTGTATTTTGGAACTAACAGAAATTTTAAATACTCAAGATTTTGAGAAGAATATCTCTTGAAATCAAATCAGAAAATCAGTGTTTCTCAAATATTTATGCAAGATAAATCTACTTTTTAGTGTCAAAAAACCTGTCTCGCACCCTAACTTATATGGTTATAAAATATTTACAATATAAATATTTAAACTTCTGTAAATATCGAAATGGGTATCACATATATATTTTCGTATTAAATGAAACATATCGTAAAATTTATATTTAAATTAAGGGAAATACCTTCTGTGTTTCTGTATGGAAGTGGGCGCATAAGACCTTCGGAATAGTTTAAAGTTATTGTAAAAGCCCTGCAGTTCCGGCTGTTCACAAGTGAATTTTGGCAATTGCCAATCATGTGTGTAGGAGAGGGAAAGGGATATTCCTAAGTTTCCCTCTCTTACTCACTCTTATAATACGATTTCGTTGCTTGCACCCGACGGCGGCCCGACTCCAAATTTGTCTTCTATTCTTTCGTTTTTCTAATTGCACTGTTGTCATTCTCCGTTAGAAACAAAAAATTGGGTTTCGATGGAAAATACGGCTGAGGGGCGCTCGACTTATGTATACTCTTCTGATGTTAAAGTTCTTCAAATATAAATATAATATAACATATAATATATTATATATATATGTATATATATATTTAATATTATTTAAATTATGGAACCTAGGTAACCATAACATTGATTACAAATGTATGTGGATACATATAATATAACTCGCGTGTCATTTATGGTCGGTTATATCTAAAAAGAAGGGTATACTAAAAGGGTGAAAAATAAAATTGAACTGCGTCATTCTTTTGCGTAGTGCGTTGACAATATGTTGTCAAATTTCTTAATTTGTGCAACGGGAAGCGGAAATGTTTAAAAATCATGTAAGTGTCGTTAATATTACAAAAATATTATGTTTTTTTACTACAAACTTATTTAAATCTTTTTAGGATATACAGGCTGTACGATAAATTCGTTTGAAAGGTAAGTTTGCTTTAAATTAAAAAAAGTAATATATAATATGTAATAATGAAAATATTTTTTGTACCATAGATGGACGCAAAACAGCCGATGTCTTGCAAATACTCCACATAAATGGTAAAAAAAAAACTTTCGAATTTCATATTTTTAATGTGCATAATCTTATGTTACAAAATAAGGTATTTTATAAAATAAAAAAAAAATATATATATATATTGTTTTTCATATGAATTTGGGGATGAAATTTTGAACATTGGCATATATGATTTCCCTAAGGGCGATCCTCGAGGAAAACCCCGCTTCCACTTCCGCTACGAATTCCTCTATGCCTTATACGAATTTTTTCCATACAAAATTCGTATAAGGCACCGAGGAATCGTTCGATGAAACGGCCAAAAAGGTCATCGAGCGCTGCACCTATGAAGAAAACTTGAATCCCATACAAAATTCCTCGCGCAATTCCTCGGTGCGGGCATACCTTCGTACCCCTGTTCCTCGGTGCTTCCTCGCGGATTTCATATAGGAAAAAGCTATTTTGGAACTGCAGGGAGATTATAAAAACTTACTGCTTCCAGAACTCGACGAAGCGCTGTCGCTCGACGAGACCCGTGCTGGTCGACTGGCAGAAGACCATCACCGGCATGCGCCAGTAGAAGGGCAGGCCGCAGATCTTGAGAATGCGCGGCAGCTCGTCCTTGGTCACCTGGTTGTTGGGAAAGCTGTCGAAGGCGGAGAGGATGCCCCGCACCACCCGCTCCATGGCGATGTTGGGCTGCGGCTTGCCATGTGGAAAGTAGAACCTGCACACGAGTAACGCGCACCTTAGAAACCAAATGAAGTGTTTCGGATTGCGGATCCACTCACCTGGGTATGTAGACGCTCTTCGTGGAGCGGATCTCCTTCTGCAGCAGATTCTGCTCCTGGGGCGGCGGGGGCGGTGTGGCGTGCAGCTTGACCTGTCGACGAATATGAACGAAAATTAATTTCACTTACTAATTGTTTACATTCCCTTGTTGTGGCTGCCAAAGCGCCACTCAATAAAATTCGCTATTTATTCTCGAAGAATTTCGTTTGTTTACGTTTTCGCGGAAATTTTTTCTCACTCTCTGGCAAAAAGCCGTAGACAGCCACGCCCATGTAGACGTTCATTCGCCCTTTACCTTTGAATTTATTATTAAATGTTTGCCATTCAAATAAACATCAACAAATTGTTGTCTAATTTAGGCGGTGAGTGGAGGCGCAAATACAAATACTTTTTGTTTAAATTAACTTTTCGTTTTTGGTAAATAATGGAAACATATTTAGTCCGTGGGATTTTTATGTTGCGAATTTTTTCGGTTCTAAACAAAATTAAATTTGTTCATGGAAAAAATGCATTGAAAACAAAAAAAAAGGAAAGAGAATAAAGATGCTATATGCGCACAGTATATAGCATCTTTATTCTCTTTCCCTTTTTTTTTTGTTTATAATTTATTATTTAGAAGCTACAAACCAAATCAAGCTTTTGTGTGGGTAGTTATGGAAACTAAATAATTTATTATGTTAGGCTGATTAATTTGAAAAAATAAAAGGCAGACAAATAAAATTGTAATTGTAAAGAATGTGATAAACCAAAAAAAAAGAATCTTTCAAATGAAATTAAACTATATCCCCTATTATTCTTTGTTCTATTTTTCGAAAAACTATTTTGCCATACATTTTTGGCGTATAAGGACGTTTAATCGATTGTAATCCATGCACAGGCCATTCATGATTTTTAAACTGTCAACGTCGTCATAAATATTAATCTTCTCACTCGGCCACAACGAGAAACCCCTGCAAAAGAGCAAACAATCCATTGGCATGTGCGCATATTACGTATACGCCCGGCTACACATCGTTTATAGTCAAATATTACGCATACGCATTGTTGCCTAATTTATAGACAAAACCAACACCAACAAAAAAAAACACTATAGGATCGAACGCATACTACACTCAACTTGTGTCTGCCCCTGCCTAAAACTTAATTGCAAAAAATAGTTTTTGTTTTTGCTTTACGGTTTATATTTTTAGACGATTTGTTTGCTTTGATCAACTTGGTCGAAGTGAGGAATTTCACAAGCCATCGTAGTAAAGCAAAGTTCAATTGAATTGGAAAGATTTTTGGATTGGTAAGTCATTCATAAAAAACTAAAACTGAACATGCCGTGCCCGCCCGCACATGTAATTAAGCAATTAAACAATTCTGAAACAAAAACCCCCAACCAAAGCAACAATCAGCACTGAGGCAACAAAAAAAAGCGAATTGCATTTCGAAGTGTTCAAATGTGATGATCATGTGCTTGGGTTGTATTGAATTTGGTTTGGTTGCTGTTTGGTTTATTTTTGTTGTTTTTTACACCCGTCCCCCTCGCACACTGGGATGTTTTGCTTTTGCACGATTTGCTGATCGTAAATGCTTGATTTGATTGTTTATATACGAAAATATGCACACAACACTGGGAGCACTCGATGTGGGCAAGTGGGAGCACTATGAATACCCAATAAACCCTGCAGAGAATATGAGTAGTCAACCGGGTTTTTGAATGTCTAAGCAAATTTTAGGGGAATGTGTATAGAATTTATTAATTCAGTGCGATGCAGACCTTCGAATTAGGGAATAACTTTTGAGAATTCATGACTGACAGTCGAAATTAGCATACGCTTCCCCAAAACTGGTTTGATTTAAGAACCATTTAATATAAAATTTTTGATTTTAGCTTCTCTCAGTACTTATAATTTGTTATAAATTATTTGGCTGTGACTTTTGTCTGCAATCTTTGATTTTATAACTGAAAGTCCATTTGATATTCCTAATTTTTCTATGAATACATATAGACACATTTCTTCGATATTTTTTAAATTGAATAATAGGACGTTTGATACTTAGCCGAAGCTGGTTAAATGAAAAAAATCAATCTTTTTGGGCCGCCTTACTTTTACAGCAGTAATGCAAATGTACATAAGATTGATTGTGATTAAGCCTCCCTTGTTTAAACCTTTTTTCCTCCTATTCGATGCTCTTTTAGCTGCCGATCCTCCCCAGCCTTTTGGCAAGTGTTTCTCGTGAGGCGTCTTGGGGTAACCTTAAATCAATCAATGATGCACTGCGCTCGCACCGATAAGAGCAGCCCACAAAAAAGTCGAACGAAAACAAATGGGCAATTGCAATTGGTTCGATTTTTTTTTTCTGTTTTTTTTGCACATTGTCTTCTGGCATTTTCAACTATTAGATAACACCACGAGCACACGATTTTCGGCCTGCAAATGACCGTTCCATCTACATTTTCATAACTCACCTTTATGAGGCTCTTGGGCGGAGTGTCCGCCTGCGGGCGCTTGATGTTCAGGAAGGCGTGCCGCACGTCCGGACACTTTTCGAACATGAGAACCCGCTCGGCGACGGAGCCGCGGGTGAGGAGATTCACTGGAAGGAGAGACCTGGAGTTTTTCGTTCAAGGGTTTCGATTCGGTTATATTACTTTTATCCTGGCCATTGGTGAGGGCCGCCCGCGCCCCGCTGGTCGGTTTGACTTTATTCAACGTTGGCATCGTTGTGCTGCCCGATGTTGCTGGCGTTGCATCCATCGATGTTGCTGTTGGTGTTGCTGCTGCTGTTGCCGATGTTGCTGTTGCTGCTGCTGTTGCTGCTGCTGCCGCTGCAGCTATGTTGCTGGCGTTATCAATGGCGCTACGACTTGTTGATTTGCGTGCCGTGGCTACAGCTGCTACCGCCGTGGGTTTTTCTTTGGTTGCCGGCTTCGAATCGGCGCTGTTTTCTTTGGTTTTGCTTGACTTGCGACTTGTGGCCGCTGGCTCGCCGCCCTTATCACTCACTGCCGCGCTGTTGGTGCTATTGGCCATTCTCGCTGACGGCGAATCTACAACATCGATGCTAACAGCCATAGAAGATCCGTTCCTGCTGGCCTTGCTCTGTTTTTTGGTGGGTTGCTCAGAAGCTGTTAGCTTGCTGCTGATGGCAGAATTGCCGCCACTGTTGCTACTGCCGTTGCTATTTGCCTTGCTGCTCTGCCGCTTTTTGCCCACGGTGGCCGGGACGTCCTTCTGCTGCTGGATGAGCTCACTGATCTTGAGCAGATTTTGGGTTTGCTGCGTCGACAGATTGTTCACATCCAGATCCAGACTGATGTCGTAGTTGAGATTGACATCGGGCAAGGGTTTGCTGGCGGAGACGGCGGCCACTTTCTTGGGCGAGTGGAGGACCTGATCCGGCACAGGATTACTAAAACTGGAGACCGCTGGCTTTTTCACCTTGCCATTGGAGGTGATGTCGGACTTCTTCAGGCTGTTGGTCTTGCCGCGCTGTTCCTTGTCCTTGTTGACAAAGCTGGTGACCATCTTCTGGAGACCCTCGGCATCGGCGGTGGGCGTGGCCACCTCGGAAAGATCGCCGGAGGCGGCGGCACTTGTGTACATCTGCAGGAGTTCCGGTGGCGGGATGCCCTGGCTCTTCCACGTGTGATATATGGCGTCCGCGTGCTCGTTGATCTGTTTGGTCAGCTCGGCGATCTCCGCATTGGAATCACTGCTGGCTGAATGCGATGCACTCGATCCCGTGGACTTGGGCGACTTGGGACTGGCTCCAGAACCCGCTGGCTTCCGAGTCGTCGTGGTGGTCTTGATGGCACTGGTCACCGCCACTGAACTGATCATGTTGCCCCCGCTCCGCTGCTCAGCTTCTTGGTCTTGGTTGTCGTTGTCGTGGTTGTGGTGCTCGAATTTGATTGCATTTTGCTCTAGTATCTCGGGAAATTTGTGTTTTTTTTTCGGTTTTTCTCTTTCACTCTTTCTCTCTTTCTGGTTCGATATTCACATTTTCACTGCTCACATTTTATTTTAAAAATTTATTGAAATCTTAATTGGGGTTTTTGTTTAATTTGCCCGGCTTTGTTGCGCTGCTTGGCACTGCGAGATTTCACATGCGTTTCATTCACTTTTCACATTTTCAGCGTTTTCAATTTGTTCTTCGTAGACTGCGTATGGCGAAATCTATTTATATAAAAGAAAATACCAAAATTTCCTATTTCGTGTATTTCAGACGCCGAAACCGAAACACACAGGCGGGCATTCGAAACACAGACGCACCACACGAAAAAAAATACACGGATACGGATTCGGGACCAGGCATCCCATCAGAGGAATATCGAGCAGATACGTAAGACGCGTAACACGGCGGGCACAGTGGTCGCAGACCCATTTAAAACCTTAAAAAAAGGCAATAAACTGTCAAAAGCAATTATCATATCGTGGGATTAATTAATGGCTCCACACCTTTGGCGCCGAAAACGTGAACAATTATCGTGTCACGTTGAATCGTCTCGAAATTCCATCTGGTTATGTTTGCGCAAAAACAATCAATTAATCAATTGAATTAATTGAATCAACTATGACAAGTCAAACATAAACTATAACCCACTGTGCATGCGTAAGATATTGACAATTGCGGTCAGGAAAATAGCTCTAAATACTTCTTTCAAATTTAATGTTTATGTAGTCTGAATAAGGATCAACAAAAAATTTATATATATTTTTTTTAATTTGTGCATTTACCAAATTCCATTGTTTAAATTTGTTTTAATTTCATAATTTTAAAGCTTTCTTTGTTAATTTAGTCAATGTGTGTCTTAAAAATCACAGAACTGGCCTACAAGAATGCTTATTAACACAATAAATGAGCTATCTATATATTTTTAAGCTAATTATCTAGATAGTTGCGGTTGCATCTTTAACTTTTTTTGCATGACTGTTACGATTATTCATTTATTAATCTTTGAAGGAACTGCGGTAAATTTATAAAGAACTTATCAAACAGAACTGACCTACACGTTAACATAACATGTATGCAAAACGATGAGCTACCATCCTATTTTTAAACCCGACTCGATACGCCTTTTCTCTGTTCATCGAACTTAACTTTTTATGACTGTCAAATGTGGTGATAATTCGTTAAAAAGCGCTGATAAACATTTGGACAAACAACGTTTCCTATTGCTAGTTGATGATTAATCTCTGAAAGAGGTGCTGCAAATTAAATTAGCGTGGCTATTTTCTTGACCGCAGCTGCCGATTGTACTATTTCGCCGTTTTTACGTGGGGTTGCGATGGGATGAGACCGGGAGCTGCGTTTGCGTTTGCGACTGCGGCTGCTGCTGCTGCTGCTTCTTCAACTTTGTACTATTTATTCGAAAATAAATTTCGAAGTAGTTGCGGCTCACAGACACACGTGCACGCACACTCGCCCAATGCACTTTGCATATGTATGGGTATGTATATGACGTACATATAGTTTGATATTTGTCTGCCTTTATTAATGATTTAATTGCATTTGGGCCCGGAGGCGCGCGTGCTGACGACAACGGCGACACCGAGAGATTCCGTCATTAATTAATTAACCAAACTAAACCGACCAGAGGTTAATCGACATTTTCGCGGCACGACATTTTTGCCGTTTTTTGGAATCGAATTCGCGAATTATGAACGAATGTTTTCGATCGGGGGGAAAAACACACGCGGCTGCGGGATATTTTGGAAAACTCTGGCAAGCTTCCGCTTGGCGAGTCTAAAATTAACAGCAAACAGAACCGAAACAGAATTCACAGATCAGAAAACCGAAAGCAGTCGTTTTATTTCCGAGCGTATTGCGGTGCACGCGATGCTGCTAAGGTCCGTGTTGTTACTGTAAATCTTCGCCCGCTGAAAATAACATCAGCCTCCGTTCTGCGAGCGGTGGAGCGGCCGAGCCAACGGAGCGGATGAGCGAGAGTGAGCGGTGATCTCAGCTGTTGCTGTTGTTGTTGTTATTATTGTTGTTGTTGGTGCTGTTGCCGCTGCAACTACGCTAATGACACTCGCAGCCCCCAAGAACGAGCGCTCCCACACACTCAAGACCTGCGATCATATCAGAGGTGAGCCAATCGACGAAAAAAAGATGATGACACACCGGAATGAAAGAGCTAAAAATGCATTTAAATCTAAAATCAAGTCTAAAAAATTTCGAAATGATTAATAAAAGTGTAAGAAGCAAAATAAACCGACAAAACATTTATTTTATCTTTTTAACAACTAAATTTGTTAAATATTTTATCGTGTTATTATTTGTTTGTTTTTTAAACGTATTATACAAATGTCTCTAACCACAGATGCCATTTGCAATTCACACATTTGTTCGGATTTGTTACCAGGGAGATGTTTGAAGTAATTTTTTTTTAAATAATGATTAAATCATTTTCTACACTTAGTTAAATTTAAATTAAATAATTATTGGAAGCCATAAGCTAGAATGGCATTTCAATCGCAGCGAGAGAGAGTGAGAGTGAGTGTCCAAGAGAGCGGCGCCCAAAAAGATCGCCCATTACTTTGGCGTTCTTTGAGCAGCTGCTCCACCGCTCTGCTCTTTCTCTTCTAACGCTCTCACTTACCCCCACACGACGGCGCAGCGGCAGCGACGTCAGCAGAACACTTGCCGTCGTTTACCCACTCACACGCACACACACCTTCACCGAGCGCCAATCCATTGTCGAACATAAAAAATACAAAAATCAAATCATAGGTGTTTGTTAATTATACACTGTGCCCTGGAGGCAGGGTGTAACGGTTCACTTGGGATGTTTAAATAGTCACGTTAAAATTATGGCAATAACAAATGTGATTACGTCAACAGAGATTCAATTAAGCTTAAATTAAAGGAATATGAATATCCTTAAAAATCTTATGGTATAACAGTCTTTTTTTTATTTAAACCTGTATAGTAAAAACATTTCGCTGTCTGATTCATTTAAAGCGTGTATATAATTAAAATTATTCGTGAGTATTTTAATTAGATAACATTTACTTACTTTATTTACTTTTATTGTTTGTTGCTTGTATGCCATTTTTTTTATTTTATCTTTTACCAAAGATTACTATCTTAATAAAGAAAATACAAGCTGATTAAGCTTGAAATTAATATTAAAATACAATACTTTAATACATGAAGAGTATTTTAAGTTCGTGCTTAAATTGTCTTTTCTTCTCCAGTTTCATTTTTGTCTGCCTCATTGAGCAGGAAAACAACAATAACAACAAAAGCGACTACGGATCGAAGCATTTATCTCGCTTATTTGCTAATGCTAAATGATTGTCTTCTTCTTTTTCTCCTTCGGCTGCCGTCTTCCTCTTCACGTCGCAATGTTTGTTGCAGTTAGCTGTCTTGTCTTTATGTCTTTATTGTTGCTGTACCCATTTTGTTGCTTGGCTTTTTATGTTTAGGCTATTTAGCAGGTGGGCGGGTGACTTTTGTTTGTTTAAAGAACCCCGAAAAAGCTGTACGAATTGAAATGTGATTCGTGTCTAAGTTTATACTGTGATTTTTTTTAATTATACAATTTTATACACACAGACACATACGAACGCAGATATGGAAACCGCAAGTGCGGCTAACGATGACGCCTATAATGATCATAATGATAATGCCGATCTGAGCGCAGCTTCCGGTTTTGCGCTTCGGCATTTTTGTTAGTTTTTTGCGCTGGCTAACTTCAGATAAATATTTATTACCAGCGTTTTTTTGTATTGTGTTTTGCGGTGTGTAATTGATTTAAACCAAAAGATCCGCCAAGCCTAACATGTGTTGACTGTCACACCGATTGACAGTTATTTCGGTTTAGTTCCATATTAGGGCTGGGCATTAGGCGTGACATCCCCAGCCAGCTGGATTAGCCTAAAACTTGACCCAATTCAAGCGAACGTGTTGAGCGAGCGCATAAAAGCGAACAAAAGGCTTTTATGCCAAAGTCGGATTGACAAAAAAAAAATATTCAGACTGCCCACACAAACAAAACATGGGCGGAAAATTCAATGGAGGTGCGAATAGATCAATCGCCGTAGCAAAATCCATAAGCAGCTTTGCGCTTGGGAGAGTGCTGTTATTTTTGGTCATTAAAAGAAATTATTTAATGGCCCGTGACAGTCGGGGTTCCTCATTTAATCCAAGATTAGGATAGATCAAACAATATGTGTTCTTCCACGCACACGCTGCGTATACTTAATTGCGCATCCGCACTGTTGTCACCCTTGACAATTCTTTTCTGCGCTATGTTTTCCCAATATTATTTCTCATATTCCCACCTTGGTTCGCTTGAACATTGACACTTAAAATCGCTGACTTTCGCACCCCTTTCGGCACAATGTCAGCCAGAAGAGAAACTCGGCCGTAACCGTTCTTGGAAACCTTTGAAATGGCTTTAACTACTAACATTGTACCATTGCTATGTGCACTCGCTTTTGTTATGGCTATTATGATTATAAGTCAAAAGCTGTCGGCACTTTTCTCTGCACTTTGTGGATATATTTTTAGGCCTGGCCTAATTGAATTTGAAAAGCGAAGGCATCCGAGTGCGGGAAAACTATAAATGCCAGGTCCCAAAATGCAACCAATGCAGGTTTCCAACGAACAATCGCCGCGAATAGTCCGCTCCAGTGAAATATTCAGCATCCAGGAATCCTTTACGTAAAAAGTGTTAGAAATATTGTTAGTGAATTTGCAGCTTTTTATGTAGACAGTGTGATATAGGCGGGATATAGTTAACGCAACCAGCAACCAAGACACAATGGAGAGGTACGACTTCAAGGAGAACATCCACGTACCCACTCGGATTTTATTCAAAACTTAAATTTACTTGGTGTTGCAGCTTTTCAGTAGCAGCCGCACTGGGGCCACACTTTGCCCCCCTGTCCAATGGATCGGTGGTGGACAAGGTGACGCCCGACATGGCCCACCTGATCAGTCCGTACTGGAACCAGTTTCCCGCCATGGACCCCATCTGGGCCAAGATCCTGACCGCCTATATGATCATGATCGGCATGATTTCCTGGTGCGGAAATGGCGTGGTGATCTACATATTCGCCACCACCAAGTCGTTGCGCACTCCCGCTAACCTGCTGGTCATCAACTTGGCCATCTCCGACTTCGGCATCATGATCACCAACACGCCCATGATGGGCATCAACCTGTACTTCGAGACCTGGGTTCTCGGCCCGATGATGTGCGACATCTACGCCGGACTGGGCTCGGCCTTCGGCTGCAGCTCCATCTGGTCCATGTGCATGATCTCCCTGGATCGCTACCAAGTGATCGTTAAGGGCATGGCCGGCCGGCCGATGACCATCCCGCTGGCCCTGGGCAAGATAGCCTACATCTGGTTCATGTCGAGCATTTGGTGCCTGGCGCCCGCCTTCGGCTGGAGCAGGTGAGTCCTTAAACTGGGGATTGTATTCATTAATATGACTAGCTAGCTTGTGTTTTGAACAATGAATTGGAGATTTAAGATATGGCCGCATATTAAATTTAGGCTTTTTAGGCAACAAAAAACCTAAACAAGATTATATTTACAATGCACAGCAAATATTTTGAAAAATATAATATGTACTAGTTTGTATTTTATTTTAACCTCTTATTATTTCCTTTTTTCCAAAACTTTTTTTCATATATGTACGTTCAATTGAAATTTAAATTTGTTGTTTTCGAACACATTAAACTAAATTATCAAATAAATTATACAACTTTTTTTTCATCAATTTTTTTTTCCATAATATGTTGCGGAATTCGAATATTTACTTTCTTAAATATCAAACTAAATTAAATTTCTTGTTGTGAAAATTCAAATAGTTTTTGGTAGAACATGTAAATAGAAAAATTAAGTTTATTGAGGCAAAATTTACAAATTCGTTAACTTTGAAATCATAAAACTAAATATGTTCACCCTGCTAATCCAGGTATGTGCCGGAGGGTAACCTGACATCGTGCGGTATTGACTACTTGGAACGCGACTGGAATCCACGATCGTACCTGATCTTCTACTCCATCTTCGTTTACTATATCCCGCTGTTCTTGATCTGCTACTCTTACTGGTTCATCATTGCTGTAAGTGGATGAGTGACTGATAGAGCCAGTGCATCCTATTCCATTAATTTTCCTCCAGGCTGTGTCCGCCCACGAGAAGGCCATGCGCGAGCAGGCCAAGAAGATGAATGTCAAGTCCCTCCGCTCCTCTGAGGATGCCGAGAAGAGCGCCGAGGGAAAGCTGGCCAAGGTGGCCCTGGTGACCATCACCTTGTGGTTCATGGCTTGGACTCCATACTTGGTGATCAACTGCATGGGACTGTTCAAGTTCGAGGGTCTCACTCCACTGAACACCATTTGGGGAGCTTGCTTCGCCAAGTCGGCCGCCTGCTACAATCCAATTGTATATGGCATCAGGTGGGGATTTCGAGTTAAGTGTATCCTGCATGCACTGCAATACCTTCTTTATCTTACAGCCATCCCAAATACCGATTGGCCCTCAAGGAGAAGTGTCCTTGCTGCGTCTTCGGCAAGGTCGACGATGGCAAATCGAGCGATGCCCAATCCCAGGCAACCGCCAGCGAGGCCGAGTCCAAGGCATAAATATTTTGGCGCAACAACCAGAACAGCAACAACAACAACACCTAAATACTTACAACAGCAACAACAACAGCAACAAAAACAACAACAACAACAACAGCAAGAACAACTGCAGCAACAGAACGAAACGCTTTCGAATAACATCAAAAACAATAATGAAAAAATTATGCAAATTTCTTACATAACAAAAAGCAATGTAAACTCAGTTATTAAATCTTCTGCAATGTCAATTAAAGACAAAAAAAAAACATACAAAAAAATAAAGGCAAACGAACTAGAAAAGTTACTTAAAAGGTGTTTTCTTCAATAATCATACATACGTTAGTCAACGCATATTGATTTTAAAATAAATAAAACTTTCGATTTCTTGCAAATAACTTGGCTGAATGTTATTTGTAGTCTTAAAAATAAAATTTTCTAAGCTCTTGAAAGTCTGGATTCCTTATTCAATTCCAGATTACTAGAACTCGCATACGCACTGTTGACTCCCTTGACAAATTTTTTTCTATGCTATGCTTTCTCCATATGTTTTCAAATATCTTGGCTCACTCAGCATGGACACTTTAGAGCGCTGACTTTTAACGCCCCTTTCGGCAAAATGTCACCGAGAACTGCCACTTGGCAAAAGCCCACCCTGGACACCTCTGAAATGCGTTTAACTGGCATTGTCTTTGTCTCATTGCTAGGCGAGCTCACTTTTGTTATGGCTATTATAAATATATGCCGAAAGCTATCAACACTTTTCACTAAATTCAATAGAAATATATTTTTTAAGGTCTGACCCAGTTAAACCTAAAATTTAAAAAGACAGATCCCAAATGCAAACAATTCAGGTGTCCAACAAACAATCACCGCAAATAATCCACTTCACAATGTATTTTCTGTTTCAGTTTTTGTTTGTTTTAAATTAAAGGCACTTAAAATCCATTTTTGTTTGATAAATTAACATGCAGAGGTAGGAGTTCGTCAGAGGAACCCGTGTCCCTTCGAACTCAAAGTTCAAAGAAGCACGGGACAATCTGCTCGAATCCTACCCAGGGTTGCTGGAAGCTCACTGAGCTGAGCTCCCCGGCGGTTAGTAGCACATGGACAACATTAACAATTAATCAGTATCAGTAGTTCTTGTTAAGGCACAACTATAGAGGTTTCAACTCCAGTCAATCGCTGCAGGAATCGTATTCGCTTTCGCTTTTTTTAATTCTCGTTTTGATTCCCGGCGTTCCGGGCGTTGTTGTTGTAGGTGATGGTAACGTATTGTTATTGTCGATCAGCGCCAATGAGCAATTGCCTCCAATGGGCTTGTGGTAAGTGCTGGGCGGACTGTCCACGCAGTCGGAGGAGGTGCACGCCCGTTCCTGTATGATGAGTTTCCACAGGCGCACTTCGATGCCAACGCTGCAAAAAGCAAGTGCTAGTTAGGCATAGATCAATTAAAAGTTTATTTATTTTTATCGCACCGCAGTCCCAGCCTCATGAGGTCCAGCTTCTCCATGTTGTAGATGAAATCCTCAAACGTAAAACCTTCATTCAGAATGAGGGTCTTTGAGAACTCATCGATTTCCTGCTGGGTCAGCCACTGCTCCAACTGCTCGTCTACTTCGTGTAGTCCAAAGTGTTGCTTGTTTAGCTGTCTCCGGGGATTGGTCGCTAGGGTCGGACGGGCTCCGGACATTCCGCCCCCACTGGGACTCATTCTATGGCACTTTTTGTTAAATCCGTTGATTGTGCGTCTACACAAAGATTAAAATAAATTATAAGATTTTTATCAGGATTATAATCACTATACCCACCTTAATCTTTTTCTTCCGCCCATATAAATGTGGGCGAGTTCCTGACTGATGTTGTGCAAGGCCTTCATGCTCTGGCGCTGCTGCTCGATCAACTGGCGTTGCAGCTTGTACTGGTTGTCCCGGATGTCTCGCAGAATGCGTGCGCACTCAACCGAACTGGCCAGGGCATCGCCTCCCGACTCGGCTGGCATTAAACCAGCACCTCTGCCCGTGCTGCTCGTGGGCAGCACCTTCTCCAGGCTTTGCTGGTGCTTTTCTTGGCTGTCAGTTGAACCCTGCTGCATCACACTCGTGTGCACGCTCTCGTCATCATTTCCCGAAAGATCCTTGTCTGCCAGGTTGGCTCCCAGCTCAGGAGAGAATATGGTAACCGCTGCCTGGACGGCCCGCTTTACGAGATTATCCAAAGCAAACATCCAATGCGGTTTAATGCAATGATCTCGCAGTACGCAGACCACAGCGTCCTGAAAGGAGTACAGGGCCAGATGCAGGTGGTCCAGGGCCACTGCGTCGTGGTTTAGCTTTTGCTTCAGTTCGTTTATAGTTGCCTCCAAATGCTTCTCGTTCTCATTCATAATATAATCCCGCAGGCCCCGGATAAGCACCTCCAAATCGCTCTTCCGAATTGCAATTGAATGCTGATCGGCATCCACCTTCTTCAGCCAAATGTCACAGATCTTGGATTCATCCAGGGCCAGCACCTTCGAAAGCGTCGTTCGTCGCTGTGAATCTTTCTTTAGCCGGTAGAACCCGTCAGTCTCACTGGTTTCACTTATACTTGTGCGCAAGGACGGCGTCGAGGGTTCAATCTCGGGCGACAGTAAAAACCCAGAAGAGTTGCGTCGCTCCAGCAAAAACTGGTTAGTGTGCAGCTCGTCAGTGTCCACCGAAGATGTGTGAGTAATGCTGAAGCGGATAAGAGATTTAGGAGTTTAATTCATCTAATAATACACAAATTTGTCCTTGCTAGCGCAACTCAAGTTCGATTCAAAGATAAATCAAATCAATATGAACATTATACGATAATTATACGGCATCAAAATAACAGACGGTATAGCTAATAGCAAAGATCCAGACAATGATTTTATTAAATAAAGAAAACTACTAAAGAGGCTTACGTCAAGATAAGATAATCAACCGACCGGCTGTTTTAGTAGATAAGCAAGGTCAAACTTGTTTTTAGAGGTCTTAACTAAACACTCACTCCAATTCCGGCGTGGTGGGCGTGTTGCAGGTTGTGTTGTAGCTCAGCGGCGGTGTGGTTTTGTGCACAAACCGATCAGCAGGTACAGATATGCTTCTTCCAAACTCCGTATTAATGGGCAGAGCCGGACGAATCTTTCGGGCCTTACTAAATGAGGGGATATAGAGAGCAGTTAGAGGGAAATTCCATTAAGCAAACTATCAAAAGTAACTTACTCAGACAAAAAGGGATCATCTAGCAGTTGCGAAGCGGAGGGCCGGTCTAGCACGCTGATGGCAAAGCAACGCAGAATGAAGTTCTTGGCATTGGCGGACAGCTCCTCGGGTATGTTGGGGTGCTTCTTGTAGTAGCCCACCTTGAACATGGCCGCCTGTGCGCAGCCCAGCTCTATGAATGGCGGCTTGCCCGTGGCCATCTCCACGTTTGTGCAGCCAAACGACCAGATATCAGCCGCCGGCCCATAACCACGAACGCCCTGGTCAATGACCTCCGGTGCCATGTACTGCAAGGTGCCCGTAAAGGTCTCCGTCATGGGATTAATGCGGGCCAGCCGCTTGGAGGTGCCAAAGTCGGAGATCTTCACAACGCCGCTGTACGTGTTAACCAGCACGTTGTCGCCCTTGATGTCGCGGTGCACAATATCCTGTTCGTGGAGGTACTTGAGCCCCTCGAGGATCTGCTTGGAGTAGAAGGCCATGGTGGACTCGTTGTCCTTGAGCGGACCCCATTTGGTCTCCAAGAGGTCGGAGAGCGAGCCTCCCGGCACCTGCTCCATGAAGATCTTGAAGAAGCCGTCCTCCGAACGCGATCCCAAGTAACGGACGATGTTTCGGTGGCGCAGCTGCGAGTGCAGCTTGATCTCCTCGTGCAGCGGCTGCACATCTTGGGAGTTCTTTTCCGGCACCTCCTTGATGGCGATTCGCACTTGGGTCTGCTTGTCACGGGCCGCATATACGGTTCCGTACGTTCCCTTGCCTAGCACCATCTTTCGGTTCTGCTCATCGTAGTCGTACTCGTACTGCAAGAAAGAATTATATTTAAGGTATAACAAAAGTAAAAAATAATAAAGAACATACCTCAATTTGCGCCTCATCATTGCTGAGGTTAACAAACACAACTTGATCAGCGGTCATCTCTAAAATCAGGTCGTAGAACTTTTGCCGGCGTTCAGTGGAGGGAAAATATATTTGAAAGTCGTCCGAGTTGTGATGAACATAAAGATAGGCACAGCGATCATCCCGCTTGTACAAGCTGACGGACTTGATCTTCGAGGCCACGAAAAGGAAGTCATGGATTTTTTTGCAGGCATTCTTCGCGTGGGCCAGGCAGTTGTTCACGATCTGGATAGACTTTTCCTCCGCGTCCATGTTTATCGTCACATAACTGGGCATGTAGATCTTCTGCGGCTCCAGGATCTGCAAATAAATATTTGTAGTGGAATGAAATGTTTAAAATTTGGATGAGGGATACAAACCAGTATGGGAAATCGAATGCTGTTCTTCACCTCCTCCGAGTTTGTGGCTTCCAAAAAAAAGTCCATCCAGAACTGAAACACCTGCTCCTCGATGGGAGGCAGACGCTCCTCGGGCTTCTTGCGAAACCGATGAATAAGAGAGATATTGCCGATGGTCGACTTAAGGTACCAGTTGGGCGGCTTCAACTTGAACATGCACTCGGCAGCCTGAATCGCCTTGGCGTAGTCCTTGGCCAAAACGGAGATCTCAAAGAAGGTGGCCACGTCCCAGTATTCGCTCAGCGAAGAAAGGCTGCCCTTCTTCCCGATCAAATTGTTCAGGGTCATGCCGATGTGCTGCAGCTCCTCCGTATTGGTAAACTCCTTGCCCTCGATGACCAGCAGGGTGGCCAGATTAATACCGGCGTACTCATTCGGTTGCACCTCGAAGCTTTGGCGATACCACTTAATGGCGTTCGCCAAACTGGTGGCATCCGTGTAGTCGGACTCCACGAAGATGTCCTTGTAGATTCGTCCGCACAGACAAAGCATGTCCGGAAAGTGGTTATCCTTTTTTTCCAGCGCTTTAAGCGAACTCTCCAGGGCTTTCTCGCGGTCTCCCTTGCGATTTCTGCGGTTCAGAGCGAAGGCGTAGAGAAAGCTCATGTTGCCCGTCTCGACGTACTTCCGGGTGTTGGGTATGCTCTTTAGGTCGTTCACCAGCCGCACCATGGCATCGTAATCCTGGACATCCCTCAGGGAGCACATGAAACTGTGCACCACCTCCCCGGAAAGGACATGTGGATCGTCCAGCCGTTTTCGCATCTCGTGCAAGATGCTCTGCAGCTTGGCGCCATTGGTGGCGTACGTGTCCCGCGCCGTTCGCATGTCGCTGAGAAATTTCTCACGCATGTGCGCTCTGAAAAAAGTTCAATTTAGTCTTTAGAAACATAAATAAAGCATTATAGGAACATTTGCACATTTGCTGTTCTAAAAACAAATTAACCCAGCGTCTGTCCAGTATTCAAAATTTATGTGAGACAATATCAGATTGGCTAGAATAATTTACTTTAATAGTGTAGTTATTCTTGTGAAAAATATTAACGGTTTTAGGAAATAATAAAAATAAATATAATAAAATATATTAGAAACCTTTGGATTTTATAGGCTAAACGTGATAAAACGTGGATAAACTCTTGAAAAATAATCAAATGAGGCCGTTAAAACCGCATTTAAAAATAGTGTGAAGATACAACAAAATGTATACGTCATGGTGTCAAATCAGTTACTTAGTTCTGGACGTCCCAAAGATTTACTTACTTTGACTGGATCTCCACATCCTGCAGCTTCCTTTTTAGGCGCCACTGCAAAGTGGGCACCCGTGTTTCAGAGGCGGGCTCCTTGTTGCTGCTGGGCTGGCTGGTCAAATGGCAGGAATTGCTCTCCGCATTTAGTTTGTAGCTGAGGAACAGGTAGTTGGCACACGAGAGCTGCAAAGGCAGAGAGGTATACCTATGTTAGTGTCCGTCACTGTGAATGCAGGCCACACTGCGTTGGTGTACGCCGCGGCTGCGTTTCTCTTTGAGTGTCTGCGTGGGCGTGCTCGCATTTGTTATTGTTATTGTTGGGGCCGACGCTTTTGTTGTTTTACGGCCGTGGCCAAAACAAAAATAACGAAATCGCTTCTACGGAAATACAGTCGAACTTCCATTTACCGAATTTGTTGAAATATATAGTTTTGGATATCTTAATTTTGAATACATATTTTTTTAAACTTTTAACTTTAGCAAGAATATTGTTTTAGGCTAATAAGATTTCGATGACTCTCTTGGTAAATATTTCAATATATAAGGTTTGACTTATTAAAGTTCTACTGTGGAAATATCGGACAGAACCACATATGAAGTTTTGTGGTTCTGCAGAACCGACCGATTTAAAACATATGTGTACATATCTGAAAAACTATATTGAACATCAAGAAATCACACATCCTTAATTAAAAATAAATAAAAGGATATGTAATAAAGCAAAAACTCTGTTTTTATGTTTTTTTTGGGAACTCCCTCCAATAAGATTTTTCAAAACATTTTTGTTCAATTCTAGACGGATCGGCAACAACAAATAAGTCAGGGATCACTTTGCTGCCGTTTCCGTACATTTCTGCTGGTCAGTTATCTTATCGGAAATCGGAGTCCCGGATCGCGCCTGCAAATGTTTGCGGCACACCTGGTCGGGTAAACAGGTAAACACAGCGGTACGCACCTTTAGACTGAGTGTCTGCTTGGACTCGATGTCGTTGTAGATGAGGATGTTCTCCTTCATGCCGAAGCTCTCCCTGACTCCATAATGGTAGGACAGAGGGCGCTGCTGCGTGAGGATGCTCAGATCAATGACGGCCACATCGGCGTTGTAGAACGTCTCTAGCACATTCGTCTCCCCGAAATCCAGGCGTTCAAACTGCAAGGAGTGAGGATTTCAAAGGGATATACCATACTCCCTACACATTAACCATTGTATAACCCAATTGGCGCACCTGAACCCGCTGAAAATTGGCGCCCGCCGATTGCACCGCCTGCTTAATCTCCTCCAGCGCGCAGATGCGATCCTCCAGATGGTCGCCCACCGCCGTATCGATTACACACACCACATCCATAGCGAGTTCGATTCGATCCGATTCGATTCGAGTCGATTCGATCGCAGCTATTCTTGGCACCTCACTTCTGTTTTTGGACGGATTTCGCGCACTATGCGAACTTTATGCAGGAGGACGCGCGCACCTTAGTGGCGAACGGATTCATTACCAAGTACTTGCAGCTTCTGCATCGCGTTAATTGCCGCGTAACGAATAATTATCAATAAATAAAGAAACTTGTAGAAATGTGCAGTGCAGTGTGACCTTAGGTAGACTGCCTGAAATTTACCAGAGGTAGCCCAAAAAATACCAGGAAATAGTTCTAACGGATATCTTTGTTGAATATTTGGCGCTAACTCCAACTCTGCGGACCGTTAAAGTTCGACTTTAAATTGAAAATGTGTGCTTTAAAAAATATTTATTTATATCCGCAAAAACTGCATATTGCAATAAAACTGCATATTCAATCTAACCCGACTTGATAAAATTGTGTTGCAACAAAAATTAAAAATCCATTAGCCAAATTGTTTTGAAAAGTTTTATAAGGTAGAAACTAATACAATCGAACTTGTTTCAAATTTTTGTGTTGTACGTAAAAACTTTGATCTTAACTAGCATATTCCTTAAGAATGGAGCCCGCAATAACCAATCTTTGGATTTCTGAGGTGCCCTCGTAGATTTCTGTAATGCGGGCATCCCGATAGTGACGTTCAGCAGCCATGTCCGTGACATATCCCATTCCTCCTAAGATTTGGATGCACTGATGGGAGCACATGGTGGCCGCCTCGGAGGCAGCCAGTTTTGCCATCGCAGCCTCTTTGGTGTAGGGCTGTTTGTTGTCCTTCAGCCAAGCGGCGCGCCAGGTGAGCAGACGAGCCGATTCCATGGCCAGGGACATGTCCGCGATCTTCTGCTGGATGGACTGCAACTTAGCAATGGGCTTTCCAAAGGCCTGACGTTTCTGGGCATAGTCCACGGCTAGTTCCAGGGCCGCCTGACCGATGCCTAGCGCCTGGCCAGCGATTCCTATTCGTCCAGCGTCCAATGTTTGCATGGCAATCTTAAAACCGAATCCTGGCTCGCCAAGCATATTCTCTTTCGGCACTGCACAGTCCTCGAAGATCAACTGGCAGGTCGAGGATCCCCGGATGCCCAGCTTATCCTCCTTCTTGCCCAGCGAAAATCCTTTGGTGCCTTTGGGCACAATGAACGCTGAGATTCCTTTGTGCTTCAGCTGCTTGTTGGTGGTGGCAAATACGATGGCGGCCTCTGCCTCGAATGCGTTGGTTATCCAGGCCTTTGTGCCATTCAGCACAAAATGATCTCCCTTGTCGGTGGCTATTGTGGAGGCAGCTCCGGCATCGGATCCATTTCCAGGTTCGGATAGAGCGAAGCAACCTACTCGCTCTCCAGTTGTAAAGGGAGTGATGTAGTCCGCCTTCTGAGCGTCGTTTCCGAAGGAGAGAAGGGGTCCCAGATACAGCGAGTTGTTAACCGACATGATGACGCCAGCAGAGGCACAACCCCGAGAAATTTCCTCCATGGCAATGGCATAGGCCACATAATCCAGACCAGTGCCACCTGTTAAAAACCATATAGACATTAAAAGGACGTTGATATTGATATAAAATGTATTACCTAACTCTTCAGGAATCGCCACCGCCATGACTCCTAGTTCGCCCATTTGACGGATCTGCTTTTCGGGATAAAGGTGCTCCCGATCAAATTTAGCCGCATTTCCACTCAGCTCGCAGTTGGCAAAATCCCGACAGGACTTTTGTAGCATTTGGTGGGTCTCCGAAAGGGCCGACAAGGATGCTATTTGTCGCACATTAAGAGATCTTCTGGCTGAAAATCAGTATCTCGTTAAGGATCTTGCATATAGAATACATTTGATGATTGTGGGGCTCAAAGTCCAATGGTTGCTTTGTCCTACCAATATTAAACGAGCGGGTGAGTACGGACTGCATGTTGGCGTAGGTTTATTTTTTACTTAAATATATTAATAAAATTGTATAAAATAAGTGTAAGAAATTTGTATTAAGAACTTTGATGTTAAAAAATAAATTAAAAGTGAGCAGTGTGACCAGAGATGGACACCGGTTTTGTTATGTACGTATGTAACAAGTGGTTTATACAGGGTGAACTATGTTTGGTATATAATGAAATTCTTAATTACTTGTAAATAATTGGTTAAGATTATTAATTACACCATTTTTAAAAATGTTTTAAAATGCACCAAATAGTTTCAATTAGACTAGAAACTCGCGTTAAATTTTGTACTAAATTGAGTTTTGGTACTCAATTTTAGCCACTTACAGTCACATTAATGCGCATTTTAAAGCATAAACATTTTGGTAACATTTAAGAACAATTGTTGATTTGTTATTTATAAAAAGCGGGGACCACCAAACTGCCAAAGATGTCGAACACAAACGAGGGCACCGAAACCCTGACGATAGAGACCCTCGATTTTAACGACGAGTATGAAGTGGAATGTAAGTACCAGCGTTATTCCAACACAGGATTCCTAATTGCATGAAAAATAATTCCCTTTTTAGTTTTGCTCACCAAACCCCCGCCTGGAAAAACCAAACCCACCGAGCCAGTCAAGTTAAAGCGCTTGGTTTGCAAACTAAATGGCTGCAATTATTCGACGGACCGGAGGAGGGACCTTAAGCGCCACCGGCGCTCACAGAAACACGTGTGGCAGGAGTTGTGCTCAGAGGACTCCGATTCTGACTTCGAAAGGTCCTTATTCTCCTGTGCAGTCTGCGAATACACCACAGCAAAAAGATATAGCTATGAGCGCCACAAGGAATCGAGGCGGCACCTCATGAAGGAGATGGATGAATGTGAAAAGCTGATGGAAGAGGCGGATAAATCAGAAAGACCTGAAAAAGACCCCTGCGAAACACACAATAAGTCCCAGGAGCACCAAGAAATATTAACTAGCCAACTGGATGCGAATGGGTACATAGACTATATCCCTCAAGAAAAGGAACACTTTGTAGAGCCATCTGAAGAGTTTAATGATACTGACGAAGATTGCGAAACCTACTTGGAAGACTTCTCCCAATTCAACTCCACCTTAGAGTGCAAGCCCTGTCAATACAGGACAGCCAGAAGATTCTGCTTTGTTCGGCACCTGCAGTCAATGAGACACCTGGCCAGAATACAGGAGGAGTTTGATGCCCTGGAGGTAAGAAATGCCCTAAAGCAAGAACGTTTGGAGGCTAAAAAGACCCTGGAGGAGGCTCCCTGCTTTGAGGAGAGTTATAACGTGGAAGGCTCAAATGGTGCGGTGGCAGAGGATGATGCGGAGGAGATCGATGGTACTGTAGAAGCAAATGGCCTGGCACATATTGATACTTTGAACGAGAGAACTGAAATAGAGGAAATCGATGGTCTGGTATTGGAAAATGTAGTTGAGGAGATTGAAGTTCTTGAGGACGGAGTGGTCCAAGCAGAGCCCGGCTTCCATGTGATCCAATACGCATCTGTTGAAGAAAATGTTTATGAGGAGATCGTGTACCTTCCCGTCGATGTCAGTCCAGAGGAAAGTTGCTACTTTATAGCGCTGAATAATGAGTAGATTTTAGGGAAAACAACAAATGTATATTTTTTTATAAATTGTATAAGTATTTATGTAAAATTACATATTTTTTGACATGTTGAAAATAAAAAAATGTTAAACCAAAGAAATTTCCTTTTTTATGAGAAAGCAAAAAGATGCCGGTGTTTTGATATGGTCTTTTGGGAAACACCTATGTAATATAAGTTAAACAAACCACCAAACCAATTTCACAATTTAAATTAAAAAGATTGTTTGTTAATAAAAATAGTATTTTTTAGCAATATTACAATTATTGAACCGAGAAAATTCATACACATTACTATCTACCTCTCCAACATTGGTATTTATAAATTGCCATTAAAAAAAATCTTAAGATTAAAAAAACAACTAAATGCAGTAACATTATATGTAACTTGTAATCTAATTTAAGAGTGCTGAAACAAGCGTGTCAGTGCGAGTACATTCGTGAGCCACTGTGTATCTGCCAGTTTTCCGTTCTGGTTTTGACAGCCCGCTTTTCATCTCTGCGCAGATTCGACGCGCACGCACTGGAACTTGTTTAACGTTTTTTATGTTTTTCACTGCACAACTTTGTAAATTCAGCACACAAAAAATAGAACAGCGCAACTTTTAAGTTTGGAGTGTCCTGTGGACAAGGAAAGGCACTTTCAGCAGCACGGAAACAAGCACGGCAATAGGAGTCCCATTTGTTGTCCTATTGATTTGCCCCCACTTTTGGAGTTCTTTCAGTTTCCTTTGCACACCGATTTCCGCATCCACCGCCCGCTGCGCCCGCAAAAGAGAGGTAAACAACAAAATGCAAGTGCTCCCTGAGCAAATATAAACAAAAAAGTTAAGAGTGATAACGCTGGCAGGCGCCACACAAATACACATACAAGAGCGAAGAGAGGAGAGCGAGAGCCAAAGCGGCTCCCTCGATCCCAAAGTGTATGTGTTAGCATCGTTCTTATCTCCCCCAAGCTCTCTTCCGCTCTCCGTCGATCTCCTGATAATACGCTCTGCACTGGTGTGGGTGGGTGTTCATCCCCACAGCGCCTATAAAAGGGCCGTTAATTCTTGGCGAGCAGCCACTAAGTTTTAGCGAGAAGCTGCCACCGGATCCGCCAGGTGGAAAACAACCGTGAGTCTCCCTTCTAAAGGGTTTCCCCATTAGTGAAGTGTGTCGCGAGTGCAAAGCCAGTGAATATCAAATACAGGAAGTTCTAAAAAGTGATATAGGATTATAAAGCTCAGTCAATGGAAAGAACATTTGTCCAAAAAAGTGTTGCATTTAAAATAATTTATTGAATCTTACGTACTTGGTTTTTTTTTTATTTAAGGCTTACTTTGTTAAGTTGCAAAAACAGTATTTAGTATTCAAAGCTTATTTAGAAATCAATTTTTACCAAAAGGAAAATGTTGTGCCGTAATCAAAAACAAAAATGAATGTCCATTTGTTTTTAAACAACAAATATGGGCCAAGTTTATCAGATCGGTTTATCGCCTCAAACAAAACACTATAAAAGTGGCTGAAATTATAAAAGAACCAAAAAAAAGCGTAATCATCATGCGACAACAATCTTTAGATTCGACACATTATCTTAGAATTTGGGATAGAAAAAATATAACCACTTTTTAGCCATATATGTATGTATATATATGTGATATTTCTACGTGATTTCAGCGGCACCGGAAGATATACCCCCGACCAATGAACTGGCACCTGAAGTAAAGAAATTGATAGAATAAGAAACGACCAAAATGCAGTCAATGAAAGCCGATGAACTGCCGGAGAATCCGCGCGAGACGTCGAACATCTTTTCATCCTTGATGTTCTGGTAAGTTTATGTGAATAAATATGAAACGCCTCTCTATAATCTTAAATAATATTTCACATTAGCTTTGCCATGCCCACATTCTTCAAGGGACGCAAAAAGACCCTCGACGAAAATGATTTATACCGGGCGTTACAAGAGCACAGATCAGGTGAGTTACGATAGGGATTTGATAGCAGACCTGTGACTAATAATCCCTTGGTGCGAAGGCACCAAAAAAGACCCTACATCGTGCCTTGCATAATAAATTGGGCCAAGATAATTTATGGCTATATCTGCAAACCCGTCCATAATTAATTTAATTGAATTATCGCTAAGCGGGTTTGATAAGTAAATTCGAACTCAAGGAGTTTTGAATGAGAGAAAAATTGTTATCAGCACGTATGTCAGATTAAGCCGTACGTGACGTCATGTGGCAATAGATTCCACTATTGGGTTTTACTATATGACTATATCCCCGTTGTTAGTCACCTAGTAAAAGTGCTTCAGTTATTGGGTGCAATGATCATTCGAGTTTCGATTTCATTGCCCTTTGGCCAGTTTTTGAGTGGTTCCTGAAGATGGACATTAGTCGCGTGTGAATTCCCAGATACCCGGAATGTCTCGAATGTTTCCTTGCTGTCCGGACTCCATAGTCTATAGCTTATATAAGCAACTAAACCGCATATTTAGCGCACTATCTCCAGCACACAGACACTCCCCGAATGAAGTGCCGGGGAGACACTTCAAGGCACCCGACGATTACGATTAGATAGGGCTTAGCATGCGCCCACTTTTTGTGGTTGTAAAGCCTTTCGGTTATTCCGTGAGTTCGAAGGATCAGCGAAAACACTGAAGGGCTCTTCTGTAAAGGGGAAGTTGCGATTAGATTCCGCTGCATATCGCGCCTGCCTTATTGCTATTTGCACCATATACTACTACTCCATTGAGATCATAGCCGTTTCTAATCCGTACGATAAGATAGCCCTTGGATACGCACATTCTGCACCATCACTCGTGCTCATTGAATTATACGATCACCACTGATAGCGGTATCCAATCTGGCTCAATTGGACCTTTGATTTCCCCATTTAAAACTTTGGAAGTGTCCCGAAAAATGACAAATGTGGTATCTTTGACAACGTCCGCTGGCCACAATTAATTGAACGTTCTGCCCCAAATATTTGATAACACCTTTCGAAGTTCGAACAGCCCCGATATTGTATACGCAATTAGCTGCTCAGGCTTATTTACTTATAATCAATGGGCACCTAGAGATATTGTGTTGAGTGGGTCGTGGCACGGGGCTTATTCAATAACAAAAACAATGGCGCATATCTGGGCAAATATGTACGTATGCAAACCGTATAAAATGGTAAACTTTAGCTTTTGTTACTCTTGATAATCGATGTGTGCAATCTAAGGCCCCTTGAGGCTGATTTAAGCCTTGCGGAAGTGCCGGAATCAAAGTGCCATTATATCGGAAAGTGGATTTTCGCATTTCGCAGTTGATAAGATTGATTAAATGCAATGCAGCTGGCTGGGATTGGCTTTTGTTGCCGGCCATAATTCAAAGTTAAACCAAAGCACAAGAAATTCCTATTACAGAGTTTATTGTTCACGGTTACCGTGGAAATGATAGTATTTTAGCAATCTATAACCTTATTCTGCTATTTCCGCACATGACATTCTGAGTAATAATCCTTCCCTGATAATATATAGATTGAGATGCCAGATCAGCAATGTCATTAGGTTTGTTTCTTAGCAACTAGGAAGTTAAAAATGCATTTAAGCATTGTATAGCACAAATTTCAGATGTAGAGTAATTGTTTTGACCAAAGTGATGACGGAAAGAAGTCTATAATTAAAGAGATAACAATTTTTATGGTTTGATTACAAAACTGTCATACAAATCTGTATATTATCTCTAATATTTTCGTAACTTGACAATTTGAAGGGTTTATACAATGATAAGAGCCATAACATAGCCAATTTAAATGATGATAAGGTTAAAAATGGCCCAGTAAAATATATTATTTCTGGATTCGAATGCAAACAGTATAATAGAAAATTCATTTTTGATTTGAGTTTTTGTTTTGTTAATAAGATAATGGCTTTTCTTGTTTTTATAAGGAACAAGAGGTTAATGTACGATATTTTCGCTAACATAAACACGGGTGTTTATTTTGTTAGCATCTTTAAACACCGCAGTATCGTCTGCCAATTGCATGCCAACGTGCCTTGTTGTTCTGTCAGGAGGAATTTATTGCTTGGCTGCACCTGGATGATATCTCAATCTCTGCACTTTCCAGATCACCTGGGCAGCCAGTTGAGCGAGGCGTGGGAGAAGGAGGTGGAGAAGAAGCGCAAGAAGAAGAAGACTCCCAGCCTGCTGAAGGCCTCGATGAGCGTGTTTGGCTGGCGCCTGGCAGGCCTAGGCCTGGTGCTCTTCATCTTGGAGATCGGTTTCCGGTAAGCTGATCGAACAGCCCCGCCCCTCCGCCTGGCTGATTTATAACCCACACTCCCCGCCCTTTTCAGTGTCACGCAGCCTTTGTTCCTGGGCGGTCTGGTGGCCTACTATGCGGACACGAGCAACCAGGAGAGCGACAACCAGACGAAGGCATATCTCTACGCCCTGGGCGTGATCTTGACGAGCGCCTTCAACGTGCTCTTGATGCATCCCTACATGCTGGGCATGTTCCACGTCGGCATGAAGGCCAGAATCGCCATGACAAGTAAGTTGAACGGAGGAGGAGGTGCCTTCTTGTTCGCCTTGTGACAAATGAATAATGATCCCCCGCAGGCATGATTTATCGGAAGGCTCTGCGCCTGAGTCGAACCGCGCTGGGCGATACCACAATTGGTCAGGTGGTCAATCTCATCTCGAACGATGTGGGCCGGCTGGACGTCTCCGTCATCCACATGAATTATTTATGGCTGGGTCCCGTGGAAATTGGCATTATCACTTACCTTATGTACAGAGAGGTAAGTTATCTGAATTGATTAGTATTAATATAATCTGTGGGAATCTTTTAGTTAGAGAGATTATTTAGTGGTTTCATAAAACTATTATTTATTAAGAATTTTAAACTAAACCATTATAAGTAGAAAACGGCAGTTGAATTGTATAAAAATCTTTCATTTGGAAAAAATTGAGGTAGGTCTACAGAGAGTAATATAGATAAAGAAAAACCTAAGCAAAAAAACAAAAATGTTTACGCATGGCATTTGCTTTTGTTTTAAAAAAATATCATTATCATTTGAAGAGCATAAAACAATTAGTTTCTGAAACTCATTGAAATTAATACTTTTGGGGGTAAAAAAAAAACCTTTCATAATGTAGTTCAGTAAATTTAAATTAATCTATATTTTCAATCTTGAATTGATACAGACTGGAATAAGTTATGAAACTTGTTTACCTACGTACTTAAGTAAAATCAGTTAATTTTTATGGTAAAAAACGATACTATAGTAATACCCATTTCCTCCGCAGATTGGTATCTCCGCCTTCTTTGGCGTGGCGGTGATGCTGCTCTTCATTCCCTTGCAAGCTTATCTGGGCAAAAAGACATCGGTGCTGCGATTGAAAACGGCTCTGCGAACGGATGAACGTGTGCGGATGATGAACGAGATCATCTCGGGCATCCAAGTGATCAAGATGTACGCGTGGGAGATCCCCTTCAGCAAGATGATCAACTATGTGCGCACCAAGGAGATGAACGCCATCCGCAACGTGAACTACATCCGAGGCACCCTGCAAAGTTTCATTATGTTCGTGACGAGGATATCGGTTTTCGTGAGTCTGGTGGGCTTCGTGCTGCTCGGAAAGCTCCTGACCGCCGAGAAGGCCTTCGTGATCACGGCTTACTACAACATCCTTCGGAACACCATGACCGTCTACTTCCCCATGGGCATCTCGCAGTTTGCCGAGCTGCTGGTCTCGATCCGCCGTATCCAGACTTTCATGCTTCACGAGGAGACGAAGGTGCGCGACAAGTCGGAGGATCTGGACGAGCAAAAGCTGGGCAAGGCGGGTCTCATTTCGGAGCCCGCGGTGGCCCAAACCACTGGAGTCCTGAAGCCCAACAGCCGGCGAAGCAGCGAGGCGGAACCCAGCATCAACATCAGCAAGCTGAAGGCCAAGTGGGACCAGAAGAGCACGGACTACACCCTGGACAACATATCCCTGAAGTTCAAGCCACGTCAACTGGTGGCAGTGATTGGACCAGTGGGCTCCGGCAAATCCAGTTTGATCCAGGCTGTGCTGGGTGAACTCAATCCGGATTCGGGATCGGTTAAGGTGAATGGTACCCTCTCCTATGCCTCCCAGGAACCATGGCTCTTCACCGGCACCGTGCGGCAGAACATCCTCTTCGGACTGCCCATGGACAAGCATCGCTACCGCACTGTGGTCAAGAAGTGTGCCCTGGAGCGGGACTTCGAACTGCTTCCCTATGCTGACAAGACGATTGTGGGCGAGAGAGGAGCCTCCCTATCCGGTGGACAAAAGGCTCGTATTAGCTTGGCCCGCGCTGTTTACCGGAAGGCGGACATCTACCTGCTGGACGATCCGCTCAGCGCCGTGGACACCCATGTGGGACGCCATCTGTTCGATCAGTGCATGCGTGGCTTCCTGCGGGAGAACATCGTGCTGCTGGTGACCCACCAACTGCAGTTCCTGGAGCAGGCCGACGTGATTGTGATCATGGACAAGGGCAAGATCAGCGCCATGGGCACCTACGAGTCGATGGCCAAGAGTGGTCTGGATTTCGCCCAGATGCTGACGGATCCGAGCAAGAAGGACGAGGGCGCCGGCGATGCGGCGGAAAAGAAGGCACTTTCGCGGCAGAACAGCAAGTTGCGGGAACGACACGGCAGTATCTCCTCCATGGAATCAGCAGCCGAGTCCGTGGCAGCGGAGTCACCTATGCAGACGCAGGAGGGTCGCGTGGAGGGTCGCATTGGCATGAAGCTCTACAAGAAGTACTTCGGAGCGAATGGCTACGGTCTGTTCATTGTGTTCGCCTTCTTCTGCATTGGAGCACAGGTGCTGGGATCTGGTGGCGATATCTTCTTGTCCTACTGGTAAGTTAATAACCCCAAAAGATGTGGCTTTCTGTGACCTTCCAACTCTCTCTTTCCAGGGTAAATAAGAATGGTGAAGCCGAGCGTGACACTTTTATGGCACGATTGCGACGCGCCTTCCCGGAAACCCGCATCAACGCGGACACCGACCCCGTGGACATCTACTACTTCACCGGCATCAACGTTTCCGTGATCATCTTCTCGCTGGTGCGGAGCATGCTCTTCTTCTACCTGGCCATGCGCAGCTCCACCACGCTGCACAACACCATGTTCCAGGGAGTCACCCGGGCGGCGATGCACTTCTTCAACACGAACCCCTCGGGCCGAATCCTCAACCGCTTCTCCAAGGATCTGGGTCAGGTGGACGAGATCCTGCCCTCGGTTATGATGGACGTGATGCAGATCTTCCTCGCCATCGTCGGTATAGTAGTCGTCCTGTGCATCGTTAATGTTTGGTACATCCTGGCAACAGCTGTCCTCGTGGTCGTCTTCTATGCCCTGCGGGTCTTCTATTTGAGCACCTCCAGGGATGTCAAGCGTCTTGAAGCTGTCAGTAAGTGGACAACTTAGAACTATTTCATGAAATATACTTCCTTAAATCTATGTATTTAATGCAATCCTTTTTTACCCACAGCACGATCACCCATTTACTCGCATTTGAGTGCTTCCCTGAATGGTCTGGCCACCATCCGAGCCTTTGGAGCCCAGAAGGAACTGATTGCCGAGTTCGACAACTACCAGGACATGCACAGTTCGGGTTACTACATGTTCCTTGCGACGAGTCGAGCCTTTGGCTATTGGCTGGACTGCGTTTGTGTCGTCTACATTGCAGTGATCACCCTCAGCTTCTTCCTGTTCTCCCCCGAAAACGGAGGAGATGTGGGTCTGGCCATCACCCAGGCAATGGGCATGACCGGCATGGTGCAGTGGGGCATGCGGCAGTCGGCGGAGCTGGAGAACACGATGACGGCGGTGGAGCGAGTGGTGGAGTACGAGGACCTGGAGCCGGAGGGTGACTTCGAGAGCAAGCCGAACAAGAAGCCGCCGAAGGATTGGCCAGAGGACGGAAAGATCGTGTTCGACGACCTCTCGCTAAAGTACTTCCCCGACAAGGCGGCCGATTATGTGCTCCGATCCCTGAACATCGCCATCGAAGGCTGCGAGAAGGTGGGCATTGTGGGTCGCACTGGAGCCGGCAAGTCCTCGCTGATCAACGCCCTCTTCCGGCTGTCCTACAACGAGGGAGCCATCCTGATCGACAGGCGCGATACCAACGACCTGGGACTGCACGATCTGCGCAGCAAGATCTCCATCATTCCCCAGGAACCGGTGCTCTTCTCCGGCACAATGCGCTACAACCTGGATCCCTTTGACGAGTACAGCGACGCCAAGCTCTGGGAATCCCTGGAGGAGGTGAAGCTCAAGCAGGTGGTGGCCGATCTGCCCAGCGGACTGCAGAGCAAGATATCCGAGGGCGGCACCAACTTCAGTGTGGGACAGCGCCAGTTGGTGTGCTTGGCCAGGGCCATTCTCCGCGAGAATCGCATCCTGGTGATGGACGAGGCAACGGCCAACGTGGACCCGCAGACGGATGCCCTCATCCAGACGACGATTAGGAACAAATTCAAGGATTGCACGGTGCTCACTATTGCCCATCGCCTGCACACTGTTATGGATTCGGACAAGGTGCTGGTCATGGATGCCGGAAGGGCGGTTGAGTTCGGATCTCCGTTCGAACTACTGACCACCAGTGAGAAGAAGGTGTTCCACAGCATGGTGAAGCAGACGGGAGACGCCACCTTCGATGCCCTGCTGAAGGTTGCACAGAAGGTAAAAGTCACTTAATAAAATAAATATATAAAGTTTAAATAAATTAATAAATAATTTACATACAGGCCCATGATGACAACCTGCGACTCAAGAAGGATTCTTGACATTTCGCCGTTCCGAAGGCGTTTAAAGACTACATACTTAAGATACTGGAACCAATTACGAATCACCCGGCGGCCAATGCGGGCATACAGAAGACCTTCCTCTTTGCGGAGGCCTCCAAGCAGAAGTTATTAGGATAGCACAGCATCAGCGGCACCGGTAGACATCCACACTGAGTGGCCGCTGAGGAATTTTTTACAATACGTGTACAAATCAAATTAAATGTTAGTCAGGTGTAAAAAACTAGGTAACTGATGGGAAATCAAACAGCAAGACAATAAGCTGACGTTAGAGGAGCGTAGGGAGTAAATGTTTTTATACCTTAAACAAAGAATGATATGAAATGCAAATTGTGCAATAATTAATTTTAGCTGAACTTTGTGCATTGGCCTTCAAAAGGTCGCATTGCATTTGTATTATGTGTTCCAGTAAAACGACAATAACAACCTAAACAAAAAAAAATTCAAAAAGTAAAAAAAAAAAACATGAAAAACTAAAAGAGAACTCTATGAAATGTTACGCCTAGTATTAATATATGTGTGTTTTTATAGTAATTTATTAATGTACAGGTATACAATAAATGTAACAGCTCGGTTGGTTTTTTGTTAACACGTTTTTATTTTATTTATTTCATTTAAGCGATTTACATTTGGCAACAGCTATATACTCTAAGAAATTGTACGCATTTAACTCAAAAGTATCTTCCATTAGCTGCAAAGCCCTCCTAGAGATCATTTTAATGCTAAGTATGTTTATTGTAAATTACTGCCTGCGAAAGGTAATGAAACACAGACACGAGAATCATTTTTAGCCGATGTTGTATGTTAAAACTTGGCATAGCTTTAGTTGCCTTTCCGACTACATAACTGTTTAGTAAGAGCTATAAGATATATATAAGTAGTCTCCATTCCGCTCATCCTACAGGACCAGCGACAGCCAGGCGGCCATCAGGCAGAATCCTCCGACGGTCGCGAACGGCTGAAGCCGCTTTTCACCAGTCAAAGCGCGGTAGTACATACATCCGCTAAAGAGCATCGTGCCCGTAATCATCAAAGTCCCAGTCTGCGGAAAAGAAGAAGACATTTCACTAAAAGTAACCATCAAAGTCACATAGGCCTGTTCCATTTTTCTCTATTTTCGGGATTCAAATCGAATTGAAGATTAACTACTATTGTAACCAAACGATTTTAGGATACTAACCTTATCAACTTGTTCTTGAGGCAAGAAAATGAATTTATAGAAACTAAATGTCCACAGTCAGGAAGAATAATAACTAACAAAACGATCAATATTTAAAGAAGAAAAATCATAAGTTTACCAGCAAGAATCTACCGATAAAACTTCCTTAGCTAACGTTCAAGATATCAATCTATCTATAAATGCATTTACTTTTGAAATGAAATCAATGAAAACCGGAACAGGCCCTATATTATTGGCTTAGTATAAGATTAGAAGTTAGCAAAAGTGGCTAAAGTTTTGTGTGCATATTTTGATGTTAGCTTTAGTTGTTGGCTTTAACCTGAAAAAAACGGAGCGAGAGCAAGCTCCACATTTTACTTATCGAATAAGGCTGATAACAACAAAAACCAATTACAAAATAACATCAAACAAACGAGAGAATCTATGCCTTTTTGGTACATTTTTAAATACAATTGTAATATTGAAGTAAATTAACAAATTCCTACCCAAGACCCTGAACCCATATCAGCTATGAACCTGCTCATATCACAAACCTAAGAAATATCCGAATTAATGCAATTATACAAGTATCGTGTGTGGTATTGAAAATTACTTTGTAAGCTGCAATTAGTGGTTGTTGAACATTTAGCTTTAGCTTTGGAAACATTTCATATACAACATGAATATACATACGCATACCTATTATATGGAGAAGAAATGGAGAAGTATCTTGGAAGCGCTTGCCGAAATCAATATTCATTATTAGCTCAATTTTTGTAACGTCAATCAGCGCATTAGACTAGCTAAGCAGAGTGTCAATTATACGAGTATCAATGTTGGAGTTTCGATTCGAGAGTAACGCGAGTTGTTATAAATTCCGTTCAGAGATCTAACTTTACAGAGTTTATGTAAACCACAAAACCGGCAAACAAAAGCTTTACAAATAAACTAAATATGATCGACATTGGTTTTGGAATCTGCGTGAACTTAATGTGTTTTTGGTTTGGTTGGGAAGCTGGAAAGGACAACTTTCAGAAAGCGTTTTTAAAAACCAAAATTGTAAGTTGACTTTTTATAGCTTCATTTCTTGCAGTTTTATTTTTACTATTTAAATTAATGATGCTAGCCACCCAGTCCTTTCATTTAATAAATTGCTTATTTGCAGAACTCAGACATTCAGTCTTTAAAATTATTTGGATTAGAATACTATTGCATTTAGGATATTTGAATTTTTTTGTTAAGTAATCCTTTTATAACTTAATATTTGAAGGTTGGTAATGATGAATGAATAAACCGTGAATGTTGGTTGCACAACAACAGTTTTAAAAAATAAACACAAGTACAAGTACTTATTTAAAGCTAGCATTTAAATAATTGCTGTGATAAGGGTGTGTATTTTTGCGAACCCAGATCGCTTTTGCATTTGAAATGTTTATGTTATGTTTAGTTTTTTTGTTAGTGTGGCGTTTTGCCTTTTCTAAACAACCTTGCAATGCAAAACACAGGGATGCTACAAAAATCTCTTTGAACTGCATTTTCTTGGAGTTCCTGGTAAACCCCGAATGTATAATTATTGGTACTTCCCCTTCAACTTACGAGTACTGGATAGTGGGCCAGGGGCATGGCCATCATAGCAAAGGAGTGCAAGAAGTGGATGCGATTAGCGACGTCGGCGAAGGCCTGCGAGTCCACCTGCTCCTTGGGATCACCGACGTCCTTGAGGACGTACTTGCAGTAGGCTCCCATAAAGATGGCCGATGCCCCACCGATACCGGCCAGACGTACGAAGTGGTAGTGACTGCCGGCCAGGCTGTAGAGCGATCCATGCGGATGCACGTAGTTGTGCGCTGAAGGATGCAGAGCCATGCTTGTGTCCTGCACAGGGACCTTCTTCGGACGCAGACCCTGTAGTCGATAAAAGGGATAATTATTACATATAACTCGGTAACTCTCCTGAGCGAGTTGGAATAGTTACAAGGGTGCGGAGCACTGCGGAAGCGGATGAAGCGACCATTTTGCTGACAGGATTGCCAAGGGTCACGTATTCTAGAGTGTCGGCGACTGACATTGTGTGCTGTTGCTTAAACTTTATTTGGCGCTGGAAAATCAGCTGCGCTCCCACTAAAAATTTTGACGCAAAATGCCCGGGCGTTGCCGGACTGGCGGTTCAAGTCGATGTTTCCTATCGATTCTCTCGCAGCGATCTGACTTCCAGGTCGGTCTAAAGATAAATCTTATTTGACTTAAATCGAAAATGTTATGTAGAGTTTTATGGGCTTACTGTTCAACTAACACTAAAAGTGTATTATCAATCTGTTTTAAAAGTATTTCGTATAAGCAAACCCCAAGCGGACATACAAGATGTATTGGCGGGAAAAATTGAAAACTAAACGGTAACGACAACTATTGGCGATTGGTGAAATGCATATCTTATAACGATTAAAAAACCTCGGAGGGCTCTTACAATCTAGAAATTTAAACTTGGTTCCGTTCTTAAGTTGTGGCATGCACTGTTTTTTTTTATTTAATATTTGTCTTTAACATTCAACTCCTGATTCCATTTCAGAAAAAGAATTTCAGCTGAGTTATTACAAATACCCGACAACCCTATGGTTTGACCGCTGTGGCTACACTGATAAATCAGTGCATAATAATCAGAAGTTATTATTGCCGGCTCTGCGAAATACGAAGTAAGGCAAAGTGAAAGAACTGATTAAAGCCCCTTTATCAACCGATCGGTGAGTAGGTCGGGGCGTAAACATCTATTGGGAGATAAAACAAAGCAACCAACACAATTTATTCGCTTTTTTCAGTCCAAGTTTTGCAGCCGAACAATGAAAACTGCAACTCATTGCGCATTTCTAATTATCGCGGCTATAGTCGCCTTATGTGGAGCCAAAGAAACACCGAGGGAACGCCCTTACAGAAAGAGCTTCATCAATCCGTATCCGCGCTTTCAGTTCTTTGACGATGGCGTTGATCCCGGAGAGCCACTGTTCCTTACGCCCCTTATTCACAACAATTCGATGAAGAAGCAAGAAGTTCAGAATCTGGCCCGTGTTACGGGTTCCCAGTTTCACGGAGTGGAGAGCTACGCCGGCTACCTGACCGTGGATCCCGGCTTTAACTCAAACATGTTCTTCTGGTACTTCCCCGCCGAACAGGATTCTGATTACGCACCAGTTGTCCTGTGGCTGCAGGGCGGTCCAGGCGCCTCTTCGCTGTTTGGTTTATTCACGGAGAACGGGCCTTTGGAGCTTGATGGGCATGGGAAACTGCAAAAGCGTAACTACACTTGGAGCAAGACGCATAATCTTATCTATATAGATAACCCCGTGGGAACTGGCTTTAGTTTCACGGATGACGATGCCGGCTATGCCAAGAACGAGAAGGACGTGGGTCGCAATCTGCACGAGGCCGTAATGCAACTGTACGAGCTTTTCGAGTGGAGAAACTCCTCGGGTTTCTGGGTCACCGGAGAGTCGTATGCCGGCAAGTATGTGCCCGCCTTGGCATACCACATCCATAAGGTGCAGAATGCCATCGAGACGCCCGTCTATATCCCACTAAAGGGCGTGGCCATCGGAAACGGACTGTCAGATCCTTTACACCAGCTGAAGTACGGCGATTATCTCTACCAGCTTGGCCTGATCGACGAACACGGTCTGCAGAGCTTCCACGATGCCGAGGCCAAGGGAGCCGCCTGCATCGAAAATCATGACATGGAGTGTGCCTTCGACGTATTCGATTCCCTGATCAACGGAGATCTTACTAATGGCTCACTATTTAGCAATCTCACGGGCTATAATTGGTACTACAACTACCTAAAGACGCATGACGATGATGGCAAGGCTTTGGGCGATTTCCTGCAATCGGGCACCACTCGTCGGGCCATCCATGTGGGTAATAAACCATTCCACGACCTGGACAAAGAGAACAAGGTGGAACTGCACCTAAAGAAGGATGTCATGGACAGCGTGGCCCCGTGGATAGCCGAACTTCTGGCTCACTACACTGTGTGCATCTACAGTGGACAGCTAGACATCATTGTGGCCTATCCGCTGACCCGAAACTACCTCAACCATTTGAAGTTCCCTGCTTCCGATAAATACAAGGTCGCTCCCCGTGAGATTTGGCGTATTGATGGAGAGGTAGCCGGATATGTAAAGCATGCCGGGCATCTGGTAGAGATTATGGTGCGCAATGCCGGGCATATGGCTCCCCACGATCAGCCCAAGTGGCTATATGAAATGATCAATCACCTTACTCACTATAAGCACTAGGAGCTGCATACTTAAACTAAAATTTACAATTTGGTCTCCCTTTTAAAGTTGTTTGTTTTAATAATGTCTATATTGAATAAATCGGGTTGTTTTTAATGTGTGAAGTTAGAGCACGCGTCTCTTTATTATTTTTTGAATTTTAATCACTTTCACCACACGCCAATGGATGACTAGTTTCAAAAGCACCAGCCTGTGGGACGATTCAGCCATGCTGTTCGTATGAACATCGAGACTAAAAAGTTTTCGCGCCAGTTGACATTATTTATCTGAGTACGGGTAGGTAGAAATCTCTCTCATTTATTTTTAACATTAACTAAACAAATATTCAACAATACGTACTTTACTATTTCAAATACTACCATTAATAATTAACTATCTGTTGTTCCCTTAAAGTTTCGGGCCACCAGGAAGTGTTCGGCGGAATCTCCGCGACTAGCGCGAGGTTTGACACGCTTAACTTTCTCGTAAAACCTAAGCATATCGCGCTCCAGCTTGGGTACATCGCCGTTGTCCCACACTTTGACTACCAGATGAGCCTGCGGAGCGGACATGGCCAATGCGAAGCGGAGTACCTCGTAGCAGAGGTTCGTGATACTCTCCTGGTCCAACATCCTTACTCCAGTGGCATTCGGTGCCATGTCGGACAGCACGCAGTTTACCTTTCGCTCCTGTAAGGACTCCTTGAGTCGCTTTTGCGCAAGGGAGGAGGTAAAATCCATGCCACCGAAGATTGTGGCTCCCGGCACAGCATGGAAATGCAACAGATCAATGCTGAAGACGGCACCTTGTGGTGCCCGCTCCTGCTTTCCGTTGGCATTGGTCCGCTCCACGGCTACCTGGCTCCAGCTGCCGGGTGCTGCTCCACAGTCCAAAACTGTGTCCCCGGGTCGCAGGATCCCGTATTTGTCATCGATCTCCAAAAGTTTGAAGGCACTTCGGCAGCGATAGTTCATCATGCGGGCCTTCTCCACGTACGGGTCGGCCAGCTGACGGGTGAGCCATTCCTGGGAGCTCTTGCTTCGTCCTTTGAGGTTTCGTGGCTGCTGCTTAGCATACTTTCCGGCAATTTCCGTGTGAAGCAGACGTTTAAAAACAGAATTACCAGAAAAAACAAGCCGCATTGTGTAATTTATCGAGGTTTTATCGTCTATCGATAGATGAATCGGGACAGAGTTCGAGTGTGTTCACACTGGAGACGCAACATAAACCAGTGCAATGGTGCATTTATTGTCACTGTTCCAATAAAAAACCAAGTTTCACGTAATTATCCCTGGGGCTATTAAAAAATTAAATGGCTGGAGAGTTTTTCGCTCTAGTTTTAGATGCTTTCGCAAAGCTGTGACTGTGTGGAACAGGCTTAGGTTCGGTTGACTTTATTTGAGCGGTGTGCGAGGGTCACACTGAAACGACCTATGGTCTTTTGCAACTAACCGCCCACTGTCACTTTACTCCGCTCACTTCTCGAATTCTCAACAATGGCGAACGCAATTGGAAAATATTAAACGCGAGTGCCAAGAAAATGTGAAATTAACCCACAGCCAAAGCTGCAAAAGTGTTTACAAGTTGAAAGGCCATGAAGAAGAGGCGATAATATGCCAGAAACAATAAACCAAAAGTGACTGCAAGTGCAAACTGAAAACGGATCGGAAGTCGCAGAAATTAGTTATCTCTCTCTCTCGCTCGCTCACTCGCTCTTTCTTTAAAACCCCCACCCCCCGACCGGCTGTTGAAGCTCAGTGTGTTTTGCAAAATGAGATTCTGCGTCGCGATTTGTTGCGTGTTATTTTTGCTGGCCAGCGGGCCTATTGCATCAGCTATAGCCAGAGCAAAACAACAAACCGACTCGGCAGAAGTCGTCAGCAGTGGCGAAGATGAAAAGGCGGTAAGTTGGGGGTGTGGTACGGGCCGGCATGACCCACTAAGGGTTAACGTGGTGGCCACTCAATTAATATTTCATCACTTTCCACCGATATGTTGGTCATAAGTTTTCCCTTTTCCCGCCTCCGCAGGACTGCACGGACCTCGCTCGCGACGAGGAGGCACTGATGGTGTTCTCCACTTTGGGTGGCGGACTGACGGCCATCGATCCGGTGACCAGCGAAATACGCTGGACAATAGCAGATGGTAATTACAAGGGCCACTTTTCATTTTCCATTTTCAAGACACCCCTATTTTCCCGGCTTAAGTGTGGGACTCGAAACATATGATGGAACATATCAGGGTTCCCAAATACTACTGAAATCGAAGCAGAAATGTTATTAAGGATTGTTTATTATTTTCATTTGATATTGATGTGGGCTTCTTGCTTAAGAAAGGATTTTAGTTCAAATTTAACTTTCAAATAAAGTTTATAATTAAAGTCTTAATAGCTATAATAGGTAAATACTTAATTTAATATATTTATCGAGTTCTTTGAGGTATACATTGTGTATATGTCATTAACTAAACATTTAGCTTCCCCAATCTACATCCTTCTCCGCCGCGAAAATGACCACATACCCAGGCTATTGCACTCGCCATTTACAGTGCAAAATGCGTTGCACAAACATGCGCTCGATGAGCTCATCGAAAATTTCGCATGGCACAGATGTTATTGCCTAGGACAGATCACAGATCTTTCTCCCGCCGTTTGTGCTCTATTATTTTCACTCTCGCTTCGTTATGTTTTGTGTTGTGCCTTCTGTGTCTGATAAGAGACTCACGTATATACGCAATCTCGACAACCATTCTCGGCACACAATTCCTCCAATTAAGTTGCTAGTCCGCCATATCACCAGTTGCTGAACGCCCATACCCTTTCAGCTGTGGGTGGTTGGGACTTTGAGCTATTTTCTTTCAGTTCATTGAATATTCCTACGATTAATCAGCGTGACGTATTGATTTTCGATGGCTCAAACGCGTTAATCTAGCAGTCATTTGGCTGTTTCGTATTAACCTCTCATTTTTACTCGTAGTTGGTGAGCTTCATGAGTCATAATGCCAATAGAAAAAGTTTGTAAACATGGAGGCAATCAAGACGATTAGGTTGGTTTATGGAATTAGTGCATTTCAAGCTTTTTTTTTTAAACTATTATTTAGCTTTTTATTAACTTCCAAAATGTGTTCAATTGACCGTTTTCATATATCATATATCAATTAAGGGCATTTCTAATTCGATATATTAAATTCCATCGGGCTTTTTTCATTAACTTGGTCCCATTTCACTTGAGCTCCAGCTATTTATAGCACCCACAGTGTTTGTTATTGTTTTTTTCCACTTTCAACTCTTAACTTCTTGATAAGTAATGCATGAAAAAGTCTCGGTAATTATCCCAAACTAAAATATTGGAGTTCTGCCAAATGACTCCCTGGACAATACGCCCTCCACATGTTTGTTTTTATGTCTAAAATAAAAAACCCACGCCCCGGAAAGATTATTTTATGTGATAGTTGCAATACACATGTATGTCCATTCGTATTATTAGAAATTTCATGCTGGCCGCTTGTCATCTGACTTTGTGGAACTGCAAATGATTGAAAATTCATGGCGATAAACATGTGGACAGCATCTGCCCTGAGGCTTCCAAAAAACACTGCATTTAAGTGATATTTTTGTGAGTTATTCAAGCCAGTAATTTGTTTTTGATTCGCGGTAATTGCGATTCGCCGGGTCTAACACGGCAGATCAGTGTACCGATATGGGCTTCGTTCTATTACCTCATCACAAGATGGCTTCAGGTTTTGTCTACGACTACCGCTAGCTAATTAGAATGGTCATGCTAATGAAAGTGCCACGGCGAGTTAAATGACCTGCCCCAGAAATTGTGGCAGCACTTGACGATTAAAGCCGGGAATCTTGACTCACCCATGTGTTTGGGGTGGAAACCGATTACTGATAAGAATGGAACTACTAAAATTGATTTGCTTTCACTACTCGATATTATTGGTACTGTTACTGTGCGACGTATATTGTGACTGCTAGTACTTCATTTTTGTTTAAATTATTCCGTTGTTGACGTGCATGTGGTGTCCATTTGTATTCGTAAATGAAGAACTTAACGCTGTTGCCTTAAGCGAATTGTTGGCGATAACAGAAATTGCCAACATGGCTGGCGTAAACAATTTGGAAACGTTTATCCGTGGGTTTCCAGCTCTAATTCTTATTTACCCAACTGTTGTTTGGCTTTACCTTGTCTGTTGCTCCGAAACCCTCTTAATTTGTTCGACCATTTTTGTGGAATATATTCACGTTCCTTAAGTGCAAGGGAAAATTTGTACTCCGCCTCTCAAAAAGGGGTAACTGTAGATTACACTTTCGTTCCTGTATTATAAATACAACGAGATAAGCGTTATCGAGAACAGGTCTGGCTATAAATTATTACATTCGTTTTACTTTAGTGCTCCCAGTTACTTGCAGCGATATCAGAATTCAATGCGATATATTATATTTATAGTGCACACTTAAAATAATTTACTATAAAGGGGAATCACCATTAAAAGTGTGTTGTTTTAGTAGATCGAAAAACTAACAACTTAAATAAAATTATTTAAAAGCAATATATACATGTGTATGTAGTTTCCAAATTTGTTACTAATCTTCGTAAAATACTTAAAGCCTCAGTTTGATTTTTTAGTTTATGTAAGCAAAACTTAAAATTTATTTGAATTCTTATGTTTAAACTGATAACAGAAGTTCTGGGAATTCACTAACGTTAATCACCTTTTTGATTTAATTTTTCCTCAATCTTGGAATTTTGAATTATCAGCAGAAAATCGTTATTACTCATAAAAAGGAATACTAAAAACAAATACATTATGAGTAGTATATATAATACGCAATGCATAGACTCTTAAATTTTTTAAATAATTGGAATACATTAAAATAAATTGTGGGGCTGTGCATGTAGGTGTTTTTCCCCGATTTAATACTGCTTCAGAATTATCAGTTTCCCTTATTAATTCATAGAAAAAGTGTAAACAAAATTTTATTATTTCAATACAATTTAATGCGAATTTTATTAAATATGATTTGACTCTATTGCAGAACCTCCGATAGTAGCAGAGCCTCAGGAGAATGTGCAGGTCCCACACTTTCTGCCGGATCCTCGGGATGGCAGCATCTATCAGCTGGGTCAGATGGGCAGTCTCAAGAAGCTACCCTATACCATTCCCCAGCTGGTGGCTAATGCTCCTTGCCGCTCCTCCGACGGAATTCTGTATTCCGGCAAGAAGAGTGACACTTGGTACATGGTGGACCCCAAGACGGGCCGGAGGGAGAAGGTTATGGGCTTCGGAGATGCCAGCATGGATGGCAAGGAGGGCGAACAGATTGGCTGGGCCACTTCGCGGGCCATTTATCTCGGTCGCACTCAGTACACGGTGATGATGTACGACAGCCTGTCCAAAAACAAAAATGCCAAGCCCTGGAACATCACTTTCTACGACTACAATGCTGTGAGTGCTCCACCAGAGTTGGCGAAGGAATATGGTGAGTGTTGATGATAACAAATAAGTTTCATGGTTACTAATAGTTTCGATTGTTGCAGAATACATCCATTTGACCACCACAAGCAATGGACAAATCGTGACCCTAGATCGCAAACAGGGTAAATTTTTGTGGCAGCGGGATTTAAGCAGTCCAGTTGTCGCCGCGTTCCTTTTGGGTCCAGATGGTCTACTCAGTGTGCCTTTTACCACGGTTTCCGATGAGGCTTATCAGGCCATACTCGAGGAGTCAAAAACCGGAAATGTGAACACCGTTAAGCTATTGTAAGGGAGAACACATCAAGCCTATTTATTTAAATCTAAATTTGTCTTTATTTGCCAGTCAATCGCTTTACGTGGGCGAGCACCAAAAGGGCTTGTACGCTTTGCCCTCGCTGGTGGACAAGAACACGCCTCGGATTTCCACAGCACCGCCTATAAAACTCCTCGATGGACCTACAGGAGAGCCAAACATTAAGGACAATGATCCGCGTACCGTTTACATTAACGATGTGCTGCAAGAACATCCGGGCATTATGCTGGGACACTACAATATGCCCAATGAGGGTAATGGCAACTTGCAGCTATCACCCACACCATCTGCCAGCAAGGTGGTGAACAGCCTGGCCACCATTCACAACTACAACGATGGCTACGGCCTGTTGGCCAACAATGAAAAGAATGCCGCCGACATTGGCGTGCAAACGGATCCGGAACTAGTGGAGATTGGCATTGAACAGCGGACAAATGGGAACACCATTAATCGGACAAAGACAATCATCCTGCAGAACAGCAATAAGGTGCAGGCCTTTATCAACGAGTGGTTTATGGAGCATCCGAGCGGAAAGGTTCATCAGATTCTGATTGTCATCGTTCTGGGAATGATTGCCCTGTTTTGGTACACCTGCAGCACCATGAGAGAGTTACAAAAGCAGAGCGAGAACGGCTCAAAAACCTTTGCTATAACCCAAAATGGTTCCAATGGTAGCAACGGCAGTAATGGCAGCAATTCAAGTGCCGAGGATCTGGTGGATTTGGGCAATGGACAAGTGCGCGTGGGCAAGATCAGCTTCAGCACGAACGAAGTGTTGGGAAAGGGCTGCGAGGGCACTTTCGTGTTTAAAGGCACCTTCGAGGAGCGCTTTGTAGCCGTGAAACGACTGCTGCCTGAGTGCTTTACGTTTGCTGATCGCGAGGTGGCTCTGCTCCGGGAATCGGATGCGCATGAGAACGTAGTGCGATACTTCTGCACTGAACAGGATCGCCAGTTCCGCTATATAGCCGTGGAACTTTGCGCTGCAACTTTACAGGATTATACTGAAGGAGATCGCTCGCTTGAGCTTCAGAATCACATCGATGTTTGGCAGGTGTTGAGCCAAGCTTCTGCTGGATTGAGTCATCTCCACTCCCTCGATATTGTACATCGCGACATCAAGCCGCAGAATGTTTTGATTTCGCTACCAGACGCAAGGGGCAAGGTCCGGGTAATGATCTCTGATTTTGGCCTCTGCAAGAAGCTCAATTTTGGCAAGACCAGTTTTTCTCGCCGCTCGGGTGTAACTGGCACCGATGGTTGGATAGCCCCTGAGATGATGCGATCCCAGCGAACGGTAAGGTCTACATTTTACTATTTTACACTTTTCATAAAAGTGGTCATTATTGTAGAATTTGCCTAAAATAGTTACTTTTATTTTATTTCAGACAACTGCTGTGGATATCTTCTCACTGGGTTGCGTCTACTATTATGTATTAAGCGGAGGTCATCATGCCTTTGGAGATAATCTTAAGCGTCAGGCCAACATACTCTCGCACGAGTACAATTTAGCCAAGCTGCGTACAGAAGATGACAGGGAGATTAGCCGCATTGTAAGTGAATTTTTTCAAAGGAATATAAACTCGTTTTATTTACAACGATTTTCCGTTCTAAAGATTCTTGCTGAGCAATTAATATCGGACATGATTCACAAGGATCCGCAATCGCGTCCACCAGCTCGCTGTATTGGAAACCATCCATTGTTTTGGGATGAGCCAAAGATGCTCTCCTTCCTGCAGGACGTCAGTGATCGTGTGGAGAAGTTGCAGTTCCATGCCGAACCGCTCAAGTCGCTGGAAAAGAACGGTCGGATAGTCGTTCTGGACGATTGGAACTTGCATTTGGACCCGATGATCACAGATGATTTGAGAAAGTATCGCGGCTACATGGGCGCCAGTGTGAGAGATTTGCTTCGTGCTCTGCGCAACAAGAAGCACCACTATCATGAGTTGACTCCGGCCGCTCAGGAAATGCTGGGATGCATTCCGCACGAGTTTACCAACTATTGGGTGGACCGCTTCCCGCAGCTCATCTCGCACGCTTACCATGCGTTCAGTATTTGCTCAAACGAGCCCATCTTCAAGCCGTACTACAATGCCGGCTACCACTTTTCCCGTCCGTGGTACTTTGATGCGGACGATGCCCTGTTCCCCATGCTGATGCGGGATCCTAAGCCGCTGCCCAAGTTAGGAAGTCCGAAGAGAACACCCCCACCTGCTAACAGCCAAGCTCAGCAGCTGAAGCAGAGGAAGGGTCTCTACAATTTCCGTAAGACGAGCGATGAGCTGCCGATTCCGGGAGTCGGGTTGCAGCGAAATCTGGAGCTGAATGGACAATCACTGGAGTCGGAAGAGCAACGTGATGTGTTCGCCAACTTCAAGTTCCGACGATACGGTAAGCAAGGAAACAATCGCAATTACAACGGGGGTCACAAGGACACGCAGGAGAAGGAGAAGTACGTAAGTTGGACGCTGCCGCCTTCAACGCAGGATTAGACAAAAATAATAATCGTAGACAAGATTTATTTTTAATCATTTTTTAATTTAATTATTATTATTTAATTGTGCAATTTGTGTATATGCAACTATTCCAAAACGATTCCCTAATCAGTTCTTAGCAAAAATATTCAACGATAATTAAATGAAACTATTTTGTATACCATTGTAAGCATAATGTAGAGTGTGTCGTCTGTCGAATGCACGCAATTTAACTGTGATAATTTTTGATTTTTGTTTAATGCCCAAGTGCAAATTGATCTAGATAAATAGTTCGATTTTTATGAATAGTACTTAGACTTATTGTATATTAATGCATTATTTAAGAGATAATCCCAACACTTCTCCCCCCGTGGAGATTTTTGACAAGCGGAATGTTTTTAGTTTTTAATACCTATTATTAAAAGCACTTAGTATTAAAGTTAAAGAATGGAATTTTTGAGTTGATGGACAACTTTATGCTTGGTTACGAGCTGCATTTTCTAAGAAATATTAAGCTTAATCAAAATGAAAACTAAATAAAAATGTAATACAAATTTTACAAAACGATTTTTATTTCGCTATACATGTATAACAAGGTGGCACTAAACTGCCGATTTAAAACAGTTTCTCAGAATTTTGGCTATAAGAGAAGGGAGCTTAGTTCAATAACAAATTCATAAATAGTTCAAGGGATCAACAAATATAAACCCTATGACTATACACGAGATTTTGGTTCTTTAGAAGAAAGATTTTGTAACTAGAATTTGTTTCACTTTGGCGTTGCTTGCTCGTTGTTTATGCAATATCAAGGTAATCCTTTTTAGTTGGCCGACTTCATCATGGTTTTCATCTCGTTGCGCACACAGTATTTAAAGGCGTCCCAGCCCTCCGATTTGGCCACGGACTGTAATTCAACGTGTTTAGGATTAGTTTTAGACCACGATAGAGTGGATAATACTTGGAAAAATGAAATGGGAGACACACAAGTGAGTGACAAGCAGCAAAAGAAATAAAAAGACTTTGTGGGTTGCGTTGCCCACTGACCTCTCCATCTTTTGGCGCGACTACCTCAACGGAGACCCGTAGACGCTCTTCTGGGTCTACAACATCAAGCTAGGGAAAGAAAATACAACTCATTGCTAATCAGCTGGAGCTTGGACTTTTCGCCTGGCAACTTAATCGCTGCACAGTTCATTGCTAGACGTGAAGTGAGTCACAAATTACGGTGCTCCGACAATCAATTTGATGGAAACGGAAATGATAATGAGTGGTTTTAAAAATAATCAACAATTTATGGGTACTTAAAATAAATTTAAACAGTGCAAACGAGTGTCCTGTGCATTTCCAGAATGTTTTCGAGGACAAACAAATGACATACAAATAAAAAACCATTTCTGCGTAATAATCAGTGTTTAATGGTTATATGGCCAATTTAAAATAAAAATAAAACTAAATATAATAATAAGTAAAAATAAATGGCATTGAGTTGGGTTAAAGTCTTAAAAGCTAAACTATAAGTAAATGAGGTAAAACATTTAGCTCAAAGCATAAGACGCTTACATAGAGGACGAAAACTAAAAAAACACACACATTCAATGCTGATCAGCAATATTAGGACAAAAGCGGCAAACAAAACGTGACAATACATAAATTAAACTTTAAAATCAGTGCCAAAGCGCATCACTGTCGATGAAGTAATCCAGGTGCCGGCACACCCGATGTCGCCAGGCCACAAATATGGGATACGCCGGTTCATCATAGGCGTCCAGAGCTTCGTTGTAATCAAAGAAACGACCACTTACTTTGAAGCCGCGATGCAGGCGATCCTTCATGATGGCGATGAATTCCTTGTAGGACAGCAGGCCATCGCCATCCGCATCGAAGATGGCAAAAACGGTGTCGATCAAGTGGGGACTCAGCTTGTAGCCGGTGCAGATCTTGACAGCACGCGAGAATTCATCTAAAAGAGGAATATAAATATTTAAAAAATCCTTCTTTAACCCACTAATTTACTAACCCTTCGATATAGCCCTATCGGCCAGAGTGTACATGCGCATGGCGATTGTGAAGTCATCCAGGTTGTTCAGGAAATGGCAAAAGTCCCGGAAATCATGGAACGATATGCCCTTCTCATCTTTAACCCGCTCGAGCAGGCGTTCCAGGAAGACATCGTACTCATCCGTGGCCAGATACGTGTATCGCAGCAGGATCTTGGCAAAGTCCAGTTCGCTGATGACGCTGTTGCCCTTGGAGAACTCGTGGAACTCCAGTTCGAGCACCTCCGTCTGCAGGTTGTCCATGAAGCGGTAAAAGTTATCGTAGTTGATAACCCCAGTGCCACGCTTTCCGAAAAAGTGAAGCTGTAGGGTGGTCGGCACCACATGACGACGTTGCAGTCCCTCGCCATCGTTGACATAGCCCTGCTGGGAGAGATTGCAACGGCGGTGATTAGCAACTGATGGACGGGATTACCCCTCAGTTAGTCACACCAGGCTCATGCTTGGGACTCGGGAAGACCTTACCTCCAGGGGAGTGGGCGTGGAGGATGCGAGCTCATCTTCCGGCTCTTGTTCGCCGTGCTTCTCCTTCCAAGCGCCGCTGAAAATGCGCTCCATCTGGGATTTAATGTACATGCCGGTTTGGGGGATAGAGTTTTTTGTGCAGGATTTTGGGTTAGGTCGGAGAGAAGAAAAGTTAGGTGGTTTAGTAAGGGTCAACACAGTGGTGGAGCATTTCTAGGGTGTAGGCCTGTTTCTCTGTATACAAAACCAAAAGCGCCTGGAACAAAACTTAACAAAACAAAAGCTGGTAACGTAACAAAAAGTCAAACGCAAAAACTCTTAAATACAATCTTTATGAAAACATAAAGATAACTCGAAGCAAAGCAAGTACAAAAACGTATCTTTTGTAAAAATAACAAACAAAACGTGAAGAATTCGATATAACACAACGTGACTAAGCTTAGCTTCTACATATGCTCCAAGCATATACTGAGTTCTGTACAATTTCAGCGGAGTTTTCGCGAAGCAAAGCCAATACTAATTGAGAACTCTGGTGGCTAACACTTACTAGACCCCTGTTTGTTTTAGGCACTGCCATGGGTTTCATCATTTGAGTTTGCTCATCGTAGGAAACTAAACGCGAGAGCTGCGATTGAAATCATTTTTGGGGTCACGGATAAAATAAATCGAAAATAAATCAGGAGGTAAAACAAAAATAAGGAGAACTAAAACTACAGTGTAAGGTGATGTGCAGCTTACTTCAGCGCCCTAGGGCCAGCTATTTCAGATACGTTTTCATTATTCATAAATAATATCATTAAATTATAGCTTAACTTAATAAATGAAATGCTTACAATTTGCTTGGTTTGTGGATCGACATTTTGAGTGTCTTTTAAAGCGCCGGCCAAAATGGAAATTATCTAATGATAAGAATTTTTCAAAATGATATTAAATAATAAGTAAATAAAATCAATTCGAGGAACCCATATAAATTATGAGTATATGATGGGAAAGAATATTCCCTATTTACCACGAGGAATTCGTCCTTGTCCACTCGTTGATTTCCATCCGTGTCGAACATATTAAAGGCAATGCGGAATCCAGATTTGGGCTCTGTAAATATAGTCTTTTATATTACCAGCCTATTTGTGATATTTCAAGTTGACTTACTTGTTAAAATAGAGAGCAGAAACAAATACTCCGTATAGGATACAATGCCTGAAAGAGAGTATACAAATTAAAACCATCATATTAATTTATTTCAAGAAAATAAAAAATGTTATTAATTCAGTCTAGACTATATCGTTACAAATAAAATGAATTGAACTAAACAAAATAGTACCTAAGCATTTGTAATCGTACACCAATCCATAAATTAACCTAATGTGTTTGCCTTATCAGATCTTGTTCTCTAATTGAATTTATTGGCTACTTTAAGAAACGAACCTGCTTGACCATTCTAATTTATTCGAAGTTGTATAAGTGACTAGATTTCAAGGGAAAAACCAGTTTCTTTGGTATTTTGCATGTAATATGCTTCTTATTATTTTTAAAAAACTTAATTCAATTATTATTAGGATTAGGAGCAAATAAAAATTTGTACATCTCGACAAAATAACTAAAATAAAATGGCCTAAGTTTTACCTTTATCCCTTAGATTGCGAAATAATCGTGTTGAACCCTTCTTCAGAGCAGGAGTGTTTTCCTTGTACTTGTCCACCTCATCGCTGGATAGCTGACGTCGTTTTAAACGAGCTGAAGGACACATTTAATTACTTTAACTGATTTGACATTTTAAAATGTGATATACGTCTGGGTTCCTGCTCGACAACAGAGTCTAGAAAGTCCTGCGGGGTCATGTACAGCTGATCGTCGAACTCCACGGATGCAAACTTGATGAAGCGGCGCTCCCGGGCCGTTAGCTTCACATTTTCCAGCTCGCTATCGTCGCGCTGCGGGATCGAAGATTGGAGGATTGAAGAAGATTAATCAGGCCATCGATGGATGGTAACTTAATATGCCGTTGTGCGTATTTGGTGGGGAATGTAATTGAAATAAATCAACGAACGATTGGATCGCTTCGAGCCGAATTTCCGCCGCTTGGTCACAAAGGCGGACCGACAGGGACAAAAGCTGGGAACGCAATCTGGACTGGTCTGATCTGGTGACGTTTTGATTAATGCCCTGCCGTGTCACCTCAACCGCGCTCAGAAATATTAATTTGATCCGGTTTAGCGCACTGCCCTGGCATCGGGAATTACATGTATGATCTGCATTTAATTCGAAATTCAGATTTTGACGAGGATTCCCACGTTGGCCGTTTGGCAAATAAAGTGTCAAATTGATTTGAGAACATGTTGTGAGCGGCGATCCTCCATAAATCTGACATTTAATGCCACCCACAACAAGTAATCATTTTTCCCGAATACTCGTAGACAGGGCAAATGACTCAATTGTATTTTATTTGTGGTGCAAAGACAACTCCCAGGCCATAACTCTCGCTCTGGGGACACCAGAAAACGCTGTCTACCGCCTGTCCCCAAAAAACAGATCCGAACAAAGGCCACTTTGAATGTTAGACATGTGCAGCAAACACTTCGCGGCCACGCCCACGCCTCAAGAAACCACAAGGGGCCAGGGACGATTTCCTCATAAAACCAAAGCTGACATCATTCGAGCTGCAGCAGAAGCTACAGTAGTTTGAGTTACGTGCAACAAGATAAATAAATTATCCTGGAAGGAACTGGCGTTTGCTTAACAAAATATGTACTATTCGGTTTACTTCTTATTTAACACAACTATCGAAAGATGCCTTATAATTGGAAAATTATAATACGAAACAAACTGACCAGGAACTATTAATTTTACAACTACTCAAAATAAAATAAATTAAAGGGGGCTACTTGAACATTGTACAAAAAATTAGCCCTGGTTTTTGTTGAACTATATGGGATTTTATTGAACTATATTTGATAAACATGACTATGAATTGGATGAACGATGAATGAATTAACACTGAATTAATTCATATTAAACCACTGTTTTGGAACCCTGCGCCAATAACAAGGAGAACCGAATTGGCTGCAGGCGCTGGATTTGTAGGCAACAATTAAAACTCATTCATCATCATCAGGCGCAGTCGCAGCCGCAGTTGTCATAACACATGTCAGGGCCAGGCCAGAACCGAAACCAAATCCAAAGCCAAGTCCCAAACTCAGGCTGATATACTCGCATGAGAAGTATACTGCAACTGAATCCGAAGGCACGCCTGCGTCTGGCATTGGGCATTATTGTTGCTTTGGATATTGGTGGGTGTATCAAATCGGCAACCAGATCGATTGATAGATAAATTTCAGTAACTGGCAGTCTGTCAGCATTCGGTGGAGTGAGTTCCACTCCGTGTTGTTTGCCGCCTGCAGGTGCGTGGGCGTATCGGACTAACTACTTTGCCACTTCATCATGCATTTTTCAAGGTGTGTGGCGCTGGATATTAAAGATTCCAGCCTCGGGAGTTTTAAATATTTTTTATGGTAAGATATGCAAATCTAGGAGGAAGATATAGAATCTAAGGAATCTTTAATAAGAGCAAATATTCTAGCTTATGTAGCCTTAAATATGTATAACTTTTATATTTTTTTAAGAATTCTGACCAAACAATAGACTTATTTTACATACAGAATTCTTATTTTATTGTTATTAAAAACACGTTATTTTAAAATTAAATGCATTTACAAAAACATTTAATTTTTTCCTGTGCACCACTAGACAATTAAAAGTTCTGGGGGTATTCTCATGCCCTATGAGCTAAGCATTGATAAGCAATTGCCGAAACGCTTAATGTTAATATTTAAGCTTCACACCCTGAATCACACACAACAAAAAAGCCTATCAGACTGCCACTCACGTCAACATGTTTCTTTTTTTTAGGTCTACCCCACATACAATGTCAACAGGTTGACAAATAGTTTTTGTAGCTGTTGCTGTTCCATTGAACTTGGACACGCACAACAATAACAACAGACAGTTCAAATCATTGATAACGACCCTGAGGTAAATTTTTTGAGCTCGTGTTTCGTTTTTGTGAAATTGAAAAAAATCAGGTGTTAGATCAATTTTATGGGCCAATTAACAAACGATTATCTATCAGAAACAAACGTTAATGCAGCGAACGAGGCGACCACAACAAAACACCCAAAACAGCTGATAAGAAAACACTTCCGTTGCGATACGTGACGCCTTTACGTCGCTACGTAAGACACCGACATGCCACAAGCTAAAAATAGCTGCGCAGGTCTTTTTCATCCAATTATTGACTTTTCCACACCGAACATTTGGCACACTTGTTATGCTTTTCCACGCTACAATTACCATGCGCCTTTTAAGGCTAACTGCATTCACGGGATTTTCAGCGGATCGGAGTTTAATGAAAGCCGCTAGGGCGGCCAAAGAAATAGCACTGCCGCCTACAAAAGTCAACAGCCGACGGGTTTTGGGGCCCCGAATTCCGATGGATTCCGACGAACCACTGGCAAATCTGAGTGATCTGCTAATAGATACGCCACCACTCGACCGCTGTGCGATTATAGAGCCACTTTTAACCGTTAATCTAGCCACTGCACTCGCCATCGCGTCCGAGTTTTCCGGAGGAAAAAACTAAACTAGTGACAAATAGAAAGACGTGATGTGCGTAACGTAAGGTCAGTGATGCAAAGCGTATTAGGGTTACCACGCGAATCCAAAGATATCAGATATGGCTTGGAGATTTTTAAATACTAATGAAATAGTAATTTTGAATAACAAACACAGTTTTTAAATATCACATTGTAGTTTCCAATAAAAAGAATAAATAAGCAATTTTATAACGTAAGGTAGACGAAATGACTAATGAAATAGTCAAAAGAGTGCTGCCAGATCAACAAACTTATAGCCGCGGGCAATTTGGCGGGCGTTTAAAATTTAGAATTGCCTTAGGATTTAAGACTATAAAATTTAAACATGAAATACAACTATTTTTGTGTTTTTTGAGTATATCAAGGCTACAAGCTTTTCAATCTTGTTATTTCAAATTATAGCATAATCTTTACCCAATAAATACTCAAAAATTTAAATATGACTAAGATATTATCACACCTGAGCGGGTTTTCCCAATTTTTTTCCGCATAATTGACAAAACCATTTCAAATTATTAGCAACTGCCAATTTTGAGTCATTCGAAAAGGGGGTCTACGTGCCTAATTCCACATAGATCCGTAGCAAAAATTTCGAGAAACTAATTTAAAATCCTGCCGACGTGAATTTCTGCGGTGCGCTCTTGACGCAAAGGTACATATTTGGCCCCAAACTATTTGGGATTTTTATTGGGCGTACCCAAAATCAGCTTGTGACGCGTCTCGGTCTACGCAAAATGGAAAACAAATAAACTTATTGACCGTCAAGCGTCCACAATTCCAGTGACTCACTTGGCTGCAGCGGCGGCCAAGAATGAAATATGACAAAAATGCAACTAGAAATCAATAAAAATGTCGAAATATTTTATGGGAAAACAAATGTCCCTATTGAAAGACGATAAAATGATCTAACGAAACCTGTTGCACTCCCCCGTCATTTCGAAATTCAATAGAAATGTTCTCTGTTCTCGGCGGTTCCCATCTGTTTTCGAAACGGAAAATATCAATTTCACTTGATTTTCCGCTGTCGCGCGAAACTCTAGACGCAGTCTGTCCTTTTCCTTTGCCCCTTACCTCAGTTCGATTCAGGTGAAGTTCATAACCCAGGATAGTTGACACTTTGGGGTTTTGCTCCACTAAATCGATCTCTGGCCGCCAAAGAGTCGCCTTCGCCTTGAGGACCAGCTATTTTAGTTGGTTTATTCGTTCGGTCGCCAGTTATGAGCTCGTAAATTATTAGTTTCAATTTTAAGCGGCGCATTGTGTTTCCCTTTTCCAATCCATTTCCTGCGAAAGTTGTAAAAGAAGTGACCATTTAACCGGGCGCCAACCGATTCGAAAGAGGATCCGCTGGACCAAAAGATCCGTTGGCACATAAAAATATTTGTGTTGACGCCTTCGACGGGTTTCGCCTTGTAAAGTGCCCCAAGGGCAAACCAGAACCCACAAAACGATCGATATAAATACTCAATATTTTGGTCTTCTTTTGGTAGTAATAAAGTCGTTTAAATCGCAATGCGTATTTGGTTTTCATTTTCCGTTCCACCTTTTCTCTGGCAGTAATAAAGTCGTTTCAATTAGTGTTCGCAAGTCTCGAAAAAAGCGCAGTTGTTCGAAAAATTTCGGTTAGCGCCAGGCCCAAGGCGTTCTTTCATAATTCATGAAGCGGTTTCCCTTTGCTGGTTAATTAGTCTGGCATTTAAAATGTTTTTTTTGGCAGGAACTGAAAGTGCACAGGGAAAAATGTGTTAACATATATTTTGAGAAATTATATGGAATGGTAAAATATAGGATCATATATAGGTATTAGCCTTATCTAATCTATTCTAATATTAAATATATAAATACATAAAAATCCCTAAAATAATCATTTTAGTGATCAATCGTAACTCATTGACATCGACGTTTTAATTTATTTTTTTATTTACTTGGTTAATAAATATTTTCAATCATAACCCAGGCTTATGTTTTATCTTGTGGTTATAGTTTTTGTAACAGAATTTTTTCTTGGTGGACCGAAGAGGCAGTCGATTCCTATCCGATTTGGGTTGGGTCTTGGTTCCTCAGGCCGTGCGATTAGGTAATATTTTGAAGGGGGTTGGGTTGCCGCAGAGCGCATTCTTTGGGTTTGCCGCATCATTTAACGGTAAAATTGAAATTGATATACGAGCCGAGATCCAAAAAAAAAAAAAAATCCCTGAGAGGGGGCAAGATACGAAATCAGATTTTTGATTTCGCTGGAACCTTGTTGATGATATCACACTCCGATCAAATAAAAAGTTCAATGTCAATGCTTGATGGGCGGCTCAATCAGTTTAAGAGCACTTTGTGTCAGGTGAGAGAAAGGGGCCCACCTGTTGCGCCGGTTCACTCGAAGTTCATTGAGTTGTAATTAAAAAAGGAAACAAACAGAGCCCCAAATAATCGAATACAGAATACAGAGATTTTTTTCAAAGGGGATGGGGACCACACGCAATCGGTTCGCGAGGCGCTGCCTGTCAAACATAAATCTCAATGGCACATGCGGGACTTTCGGGTCTTTCGGGGGATCTCAACTTCTGGGAGCCGATGCATCACCTCCGGAAAAGAAAAAGGGTGCCAAGGGGTCTTGGCCAAGGATGCTGGCCAAGCCGGTTTTCCTTTTGGTGTAGCAAGTTCGTAGGCCTCGCCGTCCAACATGGTGATTTATGAGAGCCCAGGAAACCGGGCAACTGGGCAACTGGCCAACTGGCAGCGGTCACAAATAGAAGCCGCTCCAATTACATCACTCAAACTACAGTTAAGGTGACCAAAAAAACACTCACAGGCAACTGGAACGCCGCGCGGCTGTCACATTAGGCCGCTCTAATCAGACAGAGAGCCAAGTTTATCGCCGGACAAGATCTCCGAAGGATTACCAGTCTAGACTTGGGGATCTGCTCAGATCTTCGATCAGGCTCTCTCCCCCTTTGTGATCTTGGCTGTGTTAACGGTCCAGCGGTCCATCTGTTGGCCTACCGGCCGGTTTGGCCAACTTTACGAGCGGCGCTAGACATTTCTGAAGACACCGAAAAAACACCAAAATAAAGTGGGTGAAAATAAAAGAGAAATGTACATTGAGAAAAAAACAGAATTTTGAAAAATACAACTTGTACTTATTTCTCAATGAATTCTTAAAAAGTATATTAATAGTTTTTATTGATGTTGAGATAAAGTACCTTGACGCATAAAAATACTTGAACAGAAAAACACTTACTTTTATGCGATTAATTAATTAGAACTGCTTTTCAAGATATATTTCATAAAAATAATAGCATAAATAGTATTCATGCTAAAATATATATATATGTACTTTTAAATTTATCTTAAATTGTTTGCCCTAAATTTTTTTTCAGTGCAAATGTAAGAGAACTTGTCAGTGTTCTTTTGTTCTCCATGCTTTGATTAAGTTTTGGTACTAATGCTTCGATCGCAGATGGCTTGAAAGAAACCCGAGCTCTGGCCACCAACTTTGGACCTCAACGAGTCTTTCTTTTAATTTTATTAATTGTTATTGCCGTAAAGTTACATAAATTTCTCCAATGCAAGGCAATAGATAGTCGTTCCACTGATTTGGTTAATAGCCGCGATACCGATATCGATTTCGTTGGCAGGCACAATAAAAATTGCTCACATTTATGTAGATTGTGGAAGAAAGGCGATCTATTGAGTGTCTCCGACATTCTTATGAGACAGCTTGACTGATTGTGGGAGAGCCGGGCTAAGAATCTTATCCAGCAGCCCAAAGACAAGAAGCTTTTCGAAATTTGAATTTAGTAAGATAAGATGAAAGGTTGTTCTCGAAAAAGGTGGATAGATATTGGTGAAATCAGGGTTACCATCTCCATAATGGTCTTTGGATACAGAATTTAATACGATTTTCTTTGAAAAGCGACATGGAAAATAAGATTAAACAACCATTTGATTCGGATTCTATTGGCAGTAGTGAACTTATTTTTAACTAGAAAAGAAGAATATGTTGTACATTCTGAGTCACCTGAATGTAATTCTTTCTCGGCACATCTCGTTGATTTAGAGGTAACACCCCTAATCCTCTTCCAAAAATAGTCTCCATTATATCCCCCATCTATTGCAATGTCATTACCTAGTTCAGGGTCTCACTTTTGCCCAAGGTGCCCTTCACTTGGACGCAGACCAGATGATACCATCAATTGCTCAACACTTCTCCAGCCGAACCCAATTAAAATCAGGCAGCAAATTTATTAAATTGCCATCGATGGCTGCCAAATTAAAATGTCAACGGCTTGCCGAAACCCCAAGTGGAGGGCGAGGCCAGGGGAGGGCTGAAAAAAGTGTCATAAACTTGTTTGACAGATTTCTTTTGATTCATGGAGCCCATAAATAAAGCTCGCCAAATCTTTGGGCGTGGCCCAAAAGCCGAGAGACCGAAAAAAACTGCAGCCAAATCAAAGTCAATGCGAGCGGTGCATAAATATTTTGGCGAACCAAATGAGATTCATTTGGCTGTCATCGTCATGTGGTAAGCACCCGCGCCAAGGAATGCGGAGCATAACCACTCCGATCTCGGCCAGATCTGATCCTCCAAAGACCATTGCATGTGTCGCCCCCATATTTCTTCACCGATTCGGGCCACTTGATGATGACATTCATTGCCCCGTTCAAAGGCGCCATCCGATTGACTCATGAATCTTTTACTTACCACAATCAGAAGGAGGAAACTACATCACGAGTGCAGAAACCAACAGTCCAAGCACCTGCCAAGCACCAGTATAGAGTACGGATTTAGTGGCCAAGTTGCAGATCATAAGTCGTAACTGGTTCTTCCTGGTGATTCCATCTATCAGCCAGGTCCTGAAAAGACTTCTTTATGCACCCAGCCACACCTTGGAGCCCGAAGTGTCCACTAAATTTGAAGTGCATTGGCGGAGAGAAAAGGTTTAATATCAGTAAATTACACTGGAACGGAATTGGGTGAGTGCATTTGATATTTAATATCATAACAATAACTTCAGAAAAGCGATTGAAGAAGTTCGGTTTTAAATTTTGGCTTTTAAGTAAATTTTAACAAACCATCAAAGAATTTTTGATTTGAAAGACTATTTAAATATAAAATGCTTTTAAATTTAAATAAAATTAAAAGCTGCATTTCAAGAAAGGGGTTCCAGAAAGTATCTTTATTTGCCTCTAACTTTTTTGTTAAGTGTATAAAGGCAAAGCTTGGCTGTTGGTTAGCCGGCTTATAGTTAACGATGGTTATTTATTCATAACTTCTTTGTGGAACCTCCAAGTAATTCTATTCCGCTTCTTCACTAATGTTTATATTGGTTTCATCTGCCCTGAGGAGAAATTCTACGAGGGCATTGTTGATTTGCTGAAATAAGTCGTGGATGTCGATTAATTCCATGGCGGCCGAAGTGGTGATATATTTGGGGCCATTTCCATTACTACAAAGGGCCATGTCGGCGTGTTTGCAAACCTAAAAGATAAAAATAGTTATATAATTGGATTTTTTATGGATAACATGACTTTCTTTTTTAAACTCCTGTCCCAAGTAACACATGAGCAACACGATTGGTGGATCCGATTCCTCATCATCGTACATCCCTACTAGCGTGTGGCAAGCACATGAAGATCCGTATGTTATCTGGAAGGGTATCAGAATTAATTTTTATATATAATATATACATATATTAGACAATTTTAAAATATATTTTAGTTAAATGACCTGCATAGTGGCGGCCATTAGAGTGGGCCAGCAGTTTTGCCACCAACGGCCCCATTGGATTTTTAAAACCTCACAGGCATTCGTCGTTAGTGGGCGGTTTTGAAGACGTCTTCGATTTTCAAGGTTTATTGGTGGGGTTATAGACAGTTCATGGTTCAAGATAAGCGGCGCAGAAAGTTTTCTTCCCACCAAATATTCCTTTACTCTAAGGCCACACATATTTTCCTTGCTTTCCTCACTGATGGAAAGATATTTCTTTCGCAAATGTCGCGGAATGCGTTTGCCCTTCAAAATCCTGCGACAGCGTTTTTCCAATTTTTTCAGTGTTTTGCTAGTTGGTAACTTGTGGGCTCTTTTCTGACTATAACTAAAAAAAATAAAAACAATTCTTCTAGGACTAAAATTAGGTCAAGTACTTTTTGGGTCCAAAGCAGCGTTGCAATCCATGAAAGACGTTGTCCATAACAATAAACAGTTCCAGTACTGGCATTCCGACTAGCTGTTTAACTATTAATTTTGTCTTAAAATTTGATGTGTGACTTTAAAATCTAGAAAGGTTTAGGAGCCCAGAACGAGGGGTTAAAATTTAGAGCTACCTTTTGTCCACCATGTTTAACACTGTCAGTTGACAAGGCCTACCCGGAAATATAGATCACTTTTTAAAAATTTTGACAGCAAACTCGTCCGGAAATGTAAATAATAATACATAATTAATATGAGCTGATTGTAATACGGGAAATCAAAGACGAAAGCAAATAATTGTCATGGTTTCATAGTATTAGGCTTCTGGTAGCGTCAGTAGGATCTTATGATGACGTATTCGGCTTGCATTTTATCAGAAACAAAGAGCGTGTGCTTCAGGAATTTTGATTAATTTCTGTTCCGATAGATCTGCCTGGAGATCCAAGGCCCACTCGGATAGTGCACTCATAATTTATTGCGGCAGTGGCTGCCATCATAATTAGCATTGCGGTCTAAATCAAAATATTTACAAATCAATTATTGTGATTAGCGACCGCCGCAGCAACTTCCACCATAATCGATCACCCAGCTGGGGCATTTCTCGCCAGGTCTCAATTCCGTAATCCATATTCCGACCAATCGATCCCCACCCCCAATCGACTTTGTGGCGACGACAGCATTTCGCAGCAATCATAATTTGCATTGACCTTAACACGTTGAAAGAAATATTTGATATTTAAAAATCAATGATGTCTAAGTATTCGATAACTAGTGAACTATTTATATTGCAATTCATGCGAATTGATTTCCAATCATTTTACACTTCTACGTTTTAATAAAAATTAAAAATTTAAAAATTTAAAATTTGAATCATTATTTCTCATAATCAGTTACAAATGTTAATGCATTTTTAGATAAAATATATGATACCTATATGTAAATGGATAGTTATCGTAAATTCATCCATTAAAATATGATTTCTTATCAAGATGTAAGTTGTTTTTTTTCTGAATTTTTCAATATTAAAATACAGCTTTTTATAACCTTACTGTGATAAACAATTTTAATGCGGGGGTTAACATGTTTTCGTATCAGCAGGCGACTTGTTGGCTTGTTCACTTGGCTAAAGACAAAAGACAGCCTTTGGCGACACAATCAGTTTTAGATTTGTTTTTAATTAAATCGAATCGATTCGATTCGATTCGAATTGAATTGACTTTCTGTCAGTCTGTCTGTCGGCTGCTGGCTGCGTGTTCGTCGCCATTTGCTGACAGGCGGCTATTACAATTTTATTAACATAAATTATTGCATCCAGATCGATCCACTCGCGATATAAGTCGCCTACGACTAATGGAAGCCTAATGGTTGTTAATGCTTGCAGGCGGAATTCCTCGCCGAAATAGCTTTATTGACCGAATGCGCTTTTGATTGCCAATATCCTATCAATTGATACTCGATCATTTTATATCAGCGAAATAGCTTCAGATTTTATTCGCACCCCGCTGTGAAACCATGTTGGCTGACAGTGGACATGACAATATATACTTTGTAATTGAATATCGCACTGATAGCAATCTAAATACGATTCTGTCTGCGATCTGTGAACATTAAAAAGCCGCCAACCTTGAGGCGATTCGCCGGCGCGTTTTTAATCGCCCGGGAAACGCGCGCGATCGTTACAAGGTGTAAAAAACCGACTGAAAGTCAGGTTTACGAGGATCTTTGAAGCGGTAGGGGTTATTCAAGGCAGCTGCCCCTGGATTGGACTATTTAAACACCTCTACGGGCATCACTTGCCACATTTTCGGATGGCCACGGTTTTTAATTAATCTAACATCTTGCCCCGGACTTTTTACTTTCAGGGTTTACGCGGAAAAAGGGTCAGAGGTCGTTGAGGCGAGCACATTAGGCTGGAACACTCGACTGCCGGGTTAATTAAGTCATTAGCCCGAAAATGTCCTGCTGCTGCCGCTGCTTCTGCGCATAATTAATCATTTTAATTGTCTGACTGCATACCGCAGGATAATGTGGAAGAGGGGGGAAATTTAGAAAGACCAAAAGGCAGATCGACAGTGAAAAGGTTGCTTTCGAAAACTGCGGGGGAGTTCGACGTGCCGAGGGTTATTTATAGGGGCAGCCTAGGAGAGGGACATTTGGCATGTGCTTCCTCGTTTCACAGGCGTCAAATTTTCGGGCACAAAATGTTGTCATTCCGGTTAATTGAGTTAATTGTTTTGGGGGAGAAGCCCTTTCTTTGGCCTAGCAAAATCACTTAGACCACTTTAGTGCAAGCATTTTAAAATAAATTTAAAGTACAAAGTTAAACAAACTAGGTACTGGCAACAGATTTATTTTTGTGGTAAAAGAAGAGCGTTCCGCATAACTTTTAATTGCAATTTAACATTACCTACATCTAAATATGTCTAGACTCTAGAGGATATATAAATTAATTTACTGTTTAATATTATAATTTTTTTTATTTTTTTTTTAAATCATTTTTAAAGCGAACGAAATATAAATTGTTTTTGTATAATATGTATTGTCAATTTCAAGGTCAATTTATAAATGTCCAAAAATGCATTTGATTGAACACTGTTTGAGTAACAAAATAATACTTTATATCTTTAATAAAAATTTGATCTCATAGCTGATATTTTATTTCAACAGAGTTTGTTTGCCAATGCCAAATTTAGTCAAAGACTATTTTTTATGACATTGCTAATCGGTGGTCAAGCAGCCTTCCCCAACCGCAACGCCCACAAAATGACGCACTCATTAAGTATGACGTTGACTATTCTCCGGAATGTTTTGCAATTCCGTTAGCGCCTTTGCCACTGTCAAGTTCAATGCACACACAAACATACATATGTACATATTGCACCATGTGATTTTTTTTATAAGCGCCATCTAAATAGATAAGATAAATTTTATTCAAAGAAATTCGCACATAGCTAATTAAACTTTCATTTGACGTGGGTTATATTTTTTCGGTCAATTTTTGGTCAACACCTAAATTTAGCAGGGGTTCCGGTGACCAGAAATAGATTTTGTGACTTATCTATGGTCTAGTGTAGCGGTAGACCCCTTACCTGGTCAAAGTTGAGGCCTTATCAGTGCTATTAAATCGGCTTGATTATAACCCCATCGAGTAAGCTTTCCCACGCAACTGATTCACTGCTATATTTGCTTTTGCCGGGAATCGAGTGACGTTCATCATTGCACTTTGGGCCTTTATTTAATTGGCATTTGTGCAAATCAACGCTGGCTGGCGAAATACGAACAACACTGGAAAATGACTACGCGCCAAAAAGCACAACCGCCACCCAGCCACCAAAACAGTCCGCACAAATACAATCAGGCTAAAAGCGACTGCAATCTCAACGCTTAGTGTCAGTTGAATATAGGCACGTGATGGACAAAAAAAAAAAAAAAACTGAAATTAGCATGCTATATATTTTACTTGTTGTTTTATTTTAAGTAGCTCTATACCTATTCAAATTTAATTTACAAAGAGAGAACAAATATTTAGATACAGTTTTAAATAATAAAGCATATACAATTTTTTATAGCCATCACTCATTCACCGAATTATTTGACTTAAAGGTACACTCTTCTCCTTATCTTAATTTAAATTATGTAGCCTACCTTGCAGCGCAAATTGCATAAAAATATAGTTTTTACAATTATCTTACAAATAAATCATACGTTGGGTATATGCTTTAATTTTAAATTCAGAATTGTCAATAAGTATATATTTGTTTAATGTTACCGTTTCAGCCAATACTAATAACAAGTTATCTTATAAACATATATTAATATTAATTGTTTATTTTTAAACTATTTTATAATTTTTATGCTTTCAAAAATAAGTCATTGCCTCCTTGTAAAAAATAGATTAAAAAAAATAAATTATTGAAAACTTATTAATTACTTAAAATGAAGTTAGTGTAGCGATTTTATTACTAGACACCTCAAGACGCCAAGGAAAATTAAAATAAATAAAATATATTTACCAAATTTTAGCATACATTAAATACTCAAATAATTTATAAATTTAAAAAACAACATATTTTTATGAATGAACCAAATCATATTTACAGGTTTTTCGTAGTCGTTTAAATATTTATTTATAAGATACTCACCAAATTAGCACTGTTTTTTTGATTAAACACAATCGTTCCGCTTAATTTTATGTGCAATTTTGTATTACATTAACAGAAGTCAAGGAGGATATTTAGTTTAATCAACTGTTTAATCATTGTAAATATAACATTTTAATAGTTAACGGACTGAGCCCGAAAGATTTGGCAGCCGACGAGACGACCCCATACTTATTCTACCATCGCAGCAACAGTGCTCGTCATGAACGCACGAAGCGTCGCCTCATCGACAGGGTCTCTGCTCAGTTTTTCAGTCTCTGACTAGCACGCTTTGGGAACACACAGTGTGCGGAGCGTCCGCAGTCGCAGTAGCACTCGAAGTCCGCATCCGCAGCGTTTTCGAATCTTTCGAACCATCCATCCATCCATCTGGCGTATCGTAAATAACCAATCGAACCCAATACCGTGATCGCGTCCGGAATCGCGTTTTCGGGTTTTTGTGAAATCGTGTCCCAAGGAGATCGAAACAATAATAATCTCATCGGATAGGATGTTTGAAACAGAAAAGTTCGTTTCGAAATCCAAGTATTGCTGGCCAAGAGAGTCGTTACAATTTGAAAAGGCCGCTAAAATCGTTTAGTTTACGACCACATTAAAGAGCGAAAAATATATCAAAAAATTATGGTTAGTGCTGTGTTTGAAAAAGGAAAATCAAAATAATTATGAAAATGTTGAATTTCTGCTGCCTTAAGTTTTAAAGTGTGCAAAGTGCAACTCTCCCAAAAAATCAACGAAGAATAAAACGCGTCCAAAAAAAGAATCGTAAAACTGAAAAAAGCAAACAAACATAAAAATAAGGTGCGTACTGTTTCTGTTCCTATGTATGTTGTTACATAATTTCTTTTTTAGTAAGTTTGTTGTTCCTTGAAATAATTGTTCAAATATTGCAAAATCTTTCAATGGTTTTTTGCCTTCAGTGCCGCCTTTACTAAGCCAATAATTAATGAAAGTCTTCAGGTTTTCGACAGAAACAAAATGTGTTTCTATATTATAAGGTTGGATATTTGGAAATTCAGAAGCAGTGCCAGGTCTTTGCACTTGGTCGTTTTAACTAAAGAATTTTATTAAAGTATTTTCGTGCGTCAACTTTGTGGAACTGTGACGAAAAGTTTGTATCTTTTTTAAATAAATCGAAATCATTTTCCACTTGGCATCGCGCCGAGTGATAAGTGTATTTAAATGTCCCGTGAGGGAAAGTAATTAAATAACAGATTGTGTTAATACAAAATAATTTTCTTTTAAACAAACAAACAGCGAGCAAAAGCAAATGCAAAATAAATTTTCTATTAGTCGGATGCTAATTGACACTAATTTAATTTATATTCGATTAGATTTCAACACCTTAAAGGAATCTAACTATAACTGTAATCTCAATGCATTTAGCTATAAACAAATTAAATGTGATTTACGGCTAAGCAGCGGTTAAGTTTTTCCAAGTACTTTTCCGCTTTAATCTGGCCCAAATAAACAATAAGTAAGACAAACAAAAAATAGCAAAATATTTTTGCAAACCGGTGAAAGCAAACGACCTTAGGAGAACCCATTCTATAAAAGCGAAATTTATATAAATTTAATCACGCACTCTGTGGGATTATTTATAGTTTTTGCAAAAAGCATCTACGTTTGCGAATCTTTATCGCTTTCCGCAAATGTATCTGTATCTGTATCTGCGAATTGTGCGTATCTCTATTTGCAAACGCACGCAGGCGCTTCTAATCTCATTTCGCAAACTTTTTTCTATCATTTTTTTTCTGCCCTGCGCGTGCAGTTTTTCGTAATATAAATTGGTGGCGTCGACTATTATCTAACACTGTGCGCTATTATCTAAACTGAGTTGTTGTTCTTGTTCCTGCTGCTGATTTGTGTGGCATATCTGTGTGCGAATTTGCGTTATTATCGCGTCAAGTGGCACGCATGTGTGCGTCGGGTTCAACAACTGCTAATCACACGGCAGATCATAGTTTGGACAGCAGACCAAAAGACATATGGACTGCGAAATATGGGGATCGCGTTAAAGAATAAAACTGAATGAATTGTGGGGAGTGTTATCCTTCATAATTAATAGCAACGACGAGTGCTTAATTCAAATCAGGCATATTATTTATGGAACCTATTAATATCGGGCATTTTAGAGACTTTTTTAAAGCATTTTTATATTTTTTTTTTGCCTGTGGAAAAATTTTTAAATATACTAATTTACTTTTTATATCAATCTGCTAACAATTCTTTTTCTCCTTTAGTTCAAAAATGTTTAGTTTATTATGTAATGCTAAATTAGGTTTATTTTCCTTGATCAATTTGTTTCTAATGTTATTTGAATCACTTAAAAGATTTTCAAATATGTATTCATTTTGTATTACATAATAATAAGAATAAGATAATAAGACTAAAACAATATATTAGCTGTTATTAAAATAATAGCCAATATGTTTTATAAAACATTCAAAAAATTAAAATGGATTCATGCATTTTTTTCTTTCATTGAAACTTTTTCCTTGTGCTCAAGTTTTCACGTAACAATTTCATTAACTAAAAACGAAGCGTTCTCAAGGGCAAAGAAAATAATAGGTTAATGGTTTGATTCTGCCTACGTCAAAGATAATTCAATAAGTAAAAAGGCAATCGTAAAAAATCTATAAATTTATTCATTTCCAAAAAGCATAATTGATTAAATAAATAAAACGGACTGCCCCGAATTAATTGAATTGGAAACTTAATTCTCGGCAGTAAAAAGCGTTCAAGTTAGAATTTTTATTCAGACTCGACCCCGGAGACTGGCGTGTTTGTCGTTGGACTTCAAAGGTCATAAAGCCAGCCAATTATCAAGTTTGGTTCTGAAACGCGTGTGTTGGGTAACATTTCGCTTGGTTCTGTGACACATTTACAAATTGTGCTTGATTGATGGGCCGGTAAAGGCGAAGTTTGAAATACGGCAATCATAATTCCTAGATAAAGCTTATCGCTTGCAAAAGAAAAAGTTTTACGGCCGTGCGTAAATAGTTTGCCGGTTTGTTTTCCTTTCGGCCAAAAGTGGCGCATAATACTCGGAATGAAATGTCGCCCATAACAGCGAAAAAAGGGAAATAAAATACAAAAACCGGGAAAGGAGGAAAGAAAAATGCGGGAAACTCAGTAAAAATGCAGCGTTTGTTTTAATGAAGCGTGAACACTAGACCACATAATGTGCGGCATACATTTAGAGACACACACACGATCGCACATGGCAACAACTTTAGGTACACCCTCAGTTAAAAAAAAAACAGCAACAAAAAACCGAAATGAAAACGAGAAAATCGTCGCGTTTTTCACTCAGGTTTGTTGTTCTTTTTCTTTTTTTGGCGGTAGGTGTTTTTTTTTTGGTTGTTTGACGCATTTTAAAAATAATCTCGACGCAATAGTTGCTGTTGTTTCTATTGTTGTACTTGTCTGTCTGTTTGTCACATTACTAATACGTCGCGTTGTCTTTGATTTTCGCCTTTTTCTGTTGAGTTTATTTTAAAGCGACGTTTTTCTTTTAATTTTCGCACGTAAAGTGCGTGACTTTTAATTGGACTACAATAAATGTGCGAAAATGTGTGGGCGATGAGTCTGCGAGTGGGCTAGTGTGTAAGTAAAGGCTAGAGATAGAGTTTTAGGTGAGATACATGTGACAGATATCGGCTACAATTTCTCAGGTACTTCCGCTCAATTTTAGATGCTGAGAGATTGTGTGCACCAACTTGTCAACAAAAATGTGACTAAAAGAAAAAACGTTATATATTTTTGCTAATTCAAAATAAAATGTATTATTTTCTAACTTATGTTAATATATTAAAAGTGGTTAGCATACACTCATCACTTATTGTTAAAATTGATGATATACAATTCTTTTCTTTTTTACTTTTCTTAAAATAATTTAAACTCCTATTCATACCTGTACAAACCGCATGTATATCTCCTTTGTACTTATACTTGTTGTCAATTTATTTTGCGACCGATATTTGCTTTGCTGTTAGCACCGCCGCATGTGATTGAATTGCTTGCGGCGTGTGTGCGAGTATCTCAGACTTGCCCTCGCCTGTCTCGTGCACTAAATATTTAAAATAGCTGCATCTTGAGAGGATTTTTTTCCGCTGCCGATGCGACTGCGGCAACCCAATTGCTTCCGGTTCAAATCGATTACACAAAAGCGCTGCCTTTGTGCGCTCAGGTTTTCCACTCGCACTCGCACTTTTCCCTGGCGGCGTGCTTTCCCCGTGGATTGTTGGCGAGTATCTAGCATTGATGCCTTCAAGTATCTTATGCGCCTTTCCATACAAATGAAGTGCACATCGATTAGTGCATTTGGCTGGCTGCCTGAGTTATGTTTCGGTTTCTTTTTCATTTCCCCCGTTCGCCGCTTCTTCTGTTTTTCCAAAGAAAATTAATTGTTTTGTAAACACGGCAGCTCAATGGAGGAGGGGGTGGCTCCATCCAAAGGGGAATGGGATCTAAGAAGAACCAGATCAGCGACAATTTCCACAGACGAATGCAACGCCTTGTTTGCAGTATGTTAGATCTGATAGATATTCGTCTATAAGGCAGTTGTCAGTAAATGCCACCGCACATCAATCTTTCGCTAAGCATTCCATAATACACAAATGTACGTATGAAAACAAGTATGCATATTTATTCTCGTTCAATCCTGTGACAAGTGTCAACACGACAATGAACGTCAGACACTTAACGGGGAAAATAAATACAAATTTATCTTCTCTTGAACTAGAATTTCATTGTTGAGCCCATGCTCGTATATCTTTGTGTATTTGTTAAATTCTTTTCGCTTTCAGCGTGGCATTGAAATACTTTTTCATAGTGGGAAAATAATTAACTTAAATTGTTGCAACACAACAGTGTTTTGTTTATTCTTGGGCCTAATTTATTTTATTGCCCAAACTTAAGTTGGCCAAAATCCGCAACCACAAGCCATGAATAAATTGCACATGTAAGTGAAGAGTCTGGGAATTTGTGGTTTTGGCAGTGTTTTTTACTGCCAACCGCAAGAAGAATGAGATACGACATTACTAAATGCTTTTCTGGGTAATAGATTGTGGTAATAAATATCACAAATTTGCTCAGCTTTTGAAAACAAATATATAAATCAAAGGAACACTAAGTAAACAGCATTTAGGTTATTAAATTGAGTTCAAAACCAGAAACCTTCACTTTCAAATGTTTAAACTGGTTATTCTATATATATATATTTTTAATCAAATGTGATATATAAAACATGAACTTTATGCTAATTTTATAGCGAATATATTTTAATAGGCTATTAAAATTTTTATTCACCTGTTAAAATAAATTATTTTAATTTTTTTGGGCAGGCAAACTGCGTGAATCATTAGCATATTAGCAAAAACTACAACTGAATCCAAGAAAATTTACATATGTCCGACATTTTGGCTTGTAATAAATGTCCAAAGAGCGTTTTTCCCTATTGTTTTTTGTTGGAGTAGCCAAGCGTCCGACATGAACTAATTAAGTTGCGCAGTTCGGCTTAGATTTATCGCCGTCCAGCCGATCCGCCAGATACTTTCCAAATGCCTCAAGCCCATCTGTCAGCGACGCCATTAAAACAGCGGCTAGCGCAAATGTCAAACGCATTTTAAACGCATAAATTTGGCTTTGTACGAATAGCTACAGAAAAAAAACAAAGCAAAACAAAACAAAGTAAGGAAATTTGCTAATCAGTTTGTGGAGCGACTGCCATTTCAGTTCAATGACTAGGCCTAGCTTCGATTTCAGTGGCTACTCTATCCGTATTGTTAGAGATACTAATTTGAATAATTTACTGGGCTTTTCTGCTCTGCGGGTTTGGTCACTTGTTGTCAAGCTGTTGGCGGCGACAAGATTATTTAATTTATCTAAAAAAATGCCATTCCCACTGTCTGATGCGATAATATGTGTCATATTTTATGCGATATACTTTTATTTAAAAACTATTCCAAGCTTTTTGCCTTTATTATTCAAAGTATTTCATTTTATTTTTTCAAAACAATATTTTAAAATGGTCTAATGGCTTATTCAAAATTACTAACTTAAATATGGTCCTATGAATATATAAACTTTGTATCTATATGTATGTATCTTTATTTATTTGCATCCATTGTAAAGCTTTCATGATCATTTTATTAAAATTTTTATTCATTCACTGAACAAAGATGCCGACACGCTCCATTCATTATTACTTTTCTTTGGATATTTTGGGCATTTTATATCGCTGTTTTTTGTGGTTCAGTCATCAATTTGATTAGACGAGTGCCACCGAAGACAGCCACTTAAATGTGGGTTAAGTGAATTTCAAGTTTTATAACGGATCCAAATTTTGTCGTATGACAGGTTTTAAGATAACTCAATAAGTTCTTTGTTTTTCCCTTACTGTTTAAATTATGAGAACGGGTTCAGTGATTATTGGACTTTCGCTTTCATTTTGGGGGCAATATTTTTGCAGACCAATCACCGTAATCAAGTTTGGACCCTGATTAAGTATTGCGTTTCATTATATGTTTATTTCCTTATTATGGGCTTTTTGGGGACTTAAACGCACCGCTAAAAACAACAAAAGATTTCATTATTTTTTATGGTTCTTATAATTTGCTGAATTGCTGAGGCTTATGAATGACAGATGGATCGAGGAGCTGAAGTCATAAAAACTGGATACATTAGTTTTTTTTTGGCCCATAGGTGTGATTTTTATACTTCATATACATATTCTGCGCTATTTTTACAACTTTGGGCATGTGTCAAGACACGCTTCCCTTTGGGATTTTTATCTTTTCCTGTGGTCGCCGAAGCTGGAACTTTTGTTGCCCTTTCAGAATTCCACACAAATTCTACTACTGAAAAAAAATAAAACGTAAACAATGCCTTGAGACAGAATCTGCGGTTGGCTTGGCACACATTTTGCCTGCTGCGGCACAAATATTTTTTATACACACTCGGATTTGGGTGAAAGGCATTAAACTGGCGAGAGGCAACGGTTTAATATATTTCTTGATCTGTAAGATGTTGAGAACTCGAAGAACTTTGCTGATTTTTATATTACACACATAATATTGGGTTTCTCTGATTCATCGGTTATTGCTGCCCTTTTGGATTTTTATAACTTTGCTGTCATGCAAATGCCGCGTTTTACGATTTGGAGGGCTCTTAACTTTTTGGGAGGTTTTTAGGGCTTTCAAACGTACATACATATTAGTATGTAGAATAATATATTCGTTTCAAATTCAACACGTTGCATAACTTTGGCGGCAGTTTGGACAGAAGGACGCAAAAGCAATTAACATTTTGATGGCACAGAAGTCTAGTGTTTGAGTTGTCTCGGTTTGGTCGCCAATTGGATTTGTAGCTCTTCCTGCTGTTTTTGTTGTTTATGGTAATTAAAACGGGGTGCACTTAAATCTTGCATAAAAAATGCTTCTGCGTAGGCTAGCTAGCTGAACACGTGCCAAAAAGCCGGCAATCGAGTGGAAGTGCAGCGGCAACGTCACTCAGCCGCCCCGTTGCCCTGCCCCGCATCCCATAGATACACGGATACATTCAGATACAAAGATACTCTGCCGGTGCAGTTAGTGCGTGATTATTTTCAAATCCGACACAGTTTTCAGCGCGAATTGTTTTTGTTGCCCATCTTATTTTTATACAATTTGCTTTCCCTCTCTCTCTCTCGCTCCGCTGGGAAAGTCATTTTCGATGTTTTCACCGAGTTTTTCCTTTGCGTAACTGCTCCCTTTGGGCAGTTTTTATGTAACCCCTTGTCGATCACCGGCGGCTCCTATAGACACAATTGTATCTTTGGCCCGTTGATAGTCCGATGGCCAAAAATAAACTGTGCCACTTTGTCGTCAGCGTGTCTCTATACACCCGAACGCTAATTAAAATGTCAAAAATTGCGTTAAAAGCGATTAGGTGAAGAATTTATATACATTTTGGCTTAAACCAAATTCGCTTTTCAAATGTTCGCCATGGAATTTCAAAGCCATTTCCCAAATGCCATAAATTGTCGGCTGCGCAAGTGAATGTCAGGTGATAATGTATTTTACGGTGCAGATAATCTGTTTCTTAATGATAACTCTTCTGTCACGTCTAATCAACTAAATTTTCCCCCCAAATTCTTCTCATTGCAGCCCGTCGAGTATGTTAGCCAACCCAACTTAGGCTGAAAAAAAGCGAGTTAATATTGCAACATCATTCATCGCTACGCAATTTTATCGCGGGAATATCTGACATGACAAAAAAGTCATTGGCGTTGATAAGATGCATTATCAGCGGGGAAGACGAAGATGAAGATCCGCAACAGCAGCAGCAGCAATTGAAAAGTGTTAAACAAGTCTACGATATGATAACCTAATTTCCTGCCGGGAAAGAGGCGAAAAAAAAAACGATTTTTACAACAAGATCAGAGAGAGACTCTTTAGTGAAAAGCAAAAGGCAAACATAAGTAAAAGATTTCATAAAAAAGGGGCGTTCATATGTTTCAACGACACCCGAGGGCGTGGCGAACGCCCAATAAACTGGCAAACAAACTATAAACAACCAAAAGAGACACAGCGACTTACACACAAAATTATAAACATTCGGATTTTGGAGAGGAAGAGAAGAAGAGCTTCTCGAACGAAAAGAAACCCGGTGAACCGAAGTGGTGATCTTTGATGCGAAGAAACCTGCGCTTGGACTGGAGGGCCCTGGCGCTGCTGGGCGCCCTCCTCTCGTTCATCATCGCCTGGCCGGGCCTGGTGTTTGCGATGCCCCTGATGGCCACCTCGCCCGATTCCTCCACATCCGCATCCACATCCGCATTCGGATCCACATCCGCAACCACATACCCATCCACATCCACATCCACAGAGAACAGCACGAACAATAGCAATCTGTTTAGTAATAGTTATCTACAAAGTGATCATAGTCGTAGTAGTTTAGTGCCGAGCGAACGAGTGAGTGAACGTGAACGTAGTGTAAATCAACCCACAAATCAAAGTATTAATGCTGAATTTAATCAGAGCGTAAGCACGCAATTAACTGCCATAACAAGCACCCCACGATCCTCTGATGAGGAGGATGAGAACTCCGATCAGTTGGAGGAGCCTTTGGGTTTCGTTATCTCGGCGGCGTCCAAGGAGCATCTGGCGGTTCTGTCGCGTACCGAACGCAGCATTCGTCACCAGAGTCAGCAGCAGAGGAAGCACCACCACCCGCAAAACCATCATCATCACCAGCAGCACCAGCAGCACCAGCAGCATCAGCAGCATTCGCATCCGCAGCAGCAGCAGCAGCCGTCGTCGTCCGCTGACAATAATTTCATTGGTTCGAAATCGAAAAGACTGAGCAACCCTAGAAGTAATCTAAACATAAATAGCAGTAGCAGTAACACCCCCATCAGCAATCTGGACCGCAACGAGCGCTCCACGGTGCCCCAGTCCCACTTGGCCTGGACCTCCCGCAAGATCCAGCTGTACATCAAGAACCGCATCCTCCAGATCATGCGGGATGGAGCCGTCAATGGTACCCAGGACGAGAACAGTGAATTCAGTAAGTACACTATTCTTTCAATAATACATATTCACATTTTGTTAAAAATAAAAAAAATGACCTCTAAATATTAAATATTATAATGGGCAGGAGAATTACTTCGAAAGGTCTCCATAATTTTAAGAACTTTAACATTTTTTTAAACACAATCAAAATATAAAAATATTTATTTCTTCTAGAAAACAATTATTACAATTTTCATGATCTCAAAGATTTCTTTGAAAGAACCATAAATGGAGAAATCACATCAAATTAGAAAAAAATGTTGTTTTAACTTGTTTTTTTAAATAATTAAAATAGTTTTCATAAATCTTAAGCCCAAAACAAATGTTTTATTAACACCAACATTTGAAAACCAGTTTTTAGAGGCTTTAACTTAAATTATGTTATATTGGATGTGTTTTTTATAGTCACTAGTTTGGTCCCATTGTATATTTATGCTTGGGTGCCATTCCACCCACCATGAACTTCAAAGTGGACGCCACCCAGCCTCCGCCCCCTTATTACTCACTTATTTTTTGGGTTTATTTTGAATATGTTTTATGTTCAATTTGTTTGGGGGATCTCTTGTTTGGTTCTTTTGTCTGAACCACCCATTCCACTTTGACTGCATAAACAACAAAATAAACTAATGCCTGTGGCCGTATGAAATATTTAGAATATCAGAAATTATACACGCCTACACATACTATTGAAGGAATATAGTATATCCACAAGTTGAAAGTTCTCATAAAACGCTGCCAAGCTGCGTGTATTACGCACCCGAGAGAACTGGCGAAGAAATCGTATTTTCTGCGGCTCTCGTCTGTTTACGTTGGGCATCATTAAGTTAGACACTTGATTTGGCAATGCTGCGGCTCTGCTCGGCCCAGCACTGTATTATTTGGCATATAAATTCTTTAGTGGGCTAAGGGCATAAATCTCGCCTTAATTAACCGCTCGCCCTGATTAGCAGTCCGATGGGCTCCCTCTGGGGCAATGAAATGAGTCAGGTCAGTCTGGCCGGGCATTTGCATAACTTTTGGCCCGCTCGAATTAATTTACAGCTTCATTTTCATTAACTTCCTGGCAGCCAGCAATTTGCAGCACTGATACCGATAAAGCCACCGAAAAACTTGTTGTACAACTTGGCTTGTCCGGTTTGCGTGAGATATAAAAACGCGAGCGCTTATCGGACGAGCTCATCGCCGTTGAGAAACACCATGAGTCCATCGAGATGCCGCATAGATATGTACGGTGGGGATTTTGTTTCGCCTGGGTACAAATTTTTTAATTCACCACCGTTGTTGTACCTTACATATCTGCCTCAGGTGTTAATTTGATTTTGGACTCGATCGGACGGCGATAATGCGAGTGGAGTGCGATAAGATTGAAATTGCCGCGTAAGAGAGCTTTTATAAGACTCCTCTGATGGAGTGCGTGTTATTCGATTGGGTGGGTGGCGGTAAAGATTTTTATGGTCACGCAACGAGTCGAAAATGTGGGAGGTTTCGGTTTCGGTTTTGGATTCGGAATCGGTTTGGGGTACTCTCACCCTCGGACCTCGACTTTCACAAGCCAAATCAGTGGCAACTAACAGAGCAATTTGTGTTTATTAGTGACCGAGTGAGTCTTTTATGGGCTGTAAATTGTTCAAAGTGCTCCAAAAATCACGTTCACGCCACAATCTCCGGATATCGTGATCAGCTTCTGTTCGACGTGGAGCTTTATCGCTGAATATAAACATTTTCGCACTTGATGAGGTTCTAAAACTTTCTATGATGTGGCATTATGTGGCGAAATGCTAAGTTGACATAAGAGATCAAGGAATGAAGCTGCAAAAACAACCATTTTTCGCAAGAAATATAAGTTATCTTTATAAGTTTGCCTAGATTAATTATTATCAGAGAAAGAAGGGTACTTTATATAAAACAAATTTACAAAATATTATACTAATCAAATAGATATAACAAGTAACTAACTTTGTTGTACAATTTATTGGAAGTAATTTCATTGTATTGTATCTTTTACTACCCATAAATCGCTGGAAAGCGCTTACATGTTGCTAAGCCATAAAACTGCCAACAGACAGTGACAACTGCTTCGAAATAAAGCTGTCCAAACAGACTGAAAATGACCAAATCTCGCGAGTTTTCCACTCCGTCAGCTTGCATCTTCAGTGGCATCTCGCGAGTCTCATCAACCAGTTGACCTCCAAAAGTCGGGTGAAGCGCAACGCCAGTTGCAGTTGCCGCAAATTGCTCCACCGACTAACGGTGTCGGAGTGCCGAGAGGAGTAGACTCCACCATCTGTACCCCAACTGAAACTGAACCTGAACCGAAACCCCAACCACAAGCCCCAACCCCAACCACAAACCCAACACGATCCGATCCGGACTGCAGAAACCTTTGCACGGGGGGCGTGCATACCATATTTTCGAGATGATGTATGGAGAGTACTTGGCCCGGCGGGCAGACGGCAATTATGCGACTGATTTAGTGCGTGGAGCGAGGTGTGAAGTTGAGTGAAGCCCAAGTCGGCCGAAATCTTAGCAAGCTGAAGCCGCTGGTGGATGCTAAAAGCTTCCGACAGCATCTTTTGATAACTTAATTTACGCCACGTCTTTTGCGGCTGGTGAAGTTGATGAAGTTGCCCCGACAGTTTTGGCCAACATTGCATCGATCCAGCTGCTGTTACTTTCACTGTCACTCGGCTCTTAAATTCGGCTTGTTAATTGTCTTTGTAAATCTAAATCTTCTATGTTGTTATTATTTTTTACGATTTTCTTTATCTGCCACAACAGAAAGCCAAGCCTTTCAATGTGGCGTCGTTCTAGAAACGCCACAAAGTTATTGTCGAATGTTTGGTGCGTAAAAAAGTCAACAAACGCCGCCTTTGTTGAGAATATTTTCGAAAAAGTAAACTCGTTAAAAATGGTTCCAGTTTATTTTTTATTTCTCTCCTACATTTTTTTTGTAAATTTAGATAATTGCATCAATTTTAATCCCCCGAGAGCTTGATTAATAGATTCGGCACGGCAATCAGGCATGAAAAGAATAAAGGAAATTTCAACACAGTTAATTCCTGAGCAGCACAAATGGCTGGACTATTATATCACTTTCGGCACACAATACGATAAATTAATTTTACACAAACATTTTGCCGGTGGCTACGTCACGGATCCAACGAAACGATCTCACTTCTGCTGGCTAGACGGCGGCCAACAAATTTATTGTTGAATTTTCAGCTTGGACAGAGCAGAAAAGAAAAATAGATGCTGTATGTTTCGGGGAATTCTAAACAGAATTTAAGATACTCTGTAGGTAGCTGAAATATGTTTACATATATACATGATATTATACTATAAGGTTCGCCAAAAACTAGTTTGTAATTTATTGGAAATTTTTTGTTGTATTTTTGAGTTCTAGTTTTCTGAAAATATGTGCATAATTAATAATTCGGCAAAAGTGTCATACTTCATTTCTTTATATGAAGCTAAACATATGTTTAACTTTTTGTAGACTAGCCAAAGATGATTCATTTCTCACTTGGATGTGTATATTATAAGCATATATATAATACATATCTTATGTAAACTCAAGACCTTTTAGAATGTGTGGAACCGCTATTCAAATCATTACTATATTTACAAATTTAAACGCTTTCTGCTGAACTCGCTGTGGGCCTCTCCATCTGCCTTCTGATTAAATGCCTTCGAAGATCCGAGTTTCGGTGGATATATCTGCTATAACTATAACTGTAAGCGAGTGGGTGGCGGGAAGACGAGGAGACAACACTTGACAACCTATTGTCAGCGAGGTGGCTCATCATCAGTCAGCAGTGGCAGTGGTGCCGGTAGTGGCGGCTGATTTATGCGCCGGGCAACATGGCACTTGGAAATACCGCGAAAGTGTTTTGTTTTAGATAAGATTATGCCCCATAGTTTTCGGGGGAGCAACAGGGATGGCAAATGGGCGAGCGGACGACGCAATATGTCAAATGGACTTACCAGAAAGTTGGCGTGGGTTATTTGGAGGCTCTTCCTCTGCGAATGTTTTTCCGGCAGCCGCTCGACTTTTCGGCCGGTGCTGACTTCTTTATTTTTAGCCAGGTGGCAATGAACTGTTTGCCTGTGGACTTTCCTCTCCACTTGTTCGGTTTTATAAAAAAGGTCTAGGTTGCAGTAATTGGTCAAAAGCATCATGAAACATCGATGAATTTTGTTTACCCGCCTGCATTGACAACATTGCTAAATTATGCGTAAACGCATAAGGCCGAAAACATTTTGTAAACGGCCTCCGAAGTCGTCGATGGTTTATGAAGCTGGTCCGCTATATAAATTACAATGATTAATGACATTTTGCACGCAGTTCTCGGCGGCTGTTGCTGCCGTGGTTATTGGCGTTGTTTTACAATCATTTTTACGGCCAATTCATTTTCACCCAGGCCGATTCACATTCAGGTCCAACCAGCAGAAATCCAAGTAGTGCCCGGTGGCACAGAAACCACTCGAGACATTCCATATTTTTGGCAATGACTAAAAAGTGAAGGCTGCGAGGGAAAATGGGGCGTATGAGTAATATGATACCATTACTCTCTTTCATTGTGTACCCTTGGGGGCTTTTATAGTTAGCCTTTATTATCAAGATAAATTAATTACAGTTAGGTTTCTATTAGTTTAAGAGAAATTAATCAATTATAAACCGATAGCTAACCGAGATATATTTTGTATTTAATACAAACAGATTGAAAGTAAGATGCACTTTTTCTCATGTTAAAATCAGTGCTTTTTCTATGTAGATTTTATTTGTAACCTTTGGAAAACTAAGGCATGCACTTTCTTTACTTAGACAGCCAGCTTCATAGAGAAACTTAAAATTAAGTGAATTTTTAGTGGAGTTTTCTTTACATTTGGTTCGGTTTTGCGGTTCGCATAGCAAAGCGATAATTTGACCAGATACGTAGCCGTCTATATAGACATCTCCATACCGACACGTTCATGGTCATTCGAGTCGTAAAT